AGTAAATAGTCCAAAAAAGGCAACCATTCTTCCATAAAACACGCATCAGATTCTCTAAATTTTGCTGTTTGTTTTGCCAGTTCTGCATAGTCCATTATCTTACTTATCCACGAGGATTGACTAGGAAACATGTCATGTAAAATAGTATACAATACTGATCCAGATATCTAATAAAGGGGCAGACTGACTGCAGGGCAATCTTTACAGTTGGCATGAATGACCTATATGACCAGCACAGGGCAGATGCTGTGGCTAGGGCACACTGCAGGCCCAGCGCCGCTCGCGGGGCTAGTGCCTGCCAGTTGTGTCCTTCTCAGCCACCCTCTGGCAGCTGGCGCTCTGAGAGCCCAGCCCCAGGCCACACTGCAAGGCTCTGGGGCATCTGGACTTATGCATCACCTTGGGCTTAGGCGTGCCATCCCTAAAGGTAAGTGCCACCGGGGGCACCCTGCCCTCTTGCCCCCTACCTATGCTACTGTGTCACAGACCCTTCTTGTCCACTAACCTATTATCTATTCAGCTTCTGACATCTCCTCCTCCTCCCAGTCTTCTCCCTCCCCCCCCACCCGACCACTCATCGTTGTCCCACTACAAATCCTCTGGCTCTTAGCCTTCTTCCCTTGTGGGTTCCCCAACTGGTGCCTCTCACCATTCGTGCATCCAGCCAGTCAATGGCATTAAAGGGACACCTGACCATTAGGTCCACTTGTGGCCGACTCTGGCTCATCTCACTTTATTGGCCGAGGGAGCCGGCGTACAGCTTCTGGGTCATGTGGCCAGCATGACTAAGCCGCTTCTGGTGAACCAGAGCAGTGCACGGAAATGCCGTTTATCTTCCCGCCAGAGTGGTACCTATTTATCTACTTGCACTTTGACGTGCTTTCAAACTGCTAGGTTGGCAGGCGCAGGGACCGAGTAACAGGAGCTCATCCCATTGCGGGGATTCGAACTGCTGACCTTCTGATCAGCAAGTCCTAGGCTCTGTGGTTTAACCCACAGCACTACCTGCGTCCCTCCTTGTCAGGGAACTGACATCGGAGCTAGAGGTGGAGGGAAGGCTCTCTAATGATGCTGGAGAAGGGCCCAGCAGGGAGAGAGGCAGCTCAGCAGATGGGGAAGCAAATCAGCGCAACACCAGAGATAAAGAGGGGCAGATGGGGGAATCGGCGAGAGGGCTCCAGGACTCTTCACCGGACACCAGCGGGGAGCACGGGTCCTCCGCTAGCCACGCCCTCCCTGCGCAGAAGGCTTCCGCGCAGGGAGAGTAGGAGGAGACTTGGCGTCAAACAACTTTTATGTTGGAAAAGGTTTAAGAAACGCCCACTGACGGATTCTGCTAGCGACTGAGGCAGCCACGAATTGAAGGACTGTCCAGACAGAAAGGTTTAACAAGGCAACATAGCCAGGAGAGGCGGCAACTTACGCACGAGCAACCCCATACCATTATACTCCTGTCAATGGCATTAGGGATAAATAAATAATTCTTTGTAACGTTTTCTGTTGCTTTGAACTTCCATGCAAATAAGGAACTATCTCATGCTGCATCAGCTATGTTCCTTTTCCTCTCCTTGTGTGCCCCCAAAATCTGCTCTGGAGGGTCCCCCCAACCCTGCAGAAGTGATCTGAGAGCATGCAGGGGGGGCTGGAGAGGGAGCTCCTTTGAGCACACAGAAGTCTGTTGCGCCAGCAAAGCTGCAGAATTGGATATGGCCCAAGGAACAACTTCATCGCCATAGCGTCTACAAGCGTAGCTTGGTCAGCAAAAGAGCACAGATGCAAATAATAATGTTCAGACAGAACCTGCACAACCAAAGAAACCATTTTTAAAAAACTCCTTTTCAAATGTATATAGCCAGGAGGGAGGGTAAATAGGGAGGGTATTTCTGAGTTGTGTGAGAGGAAGAGAATGTGGGGCACTGTTTTAGAAGGGGAGGGGAGGGGAGGAAACAAGCAACCAATAAAGCTGAAGAGAACTGCCCTTCTTTTGGGAGATATGATTTCTCTATTCTCCATGGGAGTGTGGGAAAAAGTGGTTTCACAATATATAATCAGATATTAGCTAGGCAGTCAAAAACCTGGGAATCTTGCACAACTCATGAATTAAATAAGTGGGCAGGTTGGAGCCCATCTCTTCAGGTTGATTAGAACCATACTAACCACCTAGAGGGGAAGAGAGCAGGCAAAGATTCCAGTTCTGTCCCATTAGCTGGTTCTTCCAGCTCCTCTAGCTTGGTATCCTGTTTTTCTCTCCACCCTGCTCTTCTGCGCTCCCTCCCTCCCTCTTGCTTTCTGTTCCAGTTTGGGATGCGGCATTCCAATCACCACTACTCTGTTGACAAATAACTTACTCTCCCCTCACCAAATACCTGAAAGGGGCTAGGCCTGCTCAAGGGTCCTTTTCTGCTGGTCACTCTGCTCCATGACTGGCTCTCCGGATGGTAAGTGCTTACTTCTGACCATCTTTTCCAATTCCACAGACTCACTTTCATACAACCAACCAACCAACAAGTGCTGACAGGCTGGTCCTAGACCAGGGGTCAGCAAACTTTTTCAGCAGGGGGCCGGTCCACTGTCCCTCAGACCTTGTAGGGGGCTGGACTATTTTTTTTTGGAGGGGATGAACAAATTCCTATGCCCCACAGAGAAGCATTTTAAATAAAAGGACACATTCTACTCATGTAAAAACATGCTGATTCCTGGACTGTCCATGGGCTGGATTTAGAAGGCGATTGGGCTGGATCTGGCCCCCGGGCCTTAGTTTGCCTACCCATGTCCTAGACCAAATGTCACCTCAGGCAAGGAAAGGCTTCGACACCTTTCTTCAAAGTTTTAACTTTTGAAGAGCCTCTTTTTAAAACATGCATTTGCTTTCCAGTTCATGACTGGGATGCATGATTTGCAGACATGATTTATGATAAATAAATAAAAATCAGGCTAGGATCAGATTAACTGTTTGTATTATTTGTTTCAACTGTTGACTAGATATGTAAGTAGATAGCCTACACAGCATGTGTGCGCGCGCACCCCCCCCAAGCCTAGCACCCCAGGGAAATTTAGGGTCAATTGGTCCTAAAACCAGCCCTGCATGCATGCTACCCATTCACTCAAATACAACAGCATGGACCCATGAGAATCTCCCCCCACCCCCGCCTTCATGTGCCCTTGTCCTGTGCTGCAGCTTTGGATTCTTGGTGTAAAAAGTGACTTACTCAGCTATGTATGGCTCTTTTGGTGACTCAGTGGGGAATCAGTGACAAGTCTCAGTGGATCGTTTGTAAAAAAACAGGTTGAAATATACGCTCTGTGCTCAGGTTTGCAGCTAAACAAGCAAGTGTGCAAACTGCTGGATCAGCTACTCTGTTTGTTGATGGTGGGGGTCAGCACAAAGAATTGAGGGCAAATAGAGAGGGCTGTATCAGGGCTTGATTTCCCAGAACAAACTGTATATCTTGTTACGTATATCTGTATATCTCCCCTTTGGGAGAGGGGCAGACTCGCCATAATCTCTAGAGTCGGTAAAGAGCTAGAATTTGAGCAAACTCATAAATTCACGAAGTAAGGAAAGTCTGGTTTGTTAAAACTAAGCCAAGTGCTGTTGCATTCAGTTTAGGAGCAGGTAGCTAGCCAGGGATAAGCCAAGCCGATGACAAAAGGCGTTGATAGCCCATCTAAGTAACCACCCAGGTGGCATTTGTGGTTTCTTTAGCCGAAGTTGAGGTGGTCTCACCTTGCCTGGGAGAAGCCCCACTGAATTCAGTGGGACTTACTTCTGAGAACACAGGTTAGGATTGCACTGTAAGTCTATGAATGTGTATACGCCATACATTTCAAGCACATGACTCCCTCCCCACCCCCCCAAAAAACAATAATGGGAACTGTAGTTTATTGAGGGTGATGGGAATTATAGCTATGTGAGGGGTAAACTACAATTCCCATTATTGTTTTCTCTCTGTGTGTGATTTACATCCTTTAACTATGCTTTAAATGTATGGTATCAGTAATATTTACAGTGGTGCCCCGCAAGACGAATGCCTCGCAAGACGAAAAACTCGCTAGACGAAAGGGTTTTCCGTTTTTTGAGCTGCTTCGCAAGACGAATTTCCCTATGGGCTTGCTTTGCAAGACGAAAAACGAAAACGTCTTGCAAGTTTGTTTCCTTTTTCTTAACACCGTTAATACAGTTGCGACTTGACTTCGAGGAGCAACTCATAGAACGCGGTGTGGTAGCCTTTTTTGAGGTTTTTGAAGTGATTTTTGAAGCTTTTCCAAAACTTCTTTTGCAGCCATTTGCTAAGTTAAACTTTAAAACTTTTTTGGGGGTTTTTGGATTTTGGGTTGGGGTGTTTGGAATTCAAGGACTTGGTGTTGGGGAGGGGTTTGCAAGAATCTGGAAGCTTGTGTGTTTTTTTCTGCATTTTTATGATTTTCTGTGACCATTGGGCCACTCTGCTGTATTTTTTAAAAAAATCTGGATTTGAATTTCTGTGTGGTGGGTGGCTGGGGGAACAGTTGAGGAGGGGGTTCTTCAGCAAGAAGCAAAGAGTGGAAGAGGAACCTTCTTCGAGTTGTCCCCCAGAGTCTTAGAAAATGTACTGTACACTTTGTTGATTTTTAAATGTTTTTCTGTCATGTTTAGAAACTTAATTTATTGTTCCTTCAATTTTTGAAATGCTCTTTACAGTATGTGTGACTTTAAAGAGCACTTAATAAACTCTTGTTGTACCAAATTTGGCTTTGTTTGGACTTTTTTTGACCATAGGAACGCATTAATTGAATTTCAGTGCATTCCTATGGGATTTCGTGCTTCGCAAGACGAAAAATTCACTAGACAAAAAAACTCGCGGAACGAATTAATTTCGTCTTGCGAGGCACCACTGTAATCTTTTACTGCACCTTTAGACCAAACATTAATTTGGGGACCCATTTCTCCTTTTTTCCTATTTTTAAAACCACCAACTTTAATGCTGTGTATCTTCTTTGTTTTACCCAGAATTTCAGCAATGGCCATGAATTCACAAATGCGTCCCATTCTGACTCTTTTCATCTTTGCGGTTTTCCTCTCCATCCTATTCTACACCTCAAGACTATCGGATGAAAACATCCCAAGGAGATTCAACCAGTCGGCCACCTCGTTCTTAGCAGAAACTTGCAAAGCTATTACTGAAGGAAAAAAGCACTTCTCACCCCGAAAGATGCTGAAGACATCCTTTGGGGAACCCAACTGCAGTGATTACGTGACCCAAAGCCACTACATTACCAGACCCCTCTCTGCGGAAGAAGCTGCCTTTCCTTTAGCCTACGTGATAACCCTGCACAAAGAGTTTGATACTTTTGAGAGGCTCTTTAGGGCCATATATATGCCCCAAAATGTCTACTGTGTTCACGTGGACAAGAAGGCCACCCGTGCATTTAAGAGAAAGGTGGAGCAATTGCTAGGCTGTTTCCCCAATGCTTTCCTTGCTTCAAAATTGGAGCTGGTGGTTTATGCTGGGGTATCGAGGCTCCAGGCTGATCTGAACTGCATGAAGGATCTTGTAAAATCGAAAGTGCCCTGGAAATACCTTCTCAACGCTTGTGGGCAAGATTTCCCCTTGAGAACCAACAAGGAGATAGTTCGGTACCTGAAAGGGTTCAAAGGGCAGAACATCACTCCTGGGGTGTTGCCTCCACATCATATTCTCAAGAGGACAAAATACATCTACCGAGAACAGGTTTACAGCATCTTTTCCTTCATGCTGGGGACTTTTCTGTGGAAATCACCACCTCCGCACAACCTGACCATCTATTTCGGCACTGCTTACATTGCACTTTCAAGGGAATTTGCAGACTTCATCCTCAACGACCCGAGGTCTCTTGATCTCCTTGAATGGTCTAAAGATACCTACAGTCCAGATGAACATTTCTGGGTGACACTCAACAGGCTGCCAGGTATGCTCCTTTTCCTTCAAAAAGTTGTTCTGTTGTTGATAATAACAGTGGTAATAATAATAGTGTTACAAACGTCAGGTGCCCCCCCCCCCGCCGAGCGGTGGCAAAGGTTTATGGGGTTCCAGGCACTCACCCAGGGTCTGTGGTCCTTTGGAGAACTGAGACATGACGGAGACTGTCATAGCTTTAATATTTACACCTTCAGTCTGCATGGAGGGAGTCCCAGCCTTACTGCATGGTCATTTCGCTGGATTTTACCCCAGGAACTAGAAAGGCCTCGGGCATCATGCAGACTAGACTAACCACACACCCCACCTCCAGCTCACAACATTATTTTTGAGGTCTGGCAACCAGAATTGAAGACATCATTCCAGGTGTAGCCACAGCCCAGATTTGTACCAACAGTTTTATTTTCAAATCATTTCCTCTTCAATCCTAACACACAGAATACAATTTCCACCCCCCCCCAAGTTACTCCATACTTTAATTCAGCTGTCCATCTCTTTCTTAGCTGGTCAATGCCTGTTCAAGCCCCATAGGCATAAATGTGAAGTTTGGATTTCTTTTGCCACAAAGTTCCATCAACCCCAGTCAATACGGTTAATGATCAGGGAAGATGCAAGTTGTATTGCCGCAACATCTGATGGGCACCGCATTAGATACCTCTGACCTAGAAGGAGTCATTGTTAACGCTGGAAAATTTCCTCTGTTCGTGTTTCCCTACATTTTATTATATACATTATATACTAACGTTCAAATAGTAACATATAAATAAAAAGACACCTGTATTTAAGAAAAATCATTTTGCAAGATGAGTTCCCTGCAGCCCGTATCATGCTTAACTTCTTCAATCTAGGGAAATGCAATAGATGGGGAAGAGATGGGTATCAGGATGGTAAGAGGGAAGGGCTTGTGTTGTTTGTTTATGGAGAATTCAGTCTGATTTGTTTGCAAGGAGGTTAAGGGATGCCACTTCAAGAAGTTGTTATCCCACACCAGGGTTCAGCAACCTTTTTCAGCCATGGGCCGGTCCACTGTCCCTCAGACCATGTGGTGGGCCGGATTATATTTTTGGGGAACAAATGAACGAATTCCTATGCCCCACAAATAACCCAGAGATGCATTTTAAATAAAAGACACATCCTACTCATGTAAAAATATGCTGATTCCCGGACTGTCCGCGGGCTGGATTTAGAAGGCGATTGGGCCGCATCCAGCCCCCGGGCCTTAGTTTGCCTACCCGTCCCACACTTTCCACCAGGGCATTTTCCTGTCACTTTCTTAACCACAAACAGTCTACGGGGCAGGAGGAGAGAGAGAGAGGGTTTGCTGTTCAGGAGAACCTGATCTACTTTAACTGGGCAACCTGAATTTACAGGTATGCATTTTCATCCCACCCACAAAACAGTGACAGTCTGGAAGTGACCCTAGGGAAGAAATTTTGGGCTCAGGCTGTTAAGAGGTGTGGAACAGAAAAAAAGGAGGCATGTGAATTAAGAGATTGTGTAAAGTTGTGAGAAAACAGGGATGGGGCTGTGAGAATGTGCAACAACTCACTCTCTCCAACGTAGCTATTAGAGATACAGCCTGGAGTTGTACTAAATTGAAAACTGAAGCAACAACTTTGAAACAACAATTGATTAGAAAAGAAAGAAAAGCAAATGGGAATTTGGGAAATGTTTATTGATTATGCATCCTGATGTGTTTGCAGAGAGATTAGATGAAGCTGGCTATTTAATAAGCATTCACCCTGATTTGTGTTGCATCAAAGCACACTTTCCAGTACATTTTCCTCTCTCTCTCTGTGTGTGTGTGTGTGTGTAGTCCAATCTTTTCAGGAACTGGGTTGTTACACAAGACCTCCAACTGACTGTAATGGTGCAACCTGGATTTCTAAGTATGTGATTGATTCCCACCTGAAAGTAGTGATATCTGGAAGCGCCCTTGGTAAAGTAAGAGGGATAGCCATGAAAGGTGTTGTCTGGTTGAACACCTGGCATAGACAAGTAGAAGTTTCTGTTGGGATACTGCCAGGGAGACAAAGTCCATCATGGCCCCCAAGCCGCCTCCGGACGTCCATCGATCTCCCGTAGACACGCATTATCAGCAATTAGCGACACGAGCTCCAGAAATAGCCTGCCACATTCCAGAGCCGATGCACGCTCTATCAGCAGATAATGCACAGCGAAAGATGCACGCAGGAGAGCATTATTTACAAGTTTATTCAGCATTGATGACTCACAAAGCCTGCTCCCTTTTAAGGTGGAACGGAAATATCCTAACATCCTCCCCCTTTCCGTGTAACCTGTAGTACCTGTGGTTCAACCCAATTGCAACTTCTGTACATAAACCTTAAGTTGTTCTCTGTTAACAACCTTAGACAACAGATCAGCAGGAATTTCATTTCCTGGCATGTAGGACACCTGAATGAGTCCTTTCTGAATATACTCTCTTGCACGATGTAACTTACCGTAATCTGCAAGTACTTGGTTCTTTGCTTGCGACTCTCTGAGTTCAGCAAAGCCAAACAGGATCTATTGTCTTGATACACTTGTATAGGACATTTCACAGAAACTCTGATGTCCTTAAACAGTTGCATCAACCATTCACAATCCATGAGTGAAAATGACAGAGCATTGAGTTCTGCTTCACAGGAACTTAGGCTCACTGTCGTCTGCTTCTTGCACAGCCAGTCAAACAGACAGTGGTTGTACATGTAGCATACTCCAGAAGTGCTTGTACCATCCATGGTGTCACTTCCAAAACTTGCATCTGCAAAGATTTCAAGACCTCCAGTCTTCTGACTGGTGAACCTCAGCCTGTAGTGCATAGTCCCTTTCAAATAGCGGGCTATGCACTTCAGAGCTTTCCAATCCTGAACAGTAGGATTGTTGGCATGTCTGCTAAGCAGGTTAGTGCTTACAGCTATGTCAGGTCTTGAGCATCTAGCAATGAAATTCAACTTGTCTAGAATGCATCTGTACAGCGTAGTGTCAGAAAACGCTTCAGCAGTACTATCTACCTGGTAACCTGTCACCATCGGTGTGTCTGCTGGGTTTGCATCAACCAAATTCAACCTGGTTAAAATATCAGCAATTTTCTGTGTTTGGTGTACCAGAAAATTACCTGCTTGGTCCCTCTCCACCTGCAGAGAAAGATAGTTGGATACCTCACCAAGATCCTTCATGTCAAAGTGCTCCTTCAGCTGAGCTAGGGTGCTTTGGTACAAAGCCTGATTCTTCCAAAACATCAGAAGATCATCAACAAAACATAAACAATACAGTTTGTTTTGCCCCTCCTCCTTGACAAACGCACATGGATCAGCTTTGCCCTGGTGAAAACCTAGAGAAAGCAATGTCTCAGTGAGCTTTGTGTTCCAACACCTGGCACTCTGCTTGAGACCATATAAGGATTTCCGCAGTTTACAGACCATTCCCTTCTGTATCTGCATTCCATCAGGTGGAAGCATATACAGCTCCTCCCCCAAAACCCCGTACAAAAAAGCTGTATTAAGCACAAAGCCTGCTCCCTTTTAAGGTGGAACGGAAATATCCTAACAGTTTCATGGAATAGACAAGTAGAAGTATAAAGGTCACATATGCCTTTTGGGGAATTTTTAGGTGGAGTAAACCTAATGGTTGAATTCAATGTCATTTCTGCTTGCCTGATGGAACCATCTCCCCTCTCTTCCTCCCTGTTCTATGGGCTCTCCCAGCCCCACTAGAGCCAATCTGAGGAGCTCAGGGGTGCTGGGGAGAAGGGGGGAAACCCTGTTGCACTAGCAGGACTTGTTGCATTGGCTCCCACTACCTCAACTATTTAGTTGAATCCAACTCAACGACTTGATCTAGAGCTGTATTGGTGGTAAGTTTGTGGGGAGGACCGCTCCCCCTGAAGCCCTTTTTCCACCTTGGGCCTGGGGGTGGGCCCCATACTCCACCACAGCATATAAGGCTCCTAGGAGGCCTCGGGACATCGCTGCTGCCGCTCTGCCGTGAGTCTTGGGGAGGACCGCTCCCCCCTGAAGCCCTTCTTCCACCTTGGGCCTGGGGGTGGGCCCCATACTCCACCACAGCATATAAGGCTCCTAGGAGGCCTCGGGACATCGCTGCTGCCGCTCTGCCGTGAGTCTTGGGGAGGACCGCTCCCCCCTGAAGCCCTTTTTCCACCTTGGGCCTGGGGCCGGCCCNATACTCCACCACAGCATATAAGGCTCCTAGGAGGCCTCGGGACATCGCTGCTGCCGCTCTGCCGTGAGTTAGTGGGGAGGAACGCTCCCCTGAAGCCCTTTTCCACCTTGGGCCTGGGGCGGGCCCCATACTCCACCAAAGCATATAAGGCTCCTAGGAGGCCTCGGGACATCGCTGCTGCCGCTCTGCCGTGAGTCTTGGGGAGGACCGCTCCCCCCTGAAGCCCTTCTTCCACCTTGGGCCTGGGGGCGGGCCCCATACTCCACCACAGCATATAAGGCTCCTAGGAGGCCTCGGGACATCGCTGCTGCCGCTCTGCCGTGAGTTTGTGGGGAGGACCGCTCCCCTGAAGCCCTTTTCCACCTTGGGCCTGGGGTGGGCCCCATACTCCACCACAGCATATCAGGCTACTAGGAGGCCTGGGGACATTTCATCTGGCGCTCTGCCGTGAGTCTTGGGGAGGACCGCTCCCCCTGAAGCCCTTTTTCCACCTTGGGCCTGGGGGCGGGCCCCATACTCCACCACAGCATATAAGACTCCTAGGAGGCCTCGGGACATCGCTGCTGCCGCTCTGCCTATGAGTCTTGGGGAGGACCGCTCCCCCTTGAAGCCCATTTTCCAGCTTGGGCATGGGGCGGGCCCCATACTCGCCTCCGCAGCTTATGGGGCTCCAGGGAGGCCTCGGGTGTGTGGGGTGGGGTGGGTGTTTAGTTGGGTGTGGGAATTTGTTTAATTTAATTATGTTGTGTTTGTAATTTTGTTTTTTGTTTTTATAGTTTTATTGTTCTGTTAGTTTGATTTTTGTATAGGCTTTAATTTGATTTTAAGGGGAGGGGTCAGGGCTGCCTGGGAGTGGGTCCCAGCAAACAAAATGGCTGGGGCAGGTTCCACAGGGGGGGATGCACTCGGACAACCGATCTCAGTGATCACGGGTAGGAGGAGGAGTTACGCTAAGACCAGACCATGTCATTACCGAGGAAGCAGGCTTAGTCGTTGTTTGAGGACTATCCCTGCTTCCAGGTCTGGTCCTGACCGGAAGGATACTGGAATCAACAAGGGAAACCCACATGACCTGAAAGTGTTGCTGTGCAATGCCAGGTCAATGATGAATAAAACCTCTGCCATCCACGACCTGATTGTGGATGGAGGATTTGACCTGGCATGTGTGACAGAGACCTGGTTGGATGAAGCAGATGGGCCCGTCCTTGCCGCTGCTTGTCCACCAGGTTTCTCTTACGCACAGCAACCCAGGCCTTGTGGGCGGGGAGGGGGTTGCTGTGATTTTTAGGAAGTCATTAGTTTGCACCAGGCGTCCTATTGGAAAGACCCAGTTCTCTGAGTGCATGTTCTGGAAGTTGGGCAATAGGGGCAGTACAGGATTCCTATTGGTGTACCGACCTCCCCGCTGCACCAAGGATTCCCTGCCCGAGCTGCTTCAGGTCGTGGCGGATGTCCTCCTGGAGACACCTAGTTTGGTTGTCCTAGGGGACTTTAACATCCATGCCGACACGACCTTACAAGGGGCCGCTCGGGACTTCGTGGAAAGCATGGCCTCCATGGGGCTGTCCCTGAATAAGTCTGGCCCAACTCATAGCCACGGGCATGCCTTAGACCTGGTGTTCACCTCTATGGATGTTGGTGATCTGACATTAAGTAAAAGCGAAACCAAAGAAGTGCCATGGTCAGATCACTTCCTGGTGCAACTGGACTTCTCCGTGACCCTTCCCCTCTGCAGGGAGGCGGGACCGATTCAGATGGTCCGCCCCCGCCACTTAATGGATCCAAATGGTTTCCAGAGAGTGGTAGGGGATGTTTTATCCCATGTTGATGGCCTTTCAGCTGATTCCCTGGTGGCCCGCTGGAATGTGGAGTTAACCAGGGCTATTGACTGTTTGGCTCCAAAGCGCCCTCTCCGATTGCATGGAGTCCGGACAGCCCCGTGGTTTTCCACGGATCTGAGGGCAATGAAACAATCGTTGAGACGGCTAGAGCGCCGGTGGCGGATAACCCATTCTGAATCTGACCGGACACGGGTTAGAGCTCAATGTCGAGCCTACCAAGTGGCGATAGCGACGGCGAAGAAGACTTTCTTCACCGCCTCTATTGCATCTGCGGAAAACAGCAGCAGGAGACTCTTTCAGGTGGTTCGCAATTTAGCGGAACCACCTGCTCCATCAGGGCCCAGTAGCGGCCACATGATCTCCTGCAATGACTTTGCAAAGTTTTTGCAGATAAAGTCGCTCAGATTCGAGAAGAGGTAGACTCCACCGTGGGAGCAGGGCCGGGGCGGGAGAGTGCTAGAGTCCTGTCTAGTCAAGTTGTGTGGGATCAATTCCAATCTGTTACCCCCGAGGATGTGGACAGGCTGCTTGGACGAGTGAAACCAACCACTTGCCTCCTTGATCCTTGCCCATCCTGGCTTATAAAAGCTAGCCGGGAAGGACTGGGCGATGGGCTTCGTGGGGTGGTGAATGCTTCCCTCCGTGAGGGAGCCTTCCCAGACCCGCTGAAAGAGGCGGTTATTAAACCGCTTCTTAAAAGACCATCTTTAGATGCGGCCACAATAGCCAACTATCGCCCAGTCTCAAATCTTCCATTCTTGGGCAAGGTGATTGAGCGAGTGGTTGCTGAACAACTCCAGGCACGCCTGGAAGAAGCGGACCATTTGGATCCCTTCCAGTCGGGATTCAGGCCTCATCATGGGACTGAAACTGCCTTGGTCGCACTGGTTGATGATCTCCGGCGGGCTAGGGACAAAGGTGAGTGCTGTTTCCTAGTTCTGCTGGATCTCTCAGCGGCGTTTGATACCATCGACCATAACATCCTTCTGGACCGTCTTGAGGGGCTGGGAGCTGGGGGCACTGTTATACAGTGGTTCCGCTCCTTCCTCCTGGGCCGTGTTCAGAAAGTGGTGGTGGGGGCTGAGTGTTCAGACCCCTGGGCCCGCACGTGTGGGGTGCCTCAGGGTTCTGTCCTCGCCCCCCTGCTTTTCAACATCTACATGAAGCCGCTGGGAGAGATCATCAGGGGATTTGGGCTGGGTGTTCATCAGTATGCAGATGATACCCAGCTCTATCTCTCCTTCAAATCAGAACCAGTGAAGGCAGTGAAGGTCCTGTGTGAGTGCCTGGAGGCGGTTGGAGGTTGGATGGCGGCTAACAGATTGAGGTTGAATCCTGACAAGACAGAAGTACTGTTTTTGGGGGACAGGAGGCGGGCAGGTGTGGAGGATTCCCTGGTCCTGAATGGGGTAACTGTGCCCCTGAAGGACCAGGTGCGCAGCCTGGGAGTCATTTTGGACTCACAGCTGTCCATGGAGGCACAGGTCAAATCTGTGTCCAGGGCAGCTGTTTACCAGCTCCATCTGGTACGCAGGCTGAGACCCTATCTGCCTGCGGACTGCCTCACCAGAGTGGTGCATGCTCTGGTTATCTCCCGCTTGGATTACTGCAATGCGCTCTACGTGGGGCTACCTTTGAAGGTGACCCGGAAACTACAACTAATCCAGAACGCGGCAGCTAGACTGGTGACTGGGAGCGGCCGCAGAGACCACATAACACCGGTCTTGAAAGACCTACATTGGCTCCCAGTACGTTTCCGAGCACAATTCAAAGTGTTGGTGCTGACCTTTAAAGCCCTAAACGGCCTTGGTCCAGTATATCTGAAGGAGCCGTCTCCACCCCCATCGCTCTACCCGGACACTGAGGTCCAGCACTGAGGGCCTTCTGGCGGTTTCCTCACTGCGAGAAGCCAAGTTACAGGGAACCAGGCAGAGGGCCTTCTCGGTAGTGGCGCCTTCCCTGTGGAACACCCTCCCACCAGATGTCAAAGAGAACAACAACTACCAGGCTTTTAGAAGACATCTGAAGGCAGCCCTGTTTCGGGAAGCTTTTAATGTTTGATGTATTATAGTATTTTAATATTTTTTTGGAAGCCGCCCAGAGTGGCCGGGGAAGCCCAGCCAGATGGGCGGGGTATAAATAATAAATTATTATTATTATTATTATTATTAACAGCCCATTCCTGATTTGATAACTGATTGCAACATGGTGGCATCCTCAGCTGAAGGTACAGTGCCACCACTCTTATCACTGTTATGTGACTCTTTGTACAACCTTTGGACATTACAGATACCATCTTCGTCACGCTTCCTTACATTTGCAAAATCCAAAATGCCACCCATAGCTTCTTCCCTATCGCACTCGGTAATCAACATTTCCTCTTTGATTTGGAGAGGGTGTTTTCATGTCTTTCATAATCTACCTCCAGGTAACGTATAGGGGTGCCCCATTAAAACAGGACTCTCTGCATTTTTCTCATCATATGGAGCAAGCACAGCTTCTGTCCCCCCGGGCCCCGGCCTCCAAATGCATTGGACAGAAGAAGCATGTCAGTATAAGTGTCTGTCTTGCCATGTGGAGTCACTAATGTCTTTGGACCCGTTTGGAAATTTGAGAAAGTACTGTGGGCACCACCCCTCCCCACCTTGTCATTCTGCACATGCAGAGAAAGCACACACACACTTTTTGCTTTTCCATGGCCCTGGGTAAAAGTCGAACCTAGCAGAATAAAAAACGGATCCTCTTGGTTTTACATACGGTACCTCCTCCAAACTACCATCAGATTAAAATTTACATTGGTAGACTGCAGAGTAAAAAGAGAAACATATCCCGTGTCAGCATCGCCCTTGAGCCAGTGCCACCAACTGGACTCATCCACTTCAGTGCTTTGGTGCTCATCCTGTGCCTGCCAGCACCACAACACCACTGAGCCAAGGCACAGATCCTCATGGATCTCCTTGATTCTCACCTAGCATAACAATAAAGTCACCGACAAATAACAGAATAGAACTGTGGACACAGATATGGTCTGTTATTGAATGACGACTTTGAAGAGATCCCTTGTAAAAATTATTCCAATCCACAAGTGAGTGGGATGGCTGGCTAGCTCACTTGGTAGAGCATGAGACTCTTGATCTTAGGGTTGTGGGTTCGAGCCCCATGTTGGGCAAAAGAGTTCTGCATTGAAGGGGCTGGACTAGAGGACCCTTGTGGTCCCTTCCAACTCTACAGTTCTATTAATCTATAAGGATTTATTACTCACACCTAAGTTTTTGCACCATGGCAGCACTGGAAAGACTCAGATCTGCGTTTTTTTAATGAGTTATGTCAGTTTAAAATGTAAAACTGCACATGGTGAGAGCATGTTTTTATTTTTGTTGCTGCTTATTAAGGTTAACAAATTGATGTTTGTTTTATATCAGGAGTGTGGAATGTAGCAATCAAATCATGGAGTGAGGGGAGATGCCTGCTTTTCTGGCTTGTCTTATTACCACTTTTTGCATCTGAATGCTATATTACCTTTATAAGGCATGTGTGTGTGTGTTTTCCTGTTTGTTGTTTTTAATCTGAACTCATCAAGAATAAGGCAATGGAATGGTGGGACAGTGCTTCCCAGCTGAAGTGTTGCAATGCAGTCTCCTAGGGAGATGCAACAGGAAGGGAGGGGCTGGTTAAGCTGGTTGCAGCCAGGGTGGGGTGATTAACTGCTTTCCTGCCCATGGGGGCAAAATAGCAGGGTTCTCGAGATGAATTGTTGCTGCCGGTATGAGTACTTTCATGCCAAAACTCTCATATCTTGTTTCACTTTTTTTTTTTTTTAAAGTGACTTCCTGACTATTGATGATAACGTTGCAGATGGATATGCTACTTCCTTTTTAAAACAATTTAAATCTTGAATTCGTCCAAGCATGGGCATCTGAACAACATTGCTATAAATCTCATTTGCGTTTGGACCCCTTCCACACCTGGTCTCGCACTGAATGTTGCATTGTCAACCCAAGATCAGTTGATGAAAAGCCTACAGTAATATAAATGCTTTGCAATGTATGAAACTCGAGTCTTTTGTGTGGTTTACGGTTGCCTGGTAGAATCCATCAGAGGCGGGTAGCTACCTTGGTCAGTAGATAGAAAAGAGTGCATGGGCATAGCCAGGATTTTTGTTGGGGGGGCAGGCCTTTTGTGGGGGGGCAGAACCTCAGTCAGCTATGTATTTTTATTGATTTTTTTGATTACAAGGGAGCAGCTGCCCCTTCCTGCCCCCCCCCCCGCCCCAGATATGCCCATGGTAGAGTGTTCGGTATTCACCAGCAAAGATCCCTGTGTTCTCCAAAGTCCTGCTTGGTGCGTGGCTGGGTTGATCTGCAGTTAGGGATTGGTCAATGTGGGATTCTTTTTTGGCAACAGAATGTTCAGTATTATTATTATTAATATTATTATTATTATTAATCTAAGTGGACCAATAATCTAATTATGCATGTATTATAATTACAGTTTCCTATGCATCAGTGTTAGTTTTCAGTGCTCCTCCTGACTCAAGTGTGTTCAGAATAAGATTGCAGGCTTCTTCTATTGTATCACATGCCTGCATGTGACGTATGGTGAGCTTCTGCTTACCACTTTGCAAGGTGCTACCTATGGCCAGGGGACGTGGGTGGCACCAGTGGCGTAGCATGGGTTGTCAGCACCCGGGGCAAGGCAAGTAATTTGCGCCCCCTAACCCGTGGATTTGCGCCCCCTAACCCTAACCCCCAGATGTTGCGCCCGGCCCCCCCTGCACCCCCATGCTACGCCACTGGGTGGCACTGTGGTCTAAACCACAGAGCCTAGGGCTTGCCGATTGGAAGGGTGAGAAAGTTCAACCAAATTAATGTGTGGGCTTGGGCAACCAGTTTATTCAGTGGTGTACAGACACGTACACAGTCAGAAGTCACAACAGCTTATTTATAGCAACCTCCTCCTTCCTGAACTCAATTAATATTATATTTCATAAATGTTTTTTTAAAAATGGCTGCTGTATAAGATAAACTAGGAAGGCAATATTTCTATGCCTGTGAATAAGAAATAAATAAATAGTCAAAAAGGTCAAAATCACACTAAGTGTGTTCTCTCTGTGCCAACATTTCCTCGTATTTGACAGCACAGTATTTTAAATGACTAGCAGCCAAGAGGCAGAACATGACCTCAAACTGAGCATTAGGGAAGGTAGTAGTTACTCATGCCTTCTTTATCCTTAGCATTAGGATTAACTATTATTTATTCAGCTTTTGGGTTAGATTTAAGAAGTTTAATATTTAAGTTAAACATAATGCAGAGCAACACAATCAACCCTCCTTTAAGTTATTGCCACCTCCTTTAAGAATAATTTGTTTTATAGAGCTCTTTTTCTTTCTTTCTCATTTATGATTTTATTGTCTAAATTGTGCCAATGAAGGCTGAATGAATAAATTGATGAATCATGTGGGTGTGAATGTTAAGAATGTTTGGACAAATCAAATCAATCTTGGTTATATATTTGGCTTTGAAATAAAACGATGACTGAAAGGTTGACTTGTCACAGACTTACGGGCTTGCCAGACAAACAATATTGCTGCCAGAGTCATTTTATTTTACACAAAGGTCAACTTCCGGATTCAGTACAAGAGTTGGGTAGCCAAAAGGGTAATTTCAGATAGGAGATGCAAGATACCAAAATTCTCTGCCTTAAAAATTGCACTGTAACAGCATAAGGCTGTGCCCATGCCACAGACTTACAATAACTTCAGTTCTCTGCAGTAATCGTGATTCTAGGCTTGAAACTGTGAATTGCAATTGTATGGAAATGAGGGGGTTTTTTGGGGGGTGGGACAACTTTGATATTTCATCCCCTCCTGGAAATGCTTCTGTTTCACTAGGTGTTTTTCGAGAATGAATTTGCTTCAGTGTTAGTAATTTGTTCCGCATTTTATTTTATAATTTTGTGACATTTTAATGCTTTTAGTGCATACCACCGTGATAGCTCTTTGAACAAGTTCATGGTTTATAAACACACTTATCAAGCAATATAAGTCATTATCAGAACCCACTAATTCACTTTCAGACCAGTTTAAATTTGCAATGTAAAAAAAAAAGTAAAGGACCCCTGACAGTTAAGTCCAGTCACAGAAAACTCTGGGGTTGTGAGGCTCATCTCGCTTTACGGGCCGAGGGAGCCAGTGTTTGTCCACAGACAGTTTTTCCGGGTCATGTGGCCAGCATAACTAAGCCAATTCTGGCACCACGGAACACCAAAACCACAGCAGCGCACGGAAACGCCATTTACCTTCCCTCCAGAGCGGTACCTATTTATCTACTTGCACTTTGACGTGCTTTCGAACTGCTATGTTGGCAGGAGCTGGGACTGAGAAACGGGAGCTCACCCCGTCACGGGGATTCGAACCGCCAACCTTCCGATCAGCAAGCCCAAGAGGCGATTCACTAATTCACTTTCAGACCAGTTTAAATTTGCAATGTAGATATGCCAAATATTAACACAAATTTTAATGGCATTTAAAGCAATGAACTTTCAGACAAAGTAGTGCCATATCAGCAAATATTTATATCACCTTAAAGCTTTCTCCAAAAGAAGTGCCACTGGTCCCCATTCCACTACATTAAGTTCTGAAGTTGTTGAGGGGATGCCAAGGATGCTTTCTTAGGGAGGAAAGTGAGCCCCATTGTATTCAATGGGACATACGTATACTCCCTGGAGTGTGCAGGACTGCAGTTGTGTTTATGCTGAAATATTGTGCATTTTGTTTTCACCAGTGGCATCCTTGCTGAGCAATAATCTCCCCAGAGAGGTCTGTATGGAGCATCATTATGGCCCTTTTTATGTTTCAGGTTTTTTAAATTCTCTCAGGTTTTTTAAATCTCATTTTTTATTATACTGGTCACGTGGATATTGGTATATTGTGATTGCCGCTATAATAATTTAATATTGCATCTTATGAATTTTTCTTTGCTTTCTGAGCTGCCAATAAGAATATTGTGAGCTGCCTTGAGCACTGCTTCGATTTGTGGCTGTTGTTGCTGTTGTTTTTAAGAGCTGAAAACCAGGATATATACATATAAATAAATTCTTACATTGTGGGAGACCTTTGCCATCTGCTACCTGGTTTCCCCCTTCCCAAATATAAGGCTTTGCTTCTTCAGCTCTAGGGTGACATTCTCTCACAGGGAACATGGGGTGGGCTTGGAGGGAATGCCAGGGGTGGGCAGAGCCAGAGATAAAACTGCATGGAGCCAGTAGCAAAAAGTGGGCAGAGCAACAGGTGTGACTCTTACCTTTGTACAATAAATTCCAGCCACATAAAAGTCAGAGGTTCCTACACATGTACACACCTCTAAAAGCTAGCAAGAGGCACCATCACAATTCAAACTAGGCAAAGAGGACTGGGGAGCAGTGTGACTTGGGCAGCAGACATGTGTGCCCCAGGGAGAGCATTTCAAGGCTAGACAGAAAGGGCATGGAGGGTTGCATACCCTTGTTTCAAACATGGCGGCAGTGGCAGAGCTTTATGCTCGAGCACCGGGGGGTGGGGGGGGTGGAGAGCAGGCGGGGGTGGGGCTGGCATGCGTCCCAGGGGTGTGCTGCACCACCACAGGGGTGTGACACGTGTCCTGGAGGCGTGGAGCACCACCCACAGGGCCCTGGCATGCGTCTTCGGGGAGTGGCGCCCAGCGCTGCCAGGGGCAGTGTGCTCCCCCCGCACTCCTCTTCCTCCGCCAGTGCATGGTGGGTTTTTCTTTGCATGAATCTACTCAACTACAGTGGTACCTCGGGTTACATACGCTTCAGGTTACATACGCTTCAGGTTACAGACTCCGTTAACCCAGAAATATTACCTCAGGTTAAAAACTTTGCTTCAGGATAAGAACAGAAACCGTGCAGCAGCAGCAGCGCAGTGGCAGCAGGAGGCCCCATTAGCTAAAGTGGTGCTTCAGGTTAAGAACAGTTTCAGGTTAAGAACGGACCTCCGGAACGAATTAAGTACTTAACCCGAGGTACCACTGTATATGCATACCAGAACAATTTTAATTTTTTTTTAAAGTGCAGAACCAATGGAAACTCCCTCCGGATGGTGTGTGAGAATGCTGTTGTGATTTGAGATAGCAGGGATTTTATAAACCCTCAACCATAGATGGGACTAGAGGGGGCAGGTGGGGCAATTGTCCCATTCCCCCACCCCCACTGCCACCGCTGCCAAAGGCGCTCACTTCCTCACTCGCCTCCCCATTTCTGAACTCCTGTCATTAACATCTACTGTTATTTTTCTTTCGTACCCACCGAGAAATATAACCTGCTCCTCCTGCAAAAAAATTTTTTTTCTGGTGCTGCTACTTACTCTCACACCAGTGTGTGTGTGTGTGTGTGTGTGTGTGTGTGTGTTCTCTCTCTTCCTCCCTCCCCCTCCTTCCCCTCTCCTCCTATTTACACAATTTTTCAATTGTTGCAAAATTTTGAAATTGCCACTAGCTTCTAGTGCTTGGCCAGCTTGTTCCTCCACCATTCAAAAGGTTGTGCAAACATGGAAATTAATAAGCAAAAACCTCTCCTCAGGGCACAGCCAAATTCTACCTTTTAACACAAAGGTGTACAATCAATAAGAATTAAGTCTGCAGCACACTCAGAAACTAGTTTGCTTCCCCAAAAGATGTTGAAAAAAACACCAAGACTGACCTGTCAGGTTCATGAAAAGCAGGAAGAGGAAACCTGAACCAAGATAATAGTGACTTAAACAGGGAAAACAGGTAGAGGAAAAGTGGGATTCCACGTTGCCATCTGTGGGCACAATGTTATACTGCACATACAAAGCATATGAATCACTTTTTCTTTACCAGTCTAGCTCAGTCCTGGGCAAATGAGATATTCCAGGGTTTCCAAGTGCTCACCCAGGGTTCAGTTTCCTTGGAAGGACAGCAGATGCCATGGCGTCTTAATTATATAAGGATTATTTACACATATATACAACCTGGGGCTAATTTGGGGGGACCCACAGCGTTAACACCCCAAGAGGTCTTGCTTCTCCCATAGTCACAGCCTTGGATTCAAGCAGAAATCAAGCATGGCTCTCATTCTCTCACTTTTGCCTGTTTATAACCCATCTCTCACTCACTCACACACCCCTACCTCTGACTTTTGTCTTTCTCACTACCAGCCAGGTGATGGAGGGACCCCCCACCCACCTGCCCTCTGGCACAGAGCCACTTCATCTGTTATGCTAAAAACACTATTTAAGCCATTATCTCACTAAGAAGCTTACCTGGCTAGTTCAACAATGGAACCCTCTATTAGATTTAACCCTCGCTGGATTTTACCCCAGGAACTAGAAAGGCCTCAGGCATCATGCAGACTAGACTAACCACACACCCCACCCCCAGCTCACAACATTATTTTTGAGGTCTGGCAACCAGAACTGAACACATCATTCCAGGTGTAGCCACACCCCAGATTTGTACCAACAGTTTTATTTTCAAATCATTTCCTCTTCATTCCTAACACACAGAATACAACTCCCCCCCCCCCCAAAGTTACTCCATACTTTAATTCAGCTGTCCATCTCTTTCTTAGCTGGTCAATGCCTGTTCAAGCCCCATAGGCATAAATGTGAAGTTTGGATTTCTTTTGCCACAAAGTTCCATCAACCCCAGTCAATACGGTCAATGATCAGGGAAGATGCAAGTTGTATTGCTGCAACATCTGATGGGCACCACATTAAATACCTCTGACCTAGAAGGAGTCATTGTTAACACTGGAAATTTTCCTCTGTTCATGTTTCCCTACATTTTATTATATACATTATATACTAACGTTCAAATAGTAACATATAAATAAAAAGACACCTGTATTTAAGAAAAATCATTTTGCAAGCTGAGTACAACATGTCACACACCGGTTTTATTAGTTTTCTTCCCCACCTTAGGTAAATTTGGACTTTGGATAACTAGGTTCTGTCCTAACCAGGAAGTATGTATAGCTCATGTTAACAGTAAATCCATTAAAAAATAGCTCTAGTCTTTCACAATCCTCAAAGCCTGTACATGGGGTGTTAATTTCCTATGCTGGCTATTCATATCTGTAAGATTTCAGCCTTAAGACCTGTGTTTTATACTAGTGTGTACTAGAAGGACAACACAAAAAAAAATCACTTTAGAATTTTGATTATGCATTTGAGGCACAAGTCAAAGTGAAGATATGTCCTTTTTATTACTAAGCTATCTTATTTAATTTATCTTTTCAATAGGTTATTGATAGATATGGACATTTCTTCCAAAATACAGTGGGCTATGATGGGGAACCCATTACTCCAATATCCTGCTGATACAAGAAATGCATAATAGGGGACCATCTAGGCTCTGCTTTAAAAACTCCAATGAAGGAGAGTCCATCAGGCTTGACCTGGGAGCAGGATAGGAGGAGAGGTGGTGGCAGCACCACTGGGCTGCCTAGTCTACCAGGGGGCACCACACTTGCCCTGCCCGGGGTGCCAGCAGCCACTGCTACGCCACTGGTCCCTCATGTCCCTAAACTCTTGACTCATGCTGCTTGTGTCTGTGTGTGTGCATGTGAGCTGAGTTTGATAGGGGCGTGGGGACAAGCTGTCTTAGCCTCTGGGGAGATCTTAACTCCCCTCCCATTCTGTTATACCAGGGTTATACCACCCTGTTATGCTCAGGGTGACAAAGCCCTTGACACTTCATATACAAGTACCCATTCAACAACTTGCAGAGAAGTAGCCAGTCTCAGTGCATTTCTGCAGAAGACGGAGGGATGTCCAATGCCATATGGCAAAATTTGATGCCTTCCATGGTACATAGGCCTACCAACTGAAGATAAATCACCTGATGCATCTCACGACTGGTCCATGACTGTCATCTGTTAGTCTTCAAGGTGCCACAAGCCTCTTTTGAGGTATTTGTTTATATTTGTGTAAACGTGGATATGAAGAACAGAGGTTATGGTGACTGAAGTATAAAAGACGTGTGGCGTAAACGGTGGAAGTCTTTTAAAACATTTTAATTAAGGCTGATATCTTGCAAGATGGAAATATATAGCCATATGCAAGTATAGATCTGAAACTGCTGTTTATGGTGAACACTTTTCTGTTTTCTAAATTTCCATCTTTAATTTTTCTTTCTTCTTTTATTCCTTTTTTCTTTCTTCATTTATTCTTTTTTCCCTACCCCTCTTTCTTTCTGAATATTGCTTTATAGATGTATAAATAACTATGTTTATGTGTATGTGTATGAAATTTGTTTCGTATTTCTTTTCTTATTTGATATTCTTTTTTGTAGTCAATAAAATTTATAATAAAAAAGAGGGGGAAATGACAAAAATTATTCGTGTAAACGTGGCTTGCTCAATGGAAAGAAGACCCTGGGTTGCTGTTCAGCTCTTGTTTCCCAATATGTTCGCCTTGGCTTGCAGGCCTTCTTCTCCCTCCTTCACCCTGAGGGTTTCCCTTTCACATGCTAAGCGGGTCGGGCGCCCCAAACCTGCTCCACGCGCGCCCGGAGGATTCGGGCCCAAAACCGACAGGTGGGCGGGGAAGCCGCTGCGCCAGCAGCCAATCACACGGCCGGGAGCAAAGAAGAAGCCCGTTCCCCGAAGGCGGGGCTGAGCCGCTGAAGCAAAGGGCTACCAAAGAAGAGCCGGCGAGGAGTCCGGCGAGGAGCGCGCGCAAAGAAGAGGCGGCAAAGGAGAAGCTCTCGCGCCTCTGCGCCCTTGAGGGAACGCTCAGCCTGCTTCCATTGCGGCCGCTAGGAAGAGGCAGCCCGGCGTCTTGCTTAGCAACAGGCAGAGCGAACACAAAAGCCCTGCCTTGGCGACCTCGCTAGCCGTGGGCATGTGGGAAGAAGCCCCATGCAGCGCGGCGGCGCCCAGCTGAGGAGCCGCATGCCTCGCGCGCAGCAGGGCTGCAGCCGGCGGGAGCTCCTTCCTGAGGCGGTCGGCGGGGGGAAAGGCGCGCTGCGCCTGGCGGCTTGGGCGTCGCGCGCCACAATGCTGCCTCGCAGGCTCTCCTACCTTCTGGTAGCCCTCGCCCTCAGCAGCCTGACGGCGTTGCTGGTTTTCCTCCGCGGCCAGCCCGGCCCTCCGGGTCCCAAGGAGGAGGCCCGGCGGCCGCGGGGTCAACAGCCCCGGCAGCAGCCCCAGCCTCGGAGAGAAGGCGACTTCCTCCGCGGGGCTTGCGGCGCCCTGGCCGCTGAGGAGAAGGCGTTCGTGTGGGGCAACCACCTGCGCACGCCCTTCGGGCAGTCGCCCGACTGCGCCGAGTACGTGGAGGGCAGCCACTACGTCACGCGAGCCCTCTCGGAGGAAGAGGTCGCCTTCCCGCTCGCCTACGTCATCACCCTCCACAAAGAGTTCGCCACGTTCGAAAGAGTCTTCCGCGCGCTTTACGCGCCCCAGAACTTGTACTGCGTCCACGTGGACGAGAAGGTGTCGGGCGACTACAAGCAGAGCGTGGAGAGGCTGGTGGGCTGCTTCCCCAACGCCTTCCTCGTGTCCAAAGCCGAGCCGGTCATTTACGCGGGGATCTCGCGTCTCCAGGCCGACCTGAACTGCATGAAGGACTTGCTGCGCTCCGAGGTCCGCTGGAAGTATGTGCTCAACATGTGCGGCCAAGACTTCCCGTTGAAAACCAACAGGGAAGTCGTCCGCCACCTGAAAAGCTTCAAAGGGAAGAACATCACCCCCGGCATCCTCCCTCCTGAGCCGATCACCGTAAGGACCAAGTACGTTTACAAGGAGCACATAGACAGAGAGTCCTCTTACATGAAAAGGACTGGTACCCTCAAATCACCTGCGCCCCACAATCTGACAATTTACTTTGGCTCTGCCTACATTGCCCTCACCAGGCCGTTTGTGGAGTTCCTTTTCCAGGACAAACGGGCCCTCGATTTGCTGGAATGGTCCAAGGACACCTACAGTCCGGATGAACATTACTGGGTGACGCTCAACAGGATACCAGGTATGTTAATGGCATCTGGCAGGAAAGCATCTGGTGCTTTCCTGGTCTCCCAAGGGGCGCGTGTTCTCTTTTGTCCTGTAGACAGGACTTGCTTGCTAAGAGCATTTCCAGATGGAGCCTCTTTAGCTTGGGAAATAATTCACTGCATCTCTCAGAACTCCAACTGTGAGCTGTCCAAACCACAGAGCAAAACCCTGTACAGCTTTCCACCTTGCTTTTATTTTTCAAGGACACATTTCCCACCTTTTCCAGTTCAACAATAAATCACATTGTTCCCAGTGGCGCAGGGAATAATTGCCTGGATACAGGCTCCACTGTTAAGGGTTGATTACACCCGACACAAGATTATTGAGCTCTGTAATAATAACAGCATATACCCAGCAGACTTTAGTGGAACTTAGTTTAAAGTCCTGCCCAGCGTGGCAGAAGCAGGATGAGAGGACAATGCCTCTTTCTTACAGATGGACAGATGTATCAGAAAGAAGGAAATAGTGAAGTTTCCCAATAATCTTGTCCTGGGGCTATTTAATGTAATTTATTTGAGCATGATCTGGAATTGAGGGTAAGCAGTGAGGTAGCCAGGTTGAAACTCAAGGAGGTAAAGTGCTCCAAAAGAATCTCACCAAATCTAAGCCTGCAGGTGAGAAAAGGGGAAATGAAAGTGAATGTAAGTAGGTGTAAAATAATGCATATCTGGGGCAACAACACACAGCTTTCCATATGAACTTATGGGATCTGAGCTGGCTGTGATTAACAGCACCACAGGTATGTCTGGAATGCCTGCCAGTGGCTGTTAACATGAAAACTAACAGTGCAGCAATATGCCTATCTATTTAAAAGTAAGCTTCATTGAGTTAGGTATTGCCACCTAAATGTTAGAGCCTTCATGCTTCTGAAAACCAGTTGCTGGGTAACTTACAATGACGATGAACTGTTGCCTCCACATTTTCCATTTTTGGGCTTCCCTGGTGCATCTCCTTCAGAGGAAAGGTTAAGCTTAGGAGGAGAAAACCATGAGTAAGGAGAGGGTGGCATGATAGAGATGTGTAAAATTATGTGGAATGTGGAGAAAGCAGATAAACTTATTTTCTCCATCTTTCATAACGCAATAACTTGGGTTGCATCAAATGAAGCTAAGAGTTGGAAGATACAGGGCAGACAAAAGGAATCACTTTATCACACAAAACCAAGTTAAAATATGTGGTTCATGTGATTTTACCATTGAAAAAGTGAATCTGTTCCTTTTGGCAATTGAAAACCTTAATTCCATGACAAGTTTGTAGCAAATGAATTGGCTGTGATGTTCCTAGCAACTGACAAAGCTCTATGAAACATTGCGTTAAGAGATGAAATCGAGAAATGATATAATGGTATATGTGCTTGATGGCAGGACCTAGGGCTCAGAGCAGGCATGCAAACTTGGACTCCAAGCATGTTGATTATGGAAAAGATAAACAAATAAGCCTGATATTGTGTTAGGCTTAACATATTTTAACAACGTCAGAATATTTTCAATGTTGTCTCCCTTGGTTACCTCCTGTGGTCAGAAGAACATGTGCAGTATATATTCGTTATGGTCTTCTGGTTTGTGATGCATTTCATTGCAGTAGCTGCAGTGATTTGGGGTGTCCCACAGAATGTGAGGCACTCTCCCAAATCTTGCTTCAAAGGGAAACTCCACTCAGAGGCTTCCTAGCTTCATTTGCAGTGCCTGCCATGCCTCTATGCTGGCTTCATGCTACATTCTCAGTAGAGTTTATCTTTGGGTACTGAACCAGATAGTAAATCACACTTTCCTTTGACTTATAGAATCATAGAATTGTAGAGTTTTTTGTTTTTTTTAATAATCTTTATTGCTTTTAAAACTTACAAGAAAAGAAGAAAGAAGAAAATAGGCGAAAGAAAAAGACAAAATAGAGCAGAGAAGGAAAAAAAGAGAAAGAAAAGAAAATACAATACAATACAATAAACAATACAAAACACAACCTTAACAGACTAAACTAAACAAAGCAAAAGAACAACAATTTAAAAACATATATCATACCATTTCATTACTCTTATCTTTCATTTCCTTATTTCATCGACCTCCTCTCACCTCCCTTTTTGTATTCCACTTCTATTACTTGTTTCAGCAATTCCTTTCCATCTTTCTCTATTTTTATCATTATGAATATCTTAACATATTTTGTACCTTATTTTCCATTAATACTGAAATACTTATTTATACCTAACTCCTTATAACATTTCTGCTAAAGCCATAAAATTTCATTCCAACAATTTTCTAACACTCATTAAATTTACAATATTTCTATATATAAACTTTAAACTTTCCCAATCTTCTAGCACCATCTCTTCTCCCTGGTCTCGGATTCTGCCAGTCATTTCCGTCCATTCCATATAGTTCATCAACCTGGAGATCTTCTGTCCGAGGCTCTTAAATCTTTTCCAAGTCCCTTCTGCAGTTTTTCTTCATATTCTTTGATGCTGAGGGTGCTGAAGCGCAGGTCTTGGGGGGGCCCCAACCCAACCATGCCCCCATTCCCTCTCGGCAGACCAACCAACTCTCCAAAGCTAAAACCAGTGTCCATACAATATCTCAAATCATGTTTCAAGGCTCCCCCAGATCCAAAGGCCCCCACAACTCCAATCACCTCCTGACCCAGATTCAGGACCCAAAGGTCAGTAAATCTCTGCATGAAAGAGTCTATCCAACCTTCCTTCTTCAATCCAAACAGGGCTCCAATCTTCAAATTCTGACTTTTTCTATATTCATTCATAAAAGGCCTCCACTTATAGTCCTCAGTTTGCCTCTGTAAAACTGGGGCTTCCACTTGTATTATTTTAGGTTTAACAACACCAACATTCTCCTTCGTCTTCTCCCCAGTTTGTCCTGTCAAGGTAGGTTCCTGTGTCAAATCCTGAACAATTTCTGTATTAATGGTCACTTTTTGTTCCAAATTAGTCACTTTTTGTCCCAAGTTCTCAAGTTTGGTATTCATAGCGTCCGTCTTCTTGTGGAGCTGTTCCAACGAATAGCTTATCTTACATAATACAGTCACTAAGGCTCCTTCTGTCAACATTCTTAAAGTCCAAAGTCGATCTCTATTTCACACAGTTCTTATCTTGCAACTGGAAAAACCCCAGCTCCACTCTTGTAACTGTTTCAAAAGCTCTCTCTAGAGGGAAACAGTCTCCACTTGTATCAGTCCTTTCAGATACAGTTTAAACTATAAAGATAGTTTGTTTTCCTACTTTTTAAATGCAGATGAGTACAATGGAAACAATATATTTCTCTTATTGCTAGCTGTCAAAAAACGTCACTCTTTCTGGCAGCCCGTTTCCAGGTTTGGAGCAGTGGTAATTTGGTTTTTCACTCTCTCCTGCAGACTCACTAGGTCCAAAATTTCCCCCCTCTTCTCCTGCTTCCAAGGGGGGTTTAACCGATGGAGATTTAATCCTTTACAAAAATAAACTTTCCAAGGCTTTAACTTGCAACTTCTTTGCTTCAATCTGTTTACAAAAAAGGAAGGCGGACTTCCTGTTTAGAACCTTCCCGTTTCGATGCCAAATTAATGAATTTAAGGATCTAATTTTCCGTTCTACTCATGGGTAGTTGTTTAAAATCCAATTGTCCACAGGAAAAAGTCAGTGCTCTCCAGCAACAGCGATGCGGCTTCACTCCGTGAAAGAAGCAGTCAATTCGAAGCACCGCACCACTCACCCCACTTCGCTCCGGATCCCCAAATCAGGGTTTCCCCGCGGGTAGGGGAGGCGCAAAGGGTGCCAGCCAAATCCCAAGTTCACAGGCTTCTCCAGCCTGTGATTTCAGTGGGTCTCCGCCTTCGCCGTGGCGGTCAGACCCTAATTTCCGAGGAGCAAATTCCTCCCGATCGGAGGAACTCCGCCATTGCCTGGAGGCGCCAACCCAGAAGTCTATCCATAGAATTGTAGAGTTGGAAGGGATCATGAGGGTCATCTAGTCCAAACCCCAGTAATATATACACTCCCCCCTCCCCACATGTAGGTTATATAGTGAGTAAGCTTTAGACATAAAATGTGTCGGTTGTGAGATGCTACATGAAGATGCAAATGTGGTTGGCCATTCCACCATTTTCTACAGACCCTCATTCCCACCCCCCAATTTCCCCCCTTTTCTTATTTATTGAATCTTATTGTGGCCCACTCCCCCCCCCCCCCAAGTTTTTGCTTTTCCTCTAAGAAAGATGTTTTCTTCATCTGACAGCCTGCCACCTTTGCTCTTTTGGTTGGGTGCTACACAGTGGCCATACCAGCTCCCTGAAGGTATGGTAATAGCTAGTTAGTTGCCTCCTCTAACAAGCCCAGGCAGGTGAATTGGGCCTGTGGAGCAGGGTGGTTGCTATTATTGTCCATGCATCCTAGACACAGGAACATTTGGCACAGAGGGAATTCTCAGTGCCCTTGCCTTTTCTTCCTTTCAGATCTCTGGTTTCTCTTATTAACGTTGCTTCCCAAAAGACATAAAATTGCAGAAACTCTGTTCGTGTGTGTGTGTGTGTGTGTGCGCGCGCGCGCAATTTGAATTTGCAAACTATTTTCCAAAGAAATATAATAGAACTTGAAAGAGGGGAACCCACCTCCAGTACATAAAGAAGGTTATTAGATGTCAGTGTCTTAATGCATTTCTGATCACTCAAAGGGATATATCTGACTCGCCCACACCCATAGCTGACCTAATGAAATCAATAATCTTAAATTAATTGCATGTGATTTAAATCCATTCATTTTAGTGGGTCTACTCTGTGTATGTCTTGGATATAACCCAGTACAGGAGATTCCTGCAGAAGAAATACTGTATTTTGCCAAGAAACATCTGTAGGTGCTCTGGCCAGCTGATGGTCTTGGAACATAAGAACATAAGAACCTCTACTGGATCAGAACAATGGCCGAACTGGTTCTGTTCTTGTAGTGGTCAACTAAATGCTTGTGGGAAGCACGTAAGCAGAACCTGAGCACAAGACTTACCCTCCTTACCCTCAGCCCCCAGCAACTGATATTCAGTGGTATACTGCTTCTGATAGTGGAGGTGCAACGTGATCATCATGGCTAGTAGCCACTGATAGTCTTATCCTCCATGAATTTGTCTGATTTTCTAAGTCAACCAAGTTGGTGGCCTTCATTGCCCCCTATGGGAGTGAGTTCCACCATTTAACAGTGTGCATTGCTGAAGAATATCAACAATGGCCTTCATGGTGGAACTGGATGATTACCGTACTGGGTGCTGAAGCTTTCGAAAGGTGCAGAATTATCCCATAAATCTGTTGGTTGGACTAAAAGGTCTGCTATGAACGTTCTGAGACCTCACAGATCAGGCTGTTCCATGGGTTTGTGGCATGGAACATGTTGCTTTTCTGACGTTGTTAAATTCCATCTCCCATGAGACCCAGCTAGCATGGCCAATGACCAAGGGCTATAGGAGCTTTAGTCCAGCAACACTTGACAAACTGGACTCTGACACACAAAGGCTTGTGCCATTACAAATTTGTCATTTTTTGCTGCAGTGGAGCAACACCACTATCCCTTTGGAAACAGGACTATGGAGAGGCAGAGAAGCTGAGCATCAGCACAAAGCAGAGATGGGGAAGCTGTAGCCCTTCAGTGCAGCCAATGGTCAAAGATGATGGGAGTAGGGGGCCCAGGAGCATCCGGGGGACCATCAGTCCCCATCCCTGGCAGTCTGCAGAACATGAGACTCCTAATCTCAGGGTCGTGGGTTTGAGCCCTATCTTGGGCAAAAAAAATCCTGCATTGCAGGGGGTTGGACGAGATGACCCACGTGGTCCCTTCCAACTCCGCAGCTCTATGATTCTATGATCAGCCAACCAATCCTAGGAATGCCCATGATGAGCAGCCTGGTAAAGTAGCACAACCACCCTGGCTAAAGCACACAACAGCTTTGATGTATCGCAATACTTGCTGCTTGTTGTGTAATTCATTTTCTAAGAGCCCAGCCATTTTCTTCCCGAGCTACTTTTCCTGACCTTAAAACCTCCCCTGAGGGCACTCCTTTGTTAGGAGCAGTGCAAAGTGCTCATACTTGTCACCTGGGGTAAAGTAATGTTTCAGCTATCTTTCAAATTATACCCTCTGGCAAAAAAAGAAAAGATAACCCACCTCCTTGGATCTTGTGAAAGCTACACTGGCTGGAAAGACAGGTCAGCCCTCTTGAGAGCTTCTGTTTCGCCCTTTCCATTGCTCCCAGCTATTTCATAATCTTCAAGAGTGAAACCTGAACAACAACGAAATGTCCAGATATTTACATGTCCTTTCATCCATTTCCTGGGGGGCAAATGAGTCAAAGTAAAGGAACCGAGGATCTTAGGCATAACCTTGGGGTAGGGGTGGGGAACAAAGTGTTTGGATGCCAGAAGTGAATCCAACACAGGTTTAAGATAGCATAAAATTGGTTTCACCATGATGAGATTTCCAAAGAAGCTGGCCTGAGGATTATAGTTTGTGGGATGTCCCAAGTAGGGCTCACCTGAAAACCCCCCAAAATTCCATTGGACTGCTGCTATTATTATTTTATCTGCAGTGACTTTGATCCAAGATAAGGTTCCCATATTTTTCTTGGCCTCCAGCAGCTTCCTATACACAAGCTCCAGAAAAAGCCTCATGAACAATAAATATACATACATACGCAGATCATTTTTTTGGATGCATTTCCATAGTTAAAACCATGCTCAAGGCAGCTTACAACATGAAAAAGAAACCAGAATTACAAAAGTTGAGAGAAACAATAAATAAAACACATCAAAAACCACACAACCAAATTGAACAGTTCCAAGATAAATCATAGTAAGATAGCCAAGAAGATGGTCTCTGTGGCCTCTTCAGCAGCCTTAGCATTTGTAGCTGGAGTAAGGCAGGGAGGCAAGGTCTTCCAGGACTCACAGCCAATGTGGAATCATCCAAAACAAGGCTTTGATCCTAAGCTAAGTTGACTGAAGGAAGTACGCAGAAGGAACATTTCTGTCCTTTCCTTCTGCCACTCTTTGCACCCACATTTGCCAAGGCAGTGCCAAAGTGACGGCTGCTTCCAGGCAACCTTCCATCAGCAAAGCAGACTTGAGGAATCTGTGGCCTTCCAGATCTTGGTTGCTGGACTCCAAACTTCCATCAGCTGCAGCACCCTGCAGGGCCAGTGATTGGGGATGATGAGAGTTGCAACCCAGCGACATCTGGGAGGCCACAGGCTCCCCAGCCTAGCATTAAACCCAGTGCGGTGGGGTGACTTGCTGGAGACACTCTGCTCAGGGGCCCTTCATGCAGCTTTGCATGCAGGTTGATAGACCAGCTAATAACCTGGGATTCTTCTTTTTTATCCCTCTTGCTTGAAAACTGGCCCCACAATGCCAGTCTTCCAAACTCAGTAGGCTATTGCTCTTCCATTGACTGTGGCGATTAATGCTACAAGCACCAGAATGCCACCAAGTTAAGGTTTGTTGTAGGGATTTGTTGCCCCCAAGAACCTTGGAGTTACTTACCATTTTTAATGAGATTCAGTTTCATTGGGTGATTCAGAATATCATCTAAGAATCAGTTCAGTATATATATATATATCTGTGGTATTTGGAAGCTTAGCTGCTAAGCAGTGTCCTTGCAATACGCTGGGAATTGTTATTGTGATCAGCTGACACTGAGAATCAGGAAAGAAGCCCATCTGCTTCTACCATAGGAAGGAAGTGGAAATACGGAGTTGAGAGTAAGTGACATTTATTGAACATAGTTTGCTGTTGCAGGTTTGTTGCAGAATGTTGTGCGTTGATGCTACTGTTGCGTTGTAAATAATCTTATGCATGCCGTGTCTACTGTTACATTAGTGCTTTCCCTCTACCCGAGAGATGGACAAACAAGCAGATCAGAATCTGCTGGTAGATGTTTGTGTGATCTGTAGTAGATAGCCACGGCTTTCTGACTCCCAGTTGCTTAACAACAGGAAGTAAAATGTGCAAGTTAAAAAACAAAACTCTCTGGGAGGAATTCAACATCATTATATGGCTAGCAGTGCATTTAGGGCAGAGTGACTGGTTCCCCTGCCCTGGGCGCTAAGCCTAGGGGGTGCTGCAGGACATTGCAACTATAACATAGCGAATTGAGCAAAACAGAAGATGAGAAGTGGAGGGTGCTGGATTTTGGGCCCACACAGGGCACTGCTGAAATTTGAAAGATCAAAATCTGCCTCTGCTATGGCCATTGTTCCACCAGTGCAAACATTTCAGTTTGCCATGTGGAAGGGTCCCCCATCTCTTGTCTCCCCCTTGCACTGTTTTTTTTAGGGCGGTTCTCCCACCAACCTACTGAACCAATTTTGGGGGCACAAGGACAGGGGTAAGCAGCTCTGCGTTACTAGAAGTCCTTGTGTGGGTTTCTCTTAGCAAGACTCATTTGCTGAATCTTTCCCTCTGTGTTGTTCACCTATAACAGGCTTCCTCAACCTTGGCCCTCCAGATGTTTTGAGACTACAATTCCCATCATCCCTGACCACTGGTCCTGCTAGCTAGGGATCATGGGAGTTGTAGGCCAAAACCATCTGGAGGGCCGAAGTTGAGGAAGCCTGACCTATAACATATTCATATTCATTGGTTCCCTTTTACCATATCTTAGTGCAACCCTGTGGGGTAGTTTTAGAGGTTTGTGCTTAGAATCCTTAATCTGTAGTAACTCAATACATATATACACCTGGAGAATTTGGGCTACAGTAGGTAAGGCTCCCATGCTCCAAAAGCACCGTTTTGCATTGTTCTGCAGCTGCTATTTTGCACCGTCTCTGATTGGTGGACTTTGGGCCATAGTAAAAATGAAGTAGATGCCACAAATTTCACCTTTGCTGTACTCCATTCATGCCTGTGTGCAGTGCAACCAGTTCTGTTGACTCTCAGCATTTCTTCCAAAAGTTGGCATTGGGTCCAAGAACACAAACATTCCTCATGGCATTTGCAGGACGTATCATAAGCAGCACATGCAGACTGACCGGAGATAGTATTTCCTCCAGGCTCGTTCTTGTGCATGGACATTCGACTTTGTTTTACTGCAGGGTTCACAGGTCGACAGGAAAACCATACCTCCCTTTGTGATGCAGGAACTATTTGTACAGCTGGAGATTTTGGAAATAACTTTTAGTGATCAGGATATGTGTGTTGTTTTTAACACAAGCTGGCTGGGGCAAAAGCCAGAGGCTTCCAAATAGAAACCTTTCCCTTTGAGGAAACTGAGATGAATGAGGATCTCCAACAGGGTGGCACAACAGTGTTCACTTCTTCAAGAGTGAATCACCTCATTTTAAGAATAAGACTTATCTTTCTCTTGTGTCCTCTCTTCAACAAACAGGTGTCCCTGGCTCCATGCCAGATGGTAGATGGGAAGGTGACCTGAGAGCTGTCAAGTGGAGCAACGATGAAACTAAACATGGAGGATGTCACGGTAAAGAGCACATGGTTTTGGCATTTTGTTTCAGTCAACCGCGGGAAGCTTGATTCTCCCCACTGATTTTTTCCAAAACCATTGTTAACATCCATAAAGTTGAAAAGATAAAGATCCAGTTAGTAAGGTGATAGGGTAAAATGGGACTTTGTTTTTAGTAGACCTACATAAGACCGCTCGGCTGCCTCACGTACACAAGCACACCCTTGCTCAGTTGACTATATCTGGGAACAAATCCGTGGGAGTTGGGACTGCGAAGAAAAAGAAAAGGAGAAGAAAAATCAGATGCACAGAGGTGGAGGAAAGGGAAGAGTAGGAGGCAGAAAGGGTGACATATTGAGAGGAAGGAAGGAAGGAGTAAAGAACAGGATCAAGAAACAGGAGGAAAACAAAGATGTAATGAGCAGAAAACTATTGACAAAATAGAAAAGAAAAGAAGAGGAGCTAGAAAAAAAATAGAAGGGAAGGCACACAAAACAATGGTTTTGAACTGCAGCCATAGTGATACTGAACAGGCTTAGAGGTGCAGCAGCCAGAATTTTCCTGGAAAGGGAACTGCCTGCTACTCCCTTCCCTCAGTAGTGGTGCATTGTCATTTTGCGCAGCCACTAGAGATGGAGCCACCAGCCAGTGTGGAGCGAAGGGGGCTGCTTGGGGACAGGGATCCAGGGTGTGGTCATTCCACCCCTCCTGAACGTAACACCTTAAGCAAACTGCCTCCCTTTGATTCCAGACAGGGCAGTCGCCTATTTCTGCTTCCTTTCTTTATTGCTCTTTTGTTTATTTCTCTGTAGCTCTGTGTACTTTGCTCATTCAGCCATGTAGCACTCATCTCCTTGAATCTGAAAGGAAAACAAAGACGGGAATGTGGTTTCGCTACACAGCAGAGATTTCCCTCTTGCAACACAGCTCTCGTTCTGTATGGTCACATTAAATGTTTCCTTTGTTGATACACTGAGAATGCTCCACTAGCGCCCCCCCCCCCCTTTTTAGTAATATGTTAAAATGCCTGGAAATTACATAAAATATTTACACACATAGAATCATACAATCATAGAATTACAATTACACACACAGAATCATAGAACTGTAGAATTGGAAAGGACCCCGAGGTCATCTCAACCCCCTACAATGCAGGAATCTCAACTAAATCATACATGGCTGATGACCACCCAGCCTCTCTTTAAAAACATTAAAGGAAGGAGAGTCCACCACCTGGGATTCTGTTTCACTGTCAAACAACTCTTACTGTCAGAAAGTTCTTCCTGATACAGTGGTACCTCGGGTTAAAACTTAATTCATTCCAGAGGTCTGTTCTTAACCTGAAACTGTTCTTAACCTGAAGCACCACTTTAGCTAATGGGGCCTCCCGCTGCTGCCGTGCCACCGGAGCATGATTTCTGTTCTCATCCTGAAGCTAAGTTCATAACCCAAGGTACTATTTCTGGGTTAGTGGAGTCTGTAACCTGAAGTGTCTGTAACCTGAAGCGTATGTAACCCGAGGTACCACTGTATTTAGTTGGAATTTCCTTCCTTGTAACTTGAAGTCATTGGTTCGGGTCCTAGCCTCCAGACGATGAGAAAACAAGCTTTCTCCATCTTTCACGTGACAGCCCTTTAGATACTGAAGATGGCTATCATATCTCCTTTCAGTCTCCTCTTTTCCAGGCTAAACATACCCAACTCCCTCAACCATTCCTCATAAGGCTTGGTTTCCGCACCCTTAATCATCTTGGTTGCCTTCCTCTGCACACATTCCAGCCTGTCAGTATCCTCCCTAAATTGTGGCAGCCAGAACTGGACACAGGAGTGGTCTGACCAACTTAAGGTCTTGGGCACAGGCATGCATTCCAGGCCCTTCCTGTCTTGTCCACAAAAAAAGAAGAAAAGTTTTTGTGTGTGATTATTTTTTTCTCCCCCTATTCCTTGGCAGGTCGTTATGTCAGAGCCATTTGTATCTATGGAACTGGTGATCTGAAGTGGCTGCTGAAATCCAAAAGCCTTTTTGCTAACAAGTTTGAACTGGAAACATACCCACCAACCGTGGAGTGTCTGGAGTTGAGTGTTAGGGAGAGAACACTCAATCAGAGTGAGATACCGGTGGAACCAAGTTGGTACCTATAGGAAAAGATACCTTTTAAGTTAGTGAACAGAAACAATCATGCAAAGCCAGAAACAATCATGGAAAGCCAGAAACAGAAACAATCATGGATGGACCATTCATCGCACCTTGAAGCTGTGCTTCTTCAGGATACTCAATACGAGCCAGTTTTATAACACTTTGAATACCTTTGCACTAAGGCTGAAACAAGATTTCAGGGCAATCAATATATTAGCTGAACTTCCTTGATATTTTAAAGATTTTGGAACAGGGTTATTCGCCCTGCCCAGAAAAAAACACTCAGGTATTATTTATTAATACTTTGGGAACTGGTTTGTATTAACCAAGAGAAAGACAGTGACTTCAGATTTCAAGCTTACAATTCATTAGCTGGGCATCTTGTGCCAGCTTCTGCTGTCCTACACGCAAGCATTGTACTTGATACCTCTGCCAGCAATTTAGAAACCTGGTTCCTGGACCTCCAGGGTTCTCTCAGTTGAAGGAGAACCCCACACCCAACCCCTCTTTAACCCAGGAAGTATTGCATGTATGGCAGGGTAGTGTAGGAAGTCTGAATCACAGCCCCCAGAGGGTTAAGTAGGAGAGTGAAATAGAAACTCAGAGATGGGAGGGGAAATGTTTCTATTGGACCAGTTGCATGTTTACACTTGCCACATTCGGCTTGACTGTTAATTGATCCCAGAAATAAAAAAGAAAGGGGCTATCAGTGGTGTCCAGGACCTAGTTCATTAGGCCCAACTCTCTTTGTGGCAAGGAACTGTTGCTTGGGAGAAATGAGACTGCTTTAGTCAGAGGAAATGAGCCTAAGCACTATTGCATTCTGATAAAGTTAAGCCAGAGCTGTATCTAGCCAGGTTTTTTTTTGTCCCAGGTGAAGCCTCCAGGAGACACCATTGAGAATCCCAGCCTGTGTATGTGTGTACACAAATGCGCATGGGAGGTGTCAGATAGTTGTTTATTTCCTTGACATCTGATGGGAGGGTGTTCCACAGGGCAGGTGCCACTACCGAGAAGGCCCTCTGCCTGGTTCCCTGTCACCTCACTTCTTGCAATGAGGGAACCGCCAGAAGGCCTTCGGCGCTGGATCAAACAAACAAATAGCAGACTGGGCTGTTTGCTAAGTGCTGCATATCAAGAATGTTGGGTGTATACCTTGTGGAATCTCAGTCACAGAAAACAGCGATTTAACAGAGTTGTCTTTACTAGGTTATCACCAACATACACACAAGGTTACCAGTGCATAGACAAACAGTAGTTAGGCTATCTGTCAAGATAGGGATGCACCTGGACCACTAGATGAAGCTGGTGGCCACTGAGGCCACCTGAATCTTAAGCAAAGGTTCCAGAAGTAGTCCCAAGCTATGTGCCTGCTCCTTCAGAAGGAGCATAATCCCTCAGGAGCAGTTGTTACAAGCAGTCATCTCTTTCTGAGCCCAGAGAGGGTTCTTTGCTTCAACGTCCTTGCTCTGTTAGTCCACAGCCAAGTCCTTAGTTCATTGGCTTGCAAAGCTCTGCAACAGATAAGAGGTTTCAAGTTCTGAAGTCTGGCAATATCCCAACTTCTTCCTCAGATGATCTCTTCGAAAAATCCGAACTTGAATCCACAACCCCAACAGAAAGCCTTCAACAATTCCTGCAATCTCCTCCCACAACCCACACAGTATGTTGCCCTTGTATACATGAAGTTACTTGCCAAATCTGCCCAATAACACACATAAAGAGAGTTGTGAGGTGCCTGCAGGTGCATTATGGGTGATTGAGTTGTGTCTGCTGACTTACGAAGAATTAACCCATTAACTGCATTACAAGGGACGCTAAGCAGTGTTGCTAAGCTATAGAATGAAGGCTGAAATGCACATCATACAAATGAGATACTCCCAGGTGTTCCTGTCATCCTTTTAAATAAATAAAATGTACAGAGAAACATATGAACTAGAACTGACCTTTGACCAACCAACCCCCCCCCCCATTCTTGAGGATGTGCGCATTGCAGCTACTTTTGACCTTTCTCAAGGTCAGAAATGTAGAGGCGAATCTTTTCATAGCATGCTTAAAATAAAATTAAAAGTAGTGGAAACAGATTCTGCGGCCTAATTTGTGTGCATCAAGCTGTTGTTATAAGGCACAGCAGACCCATTAAAAATCAAAGCTGCAACTGGAAGTCAAGCAGTTGTTCACCATAAAAAAAAAAAAAAGGATTATCAACTGCATATTTTCCACACTGGCTTGTTTACTCCTATAAGTTCTGTCTAGGCAAAAACGATATCTGATAACAAGGAAGTGTAAAATAGAGACACCGATATTGTTTTGCATCATTTGCCTTTCGAACAGCGAAAAGTTCATGAGTTTCCATCAACAGTTTTAAAACTGAGGGCATGTCTTGTCATTGGCATTTCTAAGCTGCTCTATGAGCCTTTTGGGTGAGTGAGCAGGAAATTAAATGAAAAAATAACAATGCACGGCTAAATCATAAAACCTGTTTAGTTAGAATTACAAACCCTCTCAGTTTAGCAAAGCTTTCTTCCTAGTGAGCAAGGTTAGGATTGCAGCTTGAATCTGTGCAGGTTACTCAAGAGCCAGCCACACTTTGCTCAATGGAAATTACTTCAAAGTTGGTGTGTTCAGGATTGCAGCTTTGGAGTCCCGTTGACTTCTGCAAGGCTGATCTTCTATGTGCAAAGGCTACAGGTGCCTTTCCTTAGGATCACAACCTAAACAGGCAATGAGAATTCATGGGGTGGGGTGGGGGAATTACATGGTCAGTTCAGAACTGTTAAAACGACCTCTTTCCTCACACATATCACTATAATCGGTACAAATACATACAGGCAGAGTGGGTAGGCGTCATTCTCCAACCAATCTTTCCCCTGTTTTGTATACTTCATTCTAGGGACCTGTGTGTGTGTGTGTGCAATGGAAATTAATAAAACAAGTTATTCAGATGCATTCCATGATAACGGATTACTAGAAGAAACATGAACTTCCTTCCCCGCACTCTTTTAAATCCGTTAATTACATGTTTGTTCAGTTGCATTTATTGTATTTTAATGTTCTGCTGGAAGCCGCCCAGAGTGGTTGAGGAAACCAAGCCAGATGGGCGGGGTATAAATAATAAATTATTGTTGTTGTCATTTATATTTATAGAGTTGCATTTATATAGTTATATAGTTCCCTGACCTTTTCCTGACACAGTTCTGATCTTTGTGAAGAGTTCATATGTAATAATAATATTAACAACAGCTTCATACAACACCCTCCCTTTAAAATAATACACTGATCAAATCAGCTCCGTACATTTAAAATACAAGGCTATCTACAAAGAATCCAGGGACCTGTAGTTTACCCCTCACAGAGCTACCATCCCTAACACCCTTAACAAACTACATTTCCCAGGATTCTTTGGGGAAAACATTGTGTTTTCAATGCATGGTCTAGATGTGACCAGGGTTAATTTCATGCCACCACTTAAGTAGCTGTTGGAAAGCCACTTCAGATTATTGTGTGCCCTGTTGTCCCAGAGTGTGCTGGTGAGTAAAATCACACCATTCAATGTTGGACTAAACTCTTTATTAACAAAAACATGATCTCCACAGACTTGGCTGAAGGTCAGGTATAATGAGCACAGCAGCTCATTCCCTGTGGGTCTTACTCCATGAAATCAGTTGCTGAGATTAAGGTCCCTGCCTCCCCACAGCTGTCTATGTTACCTCCTCTCCAGGGTGTTTTCCAAACAATCGGAGACTGTGCCTGCGTGCCGCCAATCTCTTCGTCTTTTTCATGCCTCTCCTGATTCTGGGAGATGGGCAGGAGGAGCTTGTCACAGCAGGAGTCAGGAAGGGAGACACCTGTGACTCTCCACCAGCCTTACTCATCTCTGTCTCTTGACCTTCCTCATCCCAGTCGCCAGCTTCAGCTTCTGATTCTTGACTTCTTTCTGCCACAGACTCTCACAGCTCACCAAGCTCTTCCGCTTCCGACACCTACTCTTTCCAGTCTTCTCCCTCTGACCACTCATTGTTGTCTCATCCCACTCCCCAGACTCTAAGCCTTCTTCCCTTGGTTGGTTTCCCAACCTGGTTCCTCCCACCATGCCTTTGCATCCAACCAGCCCGTGACAATTTTCCACACATAGTACACACAACACACACTTTCACACATATGTGATTAGGGCGTGCCACGGCGTGGTTCACAGTAGGGCTGCTGCTAATTCTACCTCAGTAGCTGTGTCTAACTAGCTCCATCTGGTACGCACGCTGAGACCCTATCTGCCCGCGGACTGTCTCACCAGAGTGGTGCATGCTCTGGTTATCTTTTGCTTGGATTACTGCAATGCGCTCTACGTGGGGCTACCTTTGAAGGTGACCCGGAAACTACAACTAATCCAGAATGCGGCAGCTAGACTGGTGACTGGGAGCAGCTGCGGAGACCACATAACATCGGTTTTGAAAGACCTACATTGGCTCCCAGTACGCTTCCGAGCACAATTCAAAGTGTTGGTGCTGACCTTTAAAGCCCTAAACAACCTCGGTCCAGTATACCTGAAGGAGTGTCTCCACTCCCATCATTCTGCCCGGACACTGAGGTCCAGCACCGAGGGCCTTCTGGCAGCTCCCTCACTGCGAGAAGCCAAGTTACAGGGAACCAGGCAGAGGGCCTTCTCGGTAGTGGCACCCGCCCTGTGGAACGCCCTCCCACCAGATGTCAAAGAGAACAAAAACTACCAGACTTTTAGAAGACATCTGAAGGCAGCCCTCTTTAGGGAAGCTTTTAATGTCTAACAGACCACTGTTGTTGTTATTATTATTATTATTATTATTATTATTATTTGTATTTTTTTAGACCACTGTATTTTAATACTTTGTTGGAAGCCGCCCAGAGTGGCTGGGGAAACCCAGCCAGATGGGCGGGGTATAAATAATAAATTCTATTCTAACAACAGCTTGATCTACGGAAATAAGCAAACTATCCATTTGCTGCCTTTCTACTCTTTCTCTTGCCTCACTCTGCCTACTGATAGGTCTATCCGTATCCACAAAGGCTTACTGGGCAACCTCGAGGCAGTCACTGTTTCTCAGCCTAATCCACCTCACAGTGTTGTTGTGAATATAAAGGTGATGTATCCCTTTACAGCAGCCTGGAATCTTGGAGGAAATATGGGGACACAGAGCTGACGGGCGGGGTATGACATTTATCTTGTGAAATCTGATAACTGCTACAAAACAACCCACTGTGACAAAAGCCAGTTGAAAAGGTGCTGAGCATCGTAACCTCCACCGACCTTAATGGTATTTCATGCAGTTTGCACCCAATCTTTTCTGCAAAGAGGCACAACAGGTAAAGTAGATGCTGACTGCAAGCAAAACGCCCGTGCACTATTACAAGCTGCAGGTCGTATGGCTACGATACTTTGCTTGAAAAGCTAGGGTTGCCCTCTTTCAAAAAGCAAAAACCTTTGTGAAACTTTCCTGTGAACAATGTTTCAAACTATGCTGGCAGAGCTGCCATATCTTTTCAACACCTGCGAAATATGTTGCCCCTTTGTTTATTCTCCATCTAACACCATGAAGCCCCAAAGGATTCCTCAGAGCACAAAAGATCCACTTTGCTTTGGAGTCCTGGGTGTGTTTCTGTGATAGCTGCCCCTGAGAATGCCTTCTGCCAGGCTGCTGCCACCAGCACCCTGAGCCTCTGAGGATGGAGGAAGTACCAAGAGGGCCGCCTCTGCCTGTCTCAGCATCCTAGAGGGATGCTGTAGGGAAGGAGGCAGTGTTCCATATATTTGAGGCCCGATTCATTTAGGGCTTTAAACACCAACTTAATCACCTTGAACTGGGCCCAGGAACAAACCTACAACCGATGCAGCTGTTTTAAAACAGTGGTGATACGAGATCTAAATGGAGCCCTAGCTGTTAATTTGGCTGCTGCATTTCTCAACCAACTGATGTCTCCAAGTTGTCTTCGAGGGCAGTCCCCTTTACAGCGTGTTGTAGTAATAATCCAACCTGAAAGTAACTGGAGCATGCAGTACAGTGGCCAGATCATCTCCGTCCAAAAGGGATCTGCATCCAATCTATCACTGCCTCCATGCATGGATCTAACACCTCAACCACCTCTCCTGATTCAGATGGAACAGAGAAAGAGCAGGGTGCCATCAGCTCCTGGAGGTCCACGGCCCCACCCTTTGCCTCCCCCCCCCCCATTTTTTGTCATATTTGCATGGCAATATCACAAATTTTATGGTCTTTTTGTTCATTTTTAGCATACTTAAAATCCTTTGCTTATTAGGGGCTACCCCACATTTTGTTCAAAAAATTGCTTTGTAGAGGTAATTGCCATAGAGTTATCAAAATTTTCAAAAGTACGGGGTCCGTAGCTTGGCTTTTGAAAAATAGGGGGCCCTCAGTAATTAGCTAATTGGGAACCACTGATATAGATGAGAAATGACACAGGGGGATAAGATTGAACCCTGTGAGACACCCCAAGACAACTCCCATGTTGCTGAATGGTAGCCTTTTATGATGATTACATTCTGGAATTGAGATACTTTCCCAACCAAGTATTTGTGCACATTGAACTGGTTTTTTTCTTTTGACTTGTAAGTGTCATAGCTACAAGTTTTAGGCATTGTTTCTGTAAACGTGGGTGTGCCTTTATTTTGATTGTGTTGTAGAACATACATGAGTAATAAGTGCCCTGTATAATATTTCACAAGATAATAAATAACTCATGCTCAAGCTACACCCACCTGAAGGCAAATATGTCAGTTAAGGTTCCATGGAATGCCTTTAGACATTGTACACTTAGGTAAAAAGGTAAAAGGAAAAGAACCCCTGGATGGTTAAGTCCAGTCAAAGGTGACTATAGGGTTGCAGGACTCATCTCACTTTCAGGTTGAGGAAGCGGGCATTTGTCCACATACAGCTTTCTGGGTCATGTGGCCAGCATGACTAAACTGCTTCTGGCACAACGGAACACCATGATGGACACCAGAGTGCACGGAAACGCGGGACCTATTTATCTACTTGCACTGATGTGCTTTTGAACTGCTAGGTTGGCAGGAGCTGAGACAAAGCAACGGGAGCTCACCCCGTCATGGGGATTCGAACCACCAACCTTCCAATTGGCAAGCCCAAGAGGCTTGGTGGTTTAGACCACAGCACCACCTGTGTCCCTGGGATTGTACATTCAATGATGTGCCATAACTTCAATCCCTCATTGACATCTGCTTCCACCTACATCGATTTTGCAGAAAGCAACAAAACCAGAGTTTTTTTCTTTTTAAAATCTGTCCCCCGCCCCCCAGGCCTTCACATCTTTAAGCTAAACCATGGCTTACTACTGCATAGCAGGGCAACAGAAGGATCTCTGGAGGAGTGCTGTGATCTCTCTGGGAGTGCACACATTTGCTGATTCATGCTAAGTCATGGTTTGGCTAAGTGTTATGTGCCAACCAGGTCTTAGGTGCCAATTCTGTGCAGTTACTTAGGCCCAAGTCCCATGGAGCACATTGGGGGCTTACTTCTAAAAAGGTAAGTTTAGGACTGTGCTCTCAAAAACCCCAAATATTTTAGCTCGCTCTACTCAAATAATTATTTGATATTAAGGAGTTAAAGGCAGAGGAGCTTATTCTGGCACTGAAAAGCAATTTCCTCCTATCCTTTTATAGTCTGCAAACAAAGGATTGTTTTTTCATGGCTCCGAGTTTATGAGGAGAGTTTGAGATTCCCACGCATGCATATCTAGTTGCATTTAGTTAAAGGTCCTCAGTTTGCAGTTGTAATTTGTTTTGTGGAAACAAGGTAAGTGGGGCGAGGCTGAAATTGCTTTTGAATTGAGAAGCTTCATCCCTTGGCCTTCCAATGCCATTAAAACCCAAGAAGATAAACGCCAGTTCATTAGATGTGGCTGTGGTGAAAAGCGTGCTCTCTGCATATGCTCTGAAACATTCTTAACATTCCATTGAAATTTATAGAGAACTGAACCCTGGTATTCAAAGCAGTCTCTGCAGATGGTGTGTGCAAAGGTAAAGAAAGAAAGAAACCCAGCTTCGAAAGCCCTTCCTATTGGCCGATGAGTTGCAAATGACTGTGCGCGGTGGGGGTGTTCGCTAAAATGATTTCAAACTTCACCATAAAGTATCCTGGACCTGCAATCCCAGTTCTCTCTCTATTTCAGAGAATTAGACAAACACATTTTGATGGCCTGCACAAACCCCCAAGCAACTGCTGTCATATATTATTAGTGGTTGTTTCACAAGATCAGCCCTCAGATATAATATTTCCCCTGGTAATAGGAATTGTAATTGATTGCATGTTTGCTTCCTATATTCTAAATATATATATATATATATATATATATATATATATATGAATGAGAACCATCACCTCCCATCCGCAAGCACATCTGCTTGGACATAGTTGAATACCATCCCTATGGGAAAGGGCCATAGCTCAGTAGTAGGTAATCTGCCTTGCATGCAGAACATCCCAGGACTAGGTATAGGGCTGCCATAACTGGGATTTGGCCATCGCAAACAGTGTCTGGGCAGAAATCACTTTAAAAACAAACAAACAAACAGAAAAGTCTGGGGAAATCTGGAAGCATTGCAACCCATGTCGGAAGTGTAGATTTTGCAGAATTTATTTAAGAATAGCTTAAAAACTTCAATTTTATTTTATTTTTGGAGATTTTGCAAAAAAAACACACCCAAAAAGTTCAATAACTTTGGGCAAAACTTTAAAAAAAAATCTCAATAACTTTGCCACCCCCCCACCCCCACCCCCCAAAAAAATATACCTGGAGAGCCATTGCCGCTCAGTGTAGACAATACTGAACTAGGTGGCCTGATTCATAGAATTGTAGAGCTGGAACGGAGCCCGAGGGTCATCTAGTCCAACCCCCTGCAATTCAGGAATCAAATCTGAACCAGGATTCAGTATAAAACAGCTTCTTATGCTCATGGGGTTACGCACGTACATCTCCAAACAACAACAAGGGACGGCGGCTAAGCAAGAGAATCACCGCACTGACAGCGCTTGGCTCATGAACTCCGGGCAAAGTGCCGCTCGTCCCTCGCTCTCGAGCACGGAAACTTCGGGCGTGCTGCCGGTTGTCCACGCTTGCGCGCTCCCGCAGCGGAGGGGCCTCTGGGAGACCGAGTAGCTCGCCGTCAGTGGGGGAGGGGGAGCGTCCTAGGCAATCCTCACGCTGTGCGCCCTTGGAGGAGGAAGGTCAGTCTGGGGCGCTGCGCTGTGCGCTCCGTTGCAGCAGGGGGGAATCTTTTGCCTTTGCTGCATCTTCCCTCTGAGTTACAATTTGGCGTTGGAGGAGTAGGAACTATGGATTCCGCCCACATTCCGCCCCATTGCAATGGTCTATGGCTGCCTGGTTGGTGCAAATGTGGGGCGATCAAGCCAAAGTGGTGGATTTGCTTCCTATATGGGGGAAAGAGATACCCTACTTTTCAGGTGCATCGGGGCACCTTGCTGCTTTGGGCACGCTGCCCTCGCTGCAGGAAGCACCCGATCATCGCGGAGGTTGTGCCGCCGGCTAGACTCAGCCGGTGTCCTCCCATTGCCCGGCCTGTTTATTATTAGCCCATCTAAAGGCCGCGAGTTACAGTTCTGCCGCCGCCGGGATACAGTTGCTCTCTGTTTCCTTACTGGGTGCTACATTGTTTTAGACTCCAGATCAGGCATAGGCAAACTCGGCCCTCCAGATGTTTTGAGACTACAATTCCCATCATCTCTGACCACTGGTCCCGTTAGCTAGGGATGATGGGAGTTGTAGTCCTAAAACATCTGGAGGGCCGAGTTTGCCTATGCCTGTTCTAGAGGCTGGTGGATGCTCAGAGCCCCTGAACAGCAGCATGGCAGGTGGATGTTCAACAGGCGCAGCAGGGTGTGGAAGGGGTTAGCTTCCCCCCTGCCACACAACTTGTTTCAAGGCGCTTTCTGGTGGTTCACCTAATGCCAGCTGTTTTGCTGAGGTCCTTGCACCTGTTTGCTGGTTCTGACCCATAAAAGCGCTTAGAATCATAGAATTGTAGCGTTGGAAGGGACCCCAAGGGTCATCTAGTCCAACCCCCGGCAATGCAGGATTCTCAGCTAAAGTATCCATGACAAGATGACCAACAAACATCTGCTTTAAAACCTCCAAGGAAGGAGAGTTCACAACCTCCCAAGGGTGTCCCTTCCACTGTCAAACAGCTCTTGTTATCAGAAAGTTTTTCCTGATGTTTAGTCGGAATCTCCTTTCTTGTAAACTTGAAGCCCCTGGTTCTTTTTGCATCTTGAAGCAAGAGTGCCTTTTTCTGGATTACTTAACACAGAATAGTCATGCTTGTCACCTTCGTATATTTTAAATGTGACTGCAGGGATTCTAGACTGCAACAAGAAGAATGGTCAACCCACCCAGAATGAATTAAGGAGATAGCTCAGTCTGTAGAGCATGAAATCTCAAGGATCGTGGGTTCGAGTCCCACATTGGGCAAAAGGTTCATGCATTGCAGGGGGTTAGATTAGATGACCCTCAGGGTCTCTTCCAACTCTGATTATTAGCTCCTTTCTTGCTGTGTGGTGGTCCCCTCTGGTGCCTTTCCCCTGACATAAAATTTTAATTTAAAATACAGTGGTACCTCGGGTTAAGTACTTAATTCGTTCCGGAGGTCTGTTCTTAACCTGAAACTGTTCTTAACCTGAAGCACCACTTTAGCTAATGGGGACTCCCACTGCTGCTGTACCGCTGGAGCACGATTTCTGTTCTCATCCGGAAGCAAAGTTCTTAACCTGAAGCACTATTTCTGGGTTAGCGGAGTCTGTAACCTGAAGCATATGTAACCTGAAGTGTATGTAACCCAAGGTACCACTGTAGATGGATGTGTGCTTTTTTAGACTCGGATTTCCCCTGCAGATTTATGAACTGTAGTCAGGGGTAGATAAGCTACTGTTGTTTCATGACCTTCACTTCCCCTGTGGTGGGACTCATTCATTGGTACCATTTTGTTCCCACCCACCTTCCAAGGACATCGAAACAGAGCTCTTGCCTCAACAAATCTGTGTTCTGCTGTGTCAAAGTGTTGTGTTGGGAAGGTCACTTTCCCTAACATGGTAAGATCTGTCTTACAATGGAACTGACTGCAAAGAGGTAATGGTGGAGTCTCCCTTCCTGGAGGTCTTGAAGCAGAGGCTAGGAAGCCCTCTGAATTGAACTAAGCAGGCCACCAGGCACCCTCCAATTCTCTGATTTAGGCATCATCACCAGTAGGGGATGGCATGGTAGGGATGCTACCATGGTAGGACACTCACCTGACCTCTCTCTGGCTGCATCACGGCTGCATACCTGGACAGAAAGGGGGAGAGGAGAGGAGCAGCGATGGTGGCGAGATCAGTGCAGTGCAAATGCACCGGTGGAGCCAAGCCAATACTCCTGCTGCCATGTTTGCACTGCACTGGCCTTGTTGACATGCCTTGTTGACATGTCATGGTGATACTTGGTAGTTCTTAAATTTGCAAGTGAAATCCAAGTGTAAAACAGGTATATGCAAACATTTCAGGGCATGGAATGTGTACCTTTTTATCCTGTTGCCCTTGTCCCCCCCCTTCAGCCTCCTCTGCACAGCATCACCTCCAATAGAGGAGAAGCATTAAGATAAGGACGTATTGCTGTAAAAGAACCACGAGACCTTGGGAAGTGGAACTGCGTGCCCCTAATAAACAAACAGGTGAGATGAAAGCCAGAGGAAGGAGAGAGGTAATTTTTGTTCTGAGTTACCTTCTGCTGCCCCTTGCAAGAAGATGAGTCTGTAGCCCCAAAGCTTGCCTCTTGTGCGACTGTGCATGCAATACCCCAATGCATGCTAAATAAGGGTGTGTTTACAGTGCATTTAGACCTGGGAAATCTTGCGTTGGTTTTCCTGATTATAAGGCTAGCACTTCTGTCCCATTTGCTAATATATCATTCATGGTACCTGTCGCATTCTGGAACTGTGGCTTTTGGATCAACATACTGGCAGGTCACATTAAATTTCATTCGCAAATAGGCGTGGCATGACACAACAACAAACGTCATTGGACAGCGTAATTACTCCCCCACTCTTTCCGCACATACATGTTTCTGTTCTGCTATGGTTCCCCCATGAAAACAGTGGGGGAGAAATGCATGCTGGTATTCTGCCCCATATTTCATCACTTTACGCCTGAGATTTTCTGGGCTAATGGGGGTTGCAAACATCTTTTTTTCCTGGAAGCAATTAACACAGAAATGGGTGCTAACATTCCATTATGTTCCACTCCAAAAGCGGTTTTTTACTTTGTGCGAAAGCTCAGATATAATGTCTTTAATAAGTTTGGATGAATGAATTAGGCATTGCAGCCTCCAATTTTAGCCATGAAATCCTTCACCATCAGCTCAGCTGAAAATATTTGAACATTGCATTTTCATCTTTATGTTCCAGAATGAGTACGGACTGGCTTGGCTACGGTTATGCAGCACTGGTTGCTTCAGGAGGAGTAATTGGCTATGCAAAAGCAGGTATAGTATTAAGAAGTCAGACCCTTTTTCTGTTTTCTCCATCCTTAATTCAGTATTATGACATGGATATTTGTGCTTCGTAGCCTTTGCTGGTACAATAATTTTTAGTACGCACTTGGTAGATGGCAATAAAGGCATGTGGTCCTCATTGTGCCAAACATTCAGGGATAGCTATCAGCAATATAGCAATGCCTGCATTTTGGAATATAACATGCTGCAGTTTGCTTTCTTCCATGATTCGTAGTCCACATTGATTTGTTGCGGGAGCAAATAAATAAATCACAAAACTCAGAACTCACTTCATCCCCATTATCACCAAATGTTGAGAGATTCAGGGCAGACAAAATCATTTATTCACAGCACATTAAAATCATTATTTCAATTATTATTTTAAAAGCAGCATGAGCATGTCATGTGTTTTTTAATTGTACTTTAAAAAATTAAGCATGTGTTTTCTTCCCTGGGACCATCTGGTTAACGGTTCGTTAGAGTTTTTCCAAATAAGGTTAACTATGGACTCGGCACCCACAAGATGTAATGTCCTTTCATTGTCTTTTCTCAAAAAGAAATACTGGTTTGTAGATTTCATAATGGAACTCGCTTCCCAGAGGACCTCATTAGGCCGCCTCTGTTCTTCCTTGTCGACAAATTATTTTTCTGTTCCAGGAGCCTTTCAGGGGCTAGATGAGTTTTAATTGCTGTTGGCTAGCTTGCCTTGAAAAGGGGCCTGTTGCTAGTAATTTGAGCCACTTTAAATTAATTTATTATGTGCTGTTTTTATTCTCTTTTAGGATTCCAGTTTTAACGGTAGTATTATTTTGTCTTGTGACATGCAGTGAAGTAAAAAAGTCAGACAGAAACTGAATGGCCAGCCCCTGTTCATTTGCATTTGTGTCCTCCCTCACTTTAATAAGCCTTTCAATGCTGAAGAAATCCAAGGGAGTTTTGCTGCTGAGGCCCATACTACTCATTGGCCTTCCACAACCCTCTTGTTCTTTTACTCTAGGTAGCGTTCCTTCTCTCGCTGCTGGTCTCTTGTTTGGTGGTTTAGCAGGCGTGGGTGCTTACCAGCAGTCTCAGGATCCAAATAATGTTTGGCTTTCTCTGAGTAAGTATTTTATTTAGATTTATTTGACCAAAACAACAACCAAAGCCCACCCAATGTGATTCCTTCTTCTGCAATCTCTTCCTTCCCAAATCACAAACTCACAGTCAGCCATTGTTGCTTGCCAAGTTCCCATTTGCTGCAAAGGAAATGGGATATGGCATGGCCAGCCAGCCTCCCCCCGTACCACTGCTGCTTGATGTCCTTTTCCCATTTTTATAATAGTGGCAGCCTACATTCAAATTCTAAGGGACGCGGGTGGCGCTGTGGGTTAAACCTAGGACTTGCCAATCAGAAGGTCGGCGGTTCGAATCCCCGCGACAGGGTGAGCTCCCGTTGCTCGGTCCCTGCTCCTGCCAACCTAGCAGTTCAAAAGCACGTTAAAGTGCAAGTAGGTAAATAGGTACCGCTCCAGCGGGAAGGTAAACGGTGTTTCTGTGCGCTGCTCTGGTTCGCCAGAAGCGGCTTAGTCATGCTGGCCACATGACCCGGAAGCTGTACACTGGCTCCCTTGGCCATAAAGCGAGATGCGCGCCGCAACCCCAGTGTCGGCCACGACTGGACCTAATGATCAGGGGTCCCTTTACCTTTACATTCAAATTCTAGCAATGAAACACAACGTGGAACCAGAAATTGCAGAATTTGGGGGTTTGATGTAAGGAATTATGCAGGCTCGGGCTGTGGTTTAAACGTGACCTCATGTCTTATGGTATGGGTAGGCAAACAAAGGCCCAGCGGCCAAATCTGGTCCAATCGTCTTCTCAATCCGGCCTGTGGACGGTCCGGTAATCAGAGTATTTTTACATGAGTAGAATGTGTGCTTTTATTTTAAATGCATCTTTAGGTTATTTGTGGGACATAGGAATTCGTTCTTTAAAAAATAAATAGTTCAGCACCCCACAAGGTCTGAGGGACAGTGGACTGGCCCCCTGCTGAAAAAGTTTGCTGACCCATCTTAAGGTATCAGGTGATTCCTAGGTTGGCAGTCCCAACCTCTTTTAAAGTGTCCTGCAGAGGGCTGGCTACCCCTGGATCCAGGCAGAAGTCCAAGGGGTGGACAGTGGAAAGGGGATTTGTCAGGTTCTGTGTCACCCATGAAGCAGAGCTGGGAGAAGAGGAGGAGTCCAGGTGGTCAGAGAGAGAAGGAAAGCAGGCAGAGAAAGAGTTGTGCTATCTCCAAGGACAAGGAGGGGCTTAAAGTGGCAGCAGCAGCTGGAGCTGCCGTGCAGAAGTCACCAGTTGCTTATGTGCACTACATCAGATGAGGGGGATTAACTAAGCTGGAAGGGGCGTCGTTGTGCTGTTGCTTCAACGGTCCAGGTTGCAGCACAAGTCTGAAGAGGGAGGTGCCCAGCTAGCTATTTAGCAGGAGCGGTACATATAATTACTGCAATTTAGGAGCTGATGTAATAGTTGCCACTAAAGAACTAAACTTCCCAACGCTTGTCTTCACTGGAGCTGGGTGTGCTCAGAGGACACCCCTTGTCTTAAGGCACAGGATGTAACAATTTGGCAGAGGCTAGAAAGGTCTAGGTCTGCATGGGGGAAGCACCTGGGAACCTTATGCATCCAAGCTTCAGCTCCACTGAACAAAATGCAGGATGTAAATGTAACATTTGAATGAAGCTTTGGCTTGCATTAAGCTTTACATGTAATGTGGACTAATGTATCCTCCTCAATTCTTGTGATTTCCCTCCATTAGTTGCTTCTGGAACCTTAACCGGTGTGATGGGAATGAGGTTTTATAACTCCAGGAAATTCATGCCTGCGGGGTTAATTGCTGGTGCCAGGTACAAAATTCCATTTTCCTTCTCCATCTTTCCTGCCATGAACTATTATTTGGTTTAATGGAATGTGGGTACCTGTAAGATATAGTTAACACAGTCATAACATGGACTCGTCATTATCGTAAACTACAGTGAAACATTTAGATTATGGTACTGTGCTGTTTACTGAAATGTTGGTTTGTGTTTGAATTTAAACAGTCTGTTGATGGTGGGAAAACTTGGACTACAGCTGATGGAAAAACCCCTCCAGCCATAAGCGTGCAACAGATAAAAAGCAAATAAAGTACCTGAAGACAGCTTTCAAGCCACATAAAAACAGCTGAAGTTTTTGACTTTTAAAAATATTGTTAGCATCTGGAGAAGATACTTAACTACAGAAGCAGACCAGCATATTATCTCTATTGGCTCCTTTTGCACAATTCTAAAGTGTCATAGCTACGAAATTACAGCTTCCACATCACACTTTTTTAATTAAAAAATGTACACATTTCTTCCCATAGCCCTGTGCACTTGAAGATTGTGAATGGGGAAAAAGTGACAGTGATAACCACTGCTGCTGCTGCTGTGTTATCTATCATAAATATTTCCTTAACTTGTATCATATTTCACTTCTCTGTCTTGAAAAACTGAAATTTTCGATGCTGCATAGAGGGACTTCTTATTATAAATTTGTATCTGTACTTACAGGGCTACTATCAAGGTGACTAATTTTGTTTAAGTGTCTACAAATAATATATATTTTAAAAATCAGGTGAAAGTTTGCTAAATCTGTTGTTGAGGGTTTTGTTTTTAAAGATAGTAGTAAATAAACCATTTATCCAATAATAAAAAACAATTAGTTCTAGGTACCTTTCAGGGTGCAAGGCAGATTTTGTTTTGGGCGTCTCTGTGTGTATGGGTGTGTTTTACTTGCTGGCTGCCCTTGGTCAGCAGTACCTGAAAATATACTATTCAGGTAAAGATACTAAATGCTTACACAGATATTTGTTGATGGTTAATTGCCTTTAAAGAGATTATGGTACTGATCCAGTGATTATGTGGGTGCTGTGATATATCCATAGCAGTTGAATGGAATGAATACATTCCCTCAATATTGCATGAGGATAGCACTGCATTGCAGCCACTGAAGCAGAGCGGGGAGGGTACTGTTTTTATAATGGTCCAGAAAGACCCTAAAAGCAGATAAAGTACAGTCCTAAATGGCTTCATGAATACATGACCCCTTGCTGCTGAAGTAGCAGGAGAGCTGCTTCTTCCTTTGTCTGACTCAGGCAATTTTAATCACACCATAAACACAAGCAGTCCAGAAATTACGTTATCACAATGACACTTTCTAAGTTTTCAAAATTTCCTGCCGCAACCAACATCTCAACTTTGAAGTCATGCACCCCTGTTAGCATAGGAGCCAACTCCTAGGGGCTGTGGGGGCTTTGGCCCCCACAAAAAAAATATTTGAGGGGGACATTCCCCAAAGCTGATGGGCTTTGCCATTCACATGGTGTGTGTGCATTGTGTCATGTGATCAATTATGTCGGGTGGGGCTTACCTGGGCCCCCACAATATTTTATTCAAGTTGACACCCCTGCTGTACCATTTCCCAGAAACTAAGCATGAAATCACATGTTCTAAAGGACACTGCCACAATGTCCCCTCTCTCCATAACATCATTTACCCTGTGGGTTGAGGTCAATTTCATGTTTCCATCCTAGCCCTACCTAGGGGGAAAACATACATAAGAATTATGTCTAGGTACAAAACAGAACAGTTCATTACAGGGATGGAACAGGTTCTCTGTAAATGTATAGCTTCAGCCTAAAGTTAAGGCTCTCGTGTGTGTGTGTGTGTGTGTGTGTGTGTGTGTGTGTGTGTGTTCTAATGGAAGACTATTATAGTCTTGTGTATCTGAGAAGTTAACTTTATTATAAAAGAAAATGATTTTCAGCTGAAAACACCCCAGTCAGAAAGGCAAGTTCCTTGCTTTTTACTAACATACAAACCTGTAGACGGATACCTACAATATAGCATTTCAGTGAAACTGCGTAAACCTGGAAAGACTGAAACCCCACTTAACATGAGGGAACTAGTACAGTATTAGTCTGATGTTCCTGCAACTCCACATAGGAACATAATATTGCCTGCATAGCAGCTGCTTAGATAAACTACTGAATTAATATAATCACTTGCCCCTTTTTGCTACTAGTTAATTCAAGGTTTTCATGTTAAAACACACTTAACACATCAGTAAACTATTCAAATTATGAAAATGTGTTCAAGTGAGTTATAGCTTAAATCCTAATTCAAGCCTCAAATCAACCAATAAATACTCTACAACAGAACTGTACATTAAAAAACACATAAAATACATGTTAGCCTGCAAATAACTAACATTTTACAAGTTAAAAATATACAATACAATACATGCTATTTTTTAAACTTTGGATTGTCAGGTTTAATACAACATTACATATCATAACATTTAGCAGTTAAAGCAGCAGACCTTATATATCTCTCCACAGTTTGTATCTCTGTTGTCTAGTATATTAGCAAATCTACTAAAAACAGAAATATACTGAAATAGCACATAGGTTTGGGGCCACTGTGTACTTTATGGCATCCAAAAGGGGAAAAGGAGGTCATAAATGTGTCCCTGGCCAGAGAATGCAGCTAACTCTATGCTATAGGTATGAGGTTTCAACGATAAACACGCTTCAGGAACCGGTAGGAAATTCTATAGTTGTTCAGCTTTGGTTACCAGGCGAAGGCACTACAGTAAGTGGGACTAACTAAAATTTCTGCTTCAACAAAATTAGTGAAGAGTAAAAAAAAACCCCCACAAAAACCCACAGTGGCCTAGACTTCCTGCAGACAATTTGTGACAAAACACCAGAACTCTGGTTCCATAAAGGTGGGGATAAAAGTTGCCTGCAGAGCACAAAGATTAAAGGTCTTCAGTCAGTAATTACAATTAAAATACCCATCTATTTCCTGGCTTGGCAATTATGCTAAACCTACTGGGTAGGAAACCAGGCTTCAACACCATCCACAGGTTGTATTTCTCAATCACAGGATTAAACTTGCAAATGATCTCCAAGAAAACTTTCGCCTCAATCCAGGGGCTCCTTAGGGTTCCAGTGCTCCTGTTCACACATCCTTTGTGCAATGAAAGGCTTCTTTCATTGCATTGCAGTGTAATGCAAAGGTAACAACCACCACATACTTGTATCCAGTACACATTTGCAGATAACTGTCTGGGGATTAGGGCAAAAATGCTGTACAGATGAATCTCTTCCCTACTCACTTGTAAGTCAGATCCAGAAACAAGCTGTATACATTGGTCACTAGTTAAATAGTTTACAAGGTTTACAGCCTTCACAATACTTCTGCAGGATCCACATGCAAGGAGGGGTCCCATGCCTGCATAATACAACATGAAATGGGCTCTTGGGGATGTGTCACCTTTGTAAAACACTTATTTTCGTGGGCTTGGTGACTACGGATGGCCGAGGTGGGAAATCTGTGGCCCTCTAGATGTTGTTGGCCAGGATGATGGAAGTTGCGAGTCCAGCAACATCTCAAAGGCTGCAGCTTCCTCACCCCTGACGTATGGATTCACTCTCTGCAAACAAAAAGGTAGTTAAGGACATAGAGCAATCCAAAACAAAGTCAAATGGCTGTGGTTTAGTTCTGGACCTTTGATGCTAGCTAGACAATGCAATAGAAGATTATTCTCCAGCAATCATTATGACTTTCATTGTTCAAATCTGATTTTATCTGTAAATGTTCTGGAAGCAACATCCGTTTGAAAGTCACCCTTTACCCTACATTTTGCACATCTGCTGTTCTCCGCATAGAAATGACTCACAGTTTCTCAATGGTAAACATGTGCATTTGCTTTTTTTATGTCATTTAAAAACATTTTTAAAAGGAAACATCAAAGGGATCCAATAAAAACTTACCTAGAAAGAGTTGAAATACTCATTAGTTTTGGCAATATACTTTATAGAATACTTTGTAATGTAAACAAAATTAAACAACAACAACCCTACCTTAGAGACACTATTTTGAAGAACGCTTTCTAAGTAAAATGTATTTATTATTATTTTTCCCCCCCTAGAGGTAATAAAATACAGGCTCTCGGTTCTTTCCAGAATTGATATTCTATTAGTAGAAACGTGCTTTAAAGCGTCCCGGAAGTAAATGAAGGGAAGTGTATAACAGTCACAGTAAAGCATAGATAGTGGGAGCAAGCCCTCCTATCGATGCCCGCCATATTTGGCCGCCCAGTCGGTCCTTCCATGGATGGGTTGCACTGGAGGTGGGCGAGTTAAAATGTTCATGCCTTTCGCTGCTGGGTTGTATGTTGGCCCTGGTAACTGAGAACGAGCAGCTTTCGTTTTCCAAGCATATTCTGCATATTCTGAATTAAAAAACACAAAAGTCAATATAAGCCAGAATCCAGTGGCTAAAACTTTACCTCTCTCTCTGTTAAACAGAGTAATTGGTTTTTTATTTTAATAAGTTTATAGTACACGATACTGAATATTACTATTCACACAAAAGGGGGAAATATACTCTAGCTGTAATAGCACACATTGGTAACGAGCAGGGAAGGGAAAGAAGGGTGTTTATTTTCACTTTTTGCTGATGTAATGGCATATATGTCGCTACCAAAGCCACACAACTAATCACCTATGCCTAAACCACAGAGTTCTACAGCAGTACAAGGACAGACAACAAAGCAGCCTCAAGGCAAGCTATTTCATCCTTGGATAGTTTGGCTGGCTGTATCAGTGTTAGAAACTCAGATATATATAAGCTAGGTGCCAAATGGCTCCTTAAACCAGGGTTACAGTTGCCAAAACAGAATGCCTAGTTGCCCTTTTGGAGGCAGACAGCTTGAAAGTCACATTTTTCAATACAACTTTTTGGTTCCTGAAATTCATTTTGATTGTGCAGATAAAATATAATGGATAGAATTCTATAGGATGTGTTGCTAGTGTGTGAAAACAGTCAAGATCCAAGGATCCCCAGGCATGCACCTCCAGATGGCGGAGACATAAGGCACCATCCTGGCACCCAGGCATCTTCACTTGGTTGCAAGTGGCCAATAGCCAGGTGCAAAATGCACCTGGCACCTGGCAAATTTCAAACACTGGCCTGTATCGTAACTGCTACCAATGGGAATGTCTCTGGACCTTGTCATCCAGCAATACCTTAAATTATAGAACATATTTACTTTTTGCTATCACTCACAAGCACCTAAATACCTATGAACCTACAAAACACATCTCTATAAAGAGCATGAATAAACATACACAACTCATTCAAATGCTATGGAAACAAACCTTTAATAGCATCAACTTACTAAATATTGCCATATACAAGTTTTTAAACTGTTATATTACCCCACCCACCTTATTAAACAAGCATATACCTGTCCACACAACCAAAACATATAAATGCAGATATAGGATTCATTTTCTAAGCTAACTTTAAATCATGCTTCAAACATACCAACTGGACTAACAAAAGCACTTCTCAAAATCTTAATGAGGGTTTTCTTCACTGTGGCTATTAAACTTGTTTTCCTTAGCTTCTCCATTCTTTACTCTTTCCAAGAAGTTTGATATATTCAAGTCCAACTGCATTCAATTGAGATTACTTCCCAGTAAGTGTGTATGGGAATGATGCCTAACCTTTCCCGCCTAAAGAAGTTCAGCACTGCACGAAATAAAATAAAAACTAGATGCACAGCCCTAGGCAACCCTCATTTATATCAGACAGGAGAGGTGATATTGCTGAGAATGGTACCCAACCATGGAGCAAGGTAAACAATCTCTGGACCTCCCTAAACCAAAGCCTCCCAGAAGATAAGAGAACTCCAGACTGAATTCACTTGCACTGCAGAGAACTGCCACCCTGTTCTTCTGAATATCACCCACACAGACCAGCATAATAATGATAATAATAATTTATTATTTATACCCTGCCCATCTGGCTGGGTTTCTCCAGCTACTCTGGGCAGCTTCCAACAAAATATTAAAATACAATGGTCCTTAGATATTAAAAGCTTCCCTAAACAGGGCTGCCTTCAGATGTCTTTCAGCTTGAGGTAGGTAAGCATTGCTTTGTTTGCTTATTCATTAAGAAGTGCAAACATTGGCACTCAACTCCAAAAGATTAGAAAAGTCTCAGTTTGTCATTCTCTGACATTTCCAATCCATCATCCCACATACTATTGGCAGGGACTCCAGGGATAGGAGAGAAAAGCGATGTTGCCAGAGATATGCTCAGATTCAGCAAGTGCATTTGAGGTTTTATTATAATCAGCGCTTCCCCCCCAGGGGGGAACTCGCAGTACCGGCACCTCTTTTTGTTGTTGTTAAAAAGTGTGGCACTTACTGTAAGAACTTCATGGTGCGGACGGACACCTATCTTTCTAGAAAAAAGCACTGATTATAATCAAGTGGTATACAAATCTTGTGAAAGAATAAAGTAAGTTCTGTGGCAATTTGCACTCATCACTTGTGGCACTGAAAGACAACTGCACATAGGAGCCATGAGGGGATGTCCCTTTGCCCCCCCTAAAATATTTGCGGGGCCCAGGCCCCCCCAAGTTGATGGGCGTTGCCATTCAAATAGTGTGTGTTGAATCTTTTGTCTTTTGTCAATTATGCAGGGAGGGGCTTACCCAGGCCCTTCAATATCATTTTCAAGTTGGCACCTGGGCAACTGCATATAATGAAGGTGATCCACTCTGCACATTTCAGCCAGCATTTGCCTAGATGTGCTTTCCATGAGCCAGGAGATTCAAACCCATAAACTTTTATCAATAGGGTATGCTGGATACACTGCTTTATTCATGCTCCTCATTACATCACCATCAGTTCAAAACAATTTATTTATCACACAGCTTCCTAATTTTACCTTTCTTTGTGTCACAGATAGTAGGAAGCTCTGACAGGCAAAATAAATGAAGTGAGAAAAAGGTGAGAACATGACAAGAAAAATAAACATGTTTGCTGTTCAAAGTGGGAGGAGAAAGCTAGAATACAATAGAATAGTTAAGTCTTTCCCTCTGGGTGTTACAGAAAAAGATCTCCAGCTTTTTCCTGACAGAGTTTCTGTTCAATTAATAGCTGCACGATGGGCAGAAATTCAGGGCGCCATGTTTTCCATACCATGATGATTTAATGGGGAAACTGTAGCTGTTGGTATTTGTGAACACCAGGGAGCCATTATAGAACTGATCTCTCTTTCAGGGGAAAAAAAGCTGGTGGGCAGGAGGGAAACCAGCAACCCTAGTTATGGGGCAAGGATTCCCACTGGTAACTGCATTCCTAAAGGTTGCGGAGTCAAGGAATAGTTTTCTCCAACAAGCAACCAACAACTACTAGTCCATGTATGTAAATGACTAGAGACAAATCCATTATGTGGAGACAGTTAAAAGGTGACTAGATATGGCACTAGCCAGACAGCTCGTTTTGTGGAATAAGGGCTACAGAAATCGATGTGCCTCACACACTAGATCTGTAGTGAGTTGGGATACCCATCTCTCACTCTACCTTTGATGTTTGTGGTTTTAAATGGTGTTTTTTTCCTTGTTGCAACTATCAAGGCCCAAGCAGAATAAGGAAGTGGGACCTTTTCACCCACCATGGCAGTACCTAAGTTTCCTACCTCAAGACTGCTCTGCCCACACCCTGGGTCCGCTTTCTCTCTCTAAAAAGCCACTTCCACAGCCCTTATATCCAGGTGGAGATAACGAGCCACCTGCAAATAGCGAGTCAGTAAAACACACACAGTTCTAGATCACCTTCCGAAACATGGGAGCGCCAAGTATTCCCAGCTTACTCCTTTGTAAACTTAAGCCCTTGTCAAAATAAAAATACACCGGCATCATGAATGTAATTCTGAAGAGTATAACATAAAATGTGTGTCCGGTATCTATAGAATATTCATTACTTTTAAAAGGTATAGTGGCCAAGCGGTCCTGGAAGGTGAAGTAACAGGTTGCCAACTGTTCAATTCACCTCTATAGGTTGTGATTTGATCAACGGCAATTGGCAAAGGATGCATTTTATCTCCACACCATGAAAAGTTTCACCTGCCAATTCCCTGCATTTCACCCTGCTTTTAAAAATGAACAGCTACAGGGTCCGGCTGAAGACTTGGCAACCCCAGGGTGAAGTTTCATTTAGTCTTAAGTGCTGTAGTCTGCACATCTATTACTGGGCACTTAATCAAGGAACTTCGTGAACTTCTGATTCTTGCTTTTATGGTGCTTTAAAAAATACTCTCCAATTAATCAATGGTTCTTTGGCAAAGGGGTTTCAGGTGTGTATGACTTATCACAGACCATAAAGTAATACATTTTTAGCCACACTTTAATATGGAGCCAAATCTTTAACTGCTGTACAAAAAAATAAACACCCTATAACGTTTTTAAACAGAAAGCCAATGTTAATGCTCAGTGGCAGTTGTGGAATTTACTGTTAACAAGATAGATGTCATTTGTGGTGCAATACCCTATAATAACAACTAAAAACCTTTTTTTTTTTTTTGCTAGCTCCTACATAATGAGATAGATGTGAACTTTAAATAATTGCCAATAGAAATCAAAACTAAATATGCCAAGCTGAAGTGAAGTTTTAATATGAAAATGGGCAAACTTATGCTTGAGAACAGTTTTATCACTGTAGTTCAGTTCAGTTAGTTATGGGTGGTGTTTACGCTACTCAGTAACAAAGTTATATTTGTGTCTTACAACAAAGAAAACAATTTAGATACAAAATAAGATATAAAATTATCAAATCAAGACAACTAAAAAACAAAAACACACCTCATCACACACTCAAAATTAAAACCTTTGCAAGACCAGTCTAATGTTTCAGACATGATACATTATGGGTGGTATTTAATTGTTACTCAGAATAGACCTACTGAAATTAATGGAGCATACAGTGGTGCCTCGCAAGACGAAATTAATCCGTTCCGCAAGAGTCTTCGTCTAGCGGTTTTTTCGTCTTGCGAAGCAAGCCCATTGACGGATTAGCGCTATTAGCGCTATCAGCTGTTTAGCGGCTATTAAAGGCTTAAAGGCTTAGGGATTAGCTGCTAAAAGGCTATTAAAGGCTATTAAAGGCTTAGCAGATTAGATAAAGGGGGAAAGCGCAAAAAAAATCTCCAGACTCTCTAGGTATTTTCGTCTTGCGAAGCAAGCCCATAGGGGAATTCGTCCTGCGAAGCAACTTCAAAACGGAAAACCCTTTCGTCTAGCGGTTTTTCCGTCTTGCGAGGCATTCGTCTTGCGGGGCACCACTGTAGTCGTGTTCATTAATTTCAATGGGTCTAGTCTTGAGAAAAAACTTAAGGACAGCCATAGTGATCTGGCCCAGATCCTTACAGAAAGCCCAAGAGATAGAGACTTCAGAAACACGTGATGGTTTGTTTCACTATAGATAAGACAATAATGCAATCTTACCAGTCGCTGATGGACCAAGAGGTGCTAGTTGTATCCTTTGACCAGCTGAACCAACCTCCTTTTTGTGAAAGGAAGGAATATATCCAGTGGTATTGTAAGCAGCTCCTACAAAGCCAGGATTTCCTGTGGAAAGGAACAAAGTTAAAAAAATAAATAAACCAGGGGGTGGGGTTTCAAGCACCTAGCACATTCTTCCAAAGATCTGAAGGATCATTTTAGGACTGTACTAGTCATTCAGAGGTATTCAAAGATGTGTTCACTGTTACAACTTAGTATATTCTTCTTGCCTAGAAACTTAGATGCAAGGGAGAAGTTTCCTGTGTGTCATAAGCATCCCCAGATAGACTGGTACATACAAAACTGGTACAAAGAATTATCAGCGGAATTAGATGCAAGCATTATGTCTTACATAAAGTGCAGGCAAACCACAAGACAGTAGAAATGCTGTGACAGAAAGTTGTTCAACACAAAAACCCCAATGATTAGTGAGTGCACCAAATCCAGCTTTCTTCTCTCCAGGCCTTACTGGTTCATTCTTCAGTGTCAGTGTGCATACAACTAAAAATACAATCATACTGACAAGAAATAGTACTATCTATAGTTTTGAGGCAAGCGGCATTGCATTGGACGATCAGCTTCTGAAAAACATTCCAAAACTGGAACACTTCCGGTACTTCCGGGTTTTTGGCCTTTGGGAGCCAATTTGTTCGTGAACTAAGTCGTTTGAGAACTAAGGTTCCACTGTACAGTCTTGGTTCTAAGAAATTCAGTCTCCAATGACGCCCACTGGAGTCCTAACGCCAGCACCACACTTCTAGTGGTGCATCTTGCCCAAACACTGTACTCTTGATCAGAGACGTTTTCAGGGAGATTAATGCACACGGTTGTTTTTACTGTCGTTCTCTAGCCCCATGTATGCATCCAGGACCTCTCTGGAACAACAGTATCTGCACCAGAAGAACCGATTTATCTATGCAGTCTCAGAATGAATTATCATTAACCCTCCGCTGATAGAAAAGTTGACTTTTCCAATCCAGTATTAGGGGTCAAATGCACCTGAAGAAATAATGCACCAGAGAAATAAAATACTGGGTGGAAGTCGTTAAGCACAACACTATTGGCTAATATCATGGAAATGTAGCTTGTCCTAGGTAGGACTTTAGTTATCTTAAATAAACAGGCAAGAACAATGATAACCAGCAAGGCGTCCATTTATTTATTTAATTCTGCTGCAACAGGTCTTTACCCCTAGGTCAAAACCCAAAGGCACTGCCCCGAAGAAATTGTCAAGCATTTTATACACTTTTTAAAAAAAAATCCAAATGATTTTTATTGGTTTTCATGTAAATACAAGAACAACATATAAATACAGTAACTTATACAGAGGTACATTCTTATTCAGTTTCATATGCAGTACACAAGCAATACGTTTACTTGGGCACTGTCAATTCAAGTATCCTCTCCACAGAGATTCTTGTCTTGTGGGTGGAATAAAAGTATATTTTGTCTCATTTATAAAGGAAAAGAATGGAAGCCAAGTCTCACCAAAAGTGTCTATCTTTGAAGTGCCTTTAATTACCCTTCTATGATGAGTAAGGTGTCCCGATAGAGCTACCTTCCAAATATTATTTACCCAGATTTCTATGGGTTGTTTCCAGTATTGGGCATTTTTTTTGTAACTAGAAAATAATGAGCAAATATTGGAAACAAATATCAAAACAATGAAAATATGGGTGTTCATCGGCTTTATCTAAATTTGTATCAATATTCTTCATTGCTGCTTATATCTGTCAATCAACCTCTGCTTAAAAACCTCAAAGGAAGGAGAGTCCACCACCTCTTGTGGAAGTCCATTCCACTTTCAAACAACTCTCACTGTCTGAAAGTTCTTCCTGACCTTTAGTCGGAATCTCCTTTCTTGTAACTTGAAGCCATTGGTTCAGGTCCTACCCTCCAGAGCAGAAGAAAACAAGCTCTGCTCTGTGTATTCCTGGCTGTGTTGGGGTGAGGGAGTTATAATCAAAGGTGTAAGTTTTCAACAGAACATGGAATGCATGCAGATTTGCATTCTTAAACATATGCGCTTCATTAGGTATATTTGAAAGTGGGGGCATGTGGACAGCCTGCCGGGATACCCTGCAGATCTAAGTGTTGGGAAGGGGGGAAAGAGAAGAGGATGGCTAATTAACCAAAACCGAAGAAAAATTGTTTTACCAGTTTTATTTAGGAAACTTTTTTTTAAGGTAACCTCAATTGTGTTCCCCATCACAATTGGCTCCTTTGAATCCTTACTGCAGAAGGCAAAGCAGAGAGTTCAAAAGAAAGCAGCTGAACCTTTTGCAAGCCATGTGGAAATGCATGAAACATGGAATGCCTCCATCTCTGGAATCTAGTTAGAAATAGAAAAGAGAAAAAGACTGTCAGTGAAGGTAAGAGGAAAAGCTGCAACAAGAAGAAGAAAATTAGAAAATATTAAATCCAAGCCTACAAATACGGAAAGATTAGGAAAGGGGAATCCTTACCTCTTCCAAGCACTGTCATTCACAGGTGGTTGTGTTCATCCTCATGCTTATATGGCCTCCCAGGCCTACAGATGGTTTGGAAGTGGATACAGAGGGAACTGTGTACTCTCTGCAATGGTATCATCCAGAGTGGGATGCAAGCCGTACTACTGTAAATTACGCAATATTCTGAGAATCATAGAATTGTAGAGTTGGAAGGAACCTTGTCATGCTGGCCACATGACCCGGAAGCTGTATGCCGGCACCCTCAGCCAATAAAGCGAGATGAGCGCCGCAACCCCAGAGTCGGCCATGACTGGCCCTAATGGTCAGGCGTCCCTTTACATTTAAGGGACCCTGAGGGTCATCTCAGCCAAAGCATCCATTACAGATGGCCATCCAGCCTCTGCTTAAAATCCTCCCTCATGCAAAAAAGAGCAATCATCATTTGAAGCAGCAGTTGGAACCATTCAGATGTTTGAAAAGATACACAGTATGCCAGAGAAACCCACCAGCTGATTACACACTAAAGTGATGGAACTGGAAACCTGATGGGAACCAGAATCGGGTATGCTACACTTTGTAATTATTATGTTTGTATGCACATACAAATCTCTCTACTCAAAGTAAGTGCTTCAGTACCTCAGCCCCAACCTTCTGGCACGGGAAGACCTACAGAAAGAAACAGCATGCCACTGTAAGCATGATTCAGACAGCTCTGCCACATTACAGTGGTACCTCGGGTTACAGACACTTCAGGTTACAGACTCCGCTAACCCAGAAATAGTACCTCGGGTTAAGAACTTTGCTTCAGGATGAGAACAGAAATCGTGCTCCGGCAGCATGAGGCCCCATTAGCTAAAGTGGTACCCCGGGTTAAGAACAGTTTCAGGTTAAGAACGGACCTCCAAAACGATTTAAGTTCTTAACCCAAGGTACCACTGTATTAAAATGAATGGCATAAAGTTACGCACCCATTTGTGCCTAGCAAATTTAAACAAACCAACAGGAAATTAGAGGACTCCTTCAAGCCTCTCATACTTAAGCGAGTCTGTTTACACAATCAGGAAACTTTTGCACATTTCCCATGCATTTGTAGTGGATTGCGCCCTTTGCAAATTCAACAAAAGAATCACCATCTCAGTCACAAATATTCACTGGAATGCAGCCCTAGTCCCAGGAAATTATTATTGGCATTTTCTTTTGCATATGTTCATCTTGTTTATACAACAAAACACAATAGGATACAGAAAGAAACACAATAAAAAGAGACATAAACAATATCAGCATCATTATTCCTAGTTTTCAAAACACTAAGTCCATTGTAAATAACAAACAAACAAAGAGAAAGCAAGTAGAAGTAAATTAAAACTTTTTCAAATAACTCCGGAGACCTTTGCTCAAATGTGTTGGAGAGTCACACAGGATATGTACGGTTTCTTAGGTCTTTAAAAACCTAATCCCAACAGTTATAGTTTGTACTTGATCTATAATGCTTGATACAAAGTAAAAGGGGACAAAGTTCACTTTGGAACATATTGTTTACGCTCCATGAGTACCATCTCTAATTCTATACACATTTACCAGGGGTAAGCTACATTTACTTCTAAATATACATGTATATGATTTCACTGTAAGGCAGCAATTCTGTGTGTATGTACCTGAGTGTATGCCCTATTGTACACACACAGGATTGCTCCGTAAAGATTTTTCTAAGTATAACTCCCTTTTCAGCTGAGGGAAAAGACACACCCTTCATGACAGTGAACAAATCCTGATTCTACTCAGTGTTCAAAAGGTCCTACTTCTGTCTTCCATATCCTTGGAATAATCTAAATATGTGCAAGTACCTCCTATTGCTGCCCAACAAATCTGGCTTAGATTGCTTCCCTGAATTATCTGGACCTAGTTAGCCTTGAAGAATCTTCTCTGTGCCTGTGACACACAGTGATCCAGAGACTGGATGGATTGATGGCGGTTGATTCATTTTTTGGCAAACATGTTTGACCAGATGGCCCTGTGGAATCTTCCAAATCCAAGAGCCTCTTACGATCTCTGTGATCATAAAAGTGAACAAGGAAGCTTCTGCACACACAAGATCCTCTGTGCACATTGGAGATGCTGAGCTAAAGCCATGATATATGTCAAACTAAAATACTACAGCTCAAATGATACAATTAATGCCTTTTCAAAAGCAAATAAATAAATAAATATGATTTGAATATGAAAAAAAACCCAAAACCTGCAAAAGATTAAGCACTGCCAAACGTAATTGCCAGGAATTACCTTTTGGGTCCTCTAATTTTTCATTCACTCTTTCTTTGCATGACAGTTTTTCAATTGGTTTAATTAAGTTTTCTTCTTCAGAGGAGGCAGTAAAACAGATGGAGGAAAAGAAAAGGATGAAAATAAATACCTTAGGCAAACAGAATGAATGGATGAAACTAATGGAAGACACACAAAAAAATAAATAAAAAAGCAATCTGGAATACAGCATGTGTGAGTGAGCCTCTAGGATGCTGTATCAGTTCTGTAAATGTTGAAAGATTCATCTCTAAAACAGGAGCTAGACCAGTGAGTACTTATTACCAAGAATCAAACAAGCAAAGCAAAAGGTAATTGCGAGTGGTTATGATCATAAGCATAATGAAGGAATAGGATACTGAAATACCAAATTACCTTTATTAATCCTAGAAAGAGAATATTACAGAATTCTAACAAATCTGTATTTAAATGCATAGTGTATTTTTCTTGTACGAAAAGGTTACAGGACAATCCTATGCATGTCTCCTCAGAATTAAGCCCCGTAGACCAATTCTCACATAAGTGTGCATAGGACTGCAGCCTTCGTATGTGCAGTCAGCTAATAATCATCAATACAGTAAAAGTAATTACTATTATTTGCTAACGGAAGAGTACTTCAAATAGGTTAAAGAAGACACTGAGTAAAGCTGATTTACCTGCCTCTAAAGCCCAGACAGGATATTTATAATATTTTCATATATATTTTTGTCTGTCCTGTATGATCATGCAAAGGTTTAATACAAACCCAGAAAAATAAAGCAAATCTAGCCCCACGTAGGGTCATAGCAATACGAGCTTTATTCCATGTGCTGCAAACAGATAAAGTGAGTGGTCTGAAGAACAGAACAGAACATTACTTACCAGAAAACTCGGACCCTCCAATTTCACAATATGCACAATGTCATTGTAAAACAAAATAAGCAGTCTTATTTATTTGAGATTTCTGATTATCTTGATATTTAGGGTATTATGCAAGGGTTTGAAATAAACTGCCATGGAACTGTAATCATAGCTGTTAAAAAAAAAAGCTCAACCTGAAAAACGTTGTCTACATAGAAACAGACTAGAACTTAGGTTATGCTGCTTTCAATAACTTAAAATGTTTTGAGATTAGTCAGATCTACAGTTTTAATTTTGAAGTAATTTGCTTTCTTTTTATAAGCTCTTTAATATTGTTTGAAACCAACAGAGGAATGATGGAGGTCAATTTACTTGTAAATTAACACAGGATAAATATGAAAACTTCCCAGGCTGTGTTTCAGCATTATACTTAGCATATACTTGCCCCATACATGTCCCAATTCCCTTCCTCGACTGAGAACCCCTCATACACAGACATGCATCTGGACGCTTATGAATACCACAAAACACATTCCGACAAGAGGCATTTGACACAGCCATGTTCAGCACTATGTAGTGCAACACTGATACAAATGGACAATGACCGTCTCAGGCTGCATACTTGCTGCTCTGCACATTGATAGCAGAATTACAAATAGAACACTGAAAACACACGCTGCTTGAAAACCATCACAAAAATAACATAGTAAATAAATTTTACAAAATCTATCAAATATATGAGACAGGGGGGTACACAGAGATTATTAAATATCCATTACATTAATTACCTGCACTGACTCTGCTGAAAGACAGTCCTCCAATTGGTGCCATCGGTTTTGAAAACAAGGAATTATTCCAGTTACCGTGGGATCCTTCTTTACCAGCTGCTCCTGAGGAGACATTCTTAGGGTTTACACCTTAGAAAAATAATAATGATAACAGTTAATATATGGTTGCCAATTCAGGGCATAACCTAACAAGAGCGCTGAAGTCACAATGTGCTTTGCAACACCTTTCACTGAAAACTGTGCCTCTTGAAATAAAGTTTGTTCTAGCTCCTGGATTCCCCCCTCTTTTTGCCCACTTATTCCTCTGACCTATGTATACTAGCAGAAGAAAAGGCACAAAAAAACCCCACCACCCAACCAATGTAATCAAAAGCATTAAAGAACTGCCTCCTTACCAGGTAGGTATCTTGACTGTTTTAAGTAGTACTGTTTTGCTGAAGTCGTTGATATTCCAGAGTCATTTCTCTTCAGAACTTTGTTTTCTCCTGATTGGCCAGATCTGGGGGACATACACCCAGGAACACTGAAAGTGAAGATAACCCACGACACAAATTAACTCTTGATCCAAAACAACAGTGTTTTCCAGCATCGTAGGGATGCTGCATTTTCACATTCAGTGCAGAGTTGAAGCAGACCTAGAATGCAGATTCCATGCAGAGCCTATACAGTGGTACCTCAGGTTACATACACTTCAGGTTACAGACTCCACTAACCCAGAAATAGTACCTCGGGTTAAGAACTTTGCTTCAGGATGAGAACAGAAATCGTGCCGCAGTGGTGCGGCAGCAGCAGGAGGCCCCATTAGCGAAAGTGGTGTTTCAGGTTAAGAACAGTTTCAGGTTAAGAACAGACCTCCGGAATGAATTAAGTACGTAACCAGAGGTACCACCGTACTGAAAAAGTTTAGGCAAGAATGTCAGGAAGCTGTGTGGGAACAGTTAAAAAATGAAGCACTTCTGGGGAAAAACAACCCTCATTGTGATGCAAAGAGATACACTGACCATAATTCCACACTAACCCCACAGGCAATGATTGCAATGTGTGTGGATAGGTCCAGCCTGCCTTTGTGTATTTTGCTGCTTTTGTATAGGAGACTCTCCAGACTTGGGGTGGTAAAGCTCTGGGGGGTGGGGGTGGTCTCAAGTTAGCCCAATGGGACATATTCCCCAAGCTACAACCACCTGTCCACCAGCTGGGTGACGTCAGCTAAGGGGTAGAGGGTTCAAGCATGCTGGGTGCTGCCTCGCCCACCCTGTGGGTCAACATTGAAAGGTGGATGGGACTGCCCACCTATGAGTTACCTGATGTCAACATGACATCAGATGATTAACAAGTTAAGTGGCCCTGCCCATCTGTCAATGTTCGCCTGTGGGGGTGGGTGGGGAATAAGTATCAGGCCCACTGGGCCAAAAGCTCTAGAGGAGCGGTTCTCAACCTGTGGGTCCCCAGATGTTGTTGGACTACAACTCCCATCATTCCTGAGCTCTGGCCTTGCTAGCTAGGGGTGATGGGAGTTGTAGTTCAAGAACATCTGGGGACCCACAGGTTGAGAAAGGCTGCTCTAGAGAAACAACTCATCCTGTTTTTGGTCTTCAGACGGCAAATATTGCAGATTGCTTCCCTGCTCCCACACATACAAATTATAAACTAGGAGGGAAAACAGGACAAAATATAATGCCTTACCTAAAAAGAGATTCCTTTGTTTTCTTTTCACTTAACATGGTGATGGTAGGCTTCTTAGAATACGAAATCCCAAATTCAGAGTCATCCAAATTGTCCCAGCTATCCATCGCCTGTAACATAGTCTGGCCCCATCGGCGCCGACAGTTTTTTAGGCCTACTGCGCCATTTGACGGTCCTATGGCTATCTGCTTCTGTTTCAAGTACACACACACAAAAAGGCTGTATTATTTCTGAAACATCTTGCTACCTGTACATTACTATCCTAAACTGGAAAGTGGTTGGAAGTATTTCTTGGTTTGTAGGAGTTCTGACTGCAAAACTAGAGTAAATCTGGTGTGCAGAGAGTGTACATGCTACAGGGTAAGGAAAGAAGTAAGCACCATGGAGAGAGAAACAGGAGACATCAGAGAAATCTCTAGTAGTTTGCTTGAGGGAAAGGAGTGGCATGGGTACAAGTGGAAAGTGGCTTTGTAAAGAATGGATTTCAGAATAAAACACCAAGTCAAAATTTACACAGAATGCTGCAGATTATGCAACCCTATTGAATTAATACGAATGTAAAACAGGACTTCAGAGTAATTACTTAGTACTTTTGACTTGTTCATAGGCAAATAGCCACTTGACAGCAACTTACTGGTGTTGAATTTTTATTGATGGCTGGAAGGAATGATTGCTGCTGCTGCTTTGATGGTTGATGATTGGCTGCATTCTGTGGCAACTGAATTGCCTGGAGGGGCTGCTGGCTATTCTTTGATACACACTGCAGCTGAAACTTATCAAGGGCATCTGGTGAAGACTGAGATTCTGGCTTAGATACGGGTTCTAATTTTGATACAGGGTCCAGCTTGGATAGAGACGGCTTTGGATCTGCTGCTTGAATTGATTTGGGATGAGACTGTTTCTGATCCAAATATTGTGGAGGCGGTCCTAAAACTTGGCCCACTTGAAAGTAAGGATACTTCAGTGCCTGAAGAAAGAGAGAATGCTGATAACTAGAATGCAGATAAAATCTCTACAATCATTCTAGCGTACGGCTGATAAAACAGTTCTCCTTAAGCAAAATCTTATAGAAGCAAGTTTTGTGGCATGGACAATATCATGCACAGGACAGAACAGCCAAGGAGGAATTTTAACTGCATGCAAAATGGAGAAACTGGTGTAGCAGTCAGAAGTCCAAGGCAGGACATTCCCAATTCAAATGTCATATTAACCTTAAGTTCAACAGGCCCTGGTAAAGCAACAATTTCACAATTCCTTTACAACGTGGGAATAGTATTACTGGTATACGTCACAGGGGTGGTATTATTAAGGTAACATATGAGATGTGCTTTGTACGCTTGAAATAACCTTTTATGGATTTTATCAACTTTGTTTTATTCCCACCTTTACTGTTCACAATGCCATAAAAATAGGAAGAAAATCAACCCAATACTGAATAAAACACCAAAGCCAGGTATAGCACTGAGCAACCACCTGAGGTCAATTGCTCCCCCTTTCCTTTTGATCTACAGGTTAAATCTTACTTGAAGGCCAGGAAGGAAGGATATGAAGATGCCTCTTGGAGGGTATCAGTCCAGAAAGATGGAGCCACCACTAAGAATGACCTGCTCCTTACTGGTAACTATCTGATTTCCATAGAAGGAAAGAGTTTGTAGCATGACTTTCAAAAATGAATTTAGAAGCCCCAAACTTTCTATTGGAGTGCTACTTTCTTTAAACTTTAAACTGCGATAGGGAATTAGATGTTGCTGACTTTATTTCCCACAGTCCCTAACTACTGGCCATGCCAGCTGGTGCTGATATGAGCAGTGGTCCAATTACTCATGATAATTTAAAAAAACAAACCTATTTTGCAAATGACATACCTGACTTGCTGTAGGTCGTTTCTTTGGATCCCAGTTCAGCATTTCACACATAAGCTGTATTGCCTCATTACTGGCATTTGGAATGAGAGTCTTCAAGTTTAGGGAGACACATTGAGGGAAGCGAAAATTCATTGCAGTGGCAAGTTGGTATCCTTCTGGCCAATCATTCTGAGAAAAAGGCATACAACAGCAGTCATGAAACATCAGATAAGAAGAGGTTTCATTTTTTAAAAAAAAGCTGGGGGGGGGGGAATGAACTCTTCTAGACCAGGAGTGGGCAGATTTCAGGCTTGCGGAATCTACTTTCTTTTTTATTAGAAATCTGAGATCCACCAATGGGAGCCTAGTGTAAAAGACATACAGGAAATTCCCCATTTACGCAGGGTGGGTGGGTGTTCCGAGGCACAGTTTGTGTCCCCTTGTGGTGCCAAAAACAGCACATGTGTCAGTGGTCATGTGCTTGCTGATCACACACAAATGGGGAGTTGCCTGCACATTTAAAATTAGAGAATTATGAACCCAGAAATTTGTTTTCAGTACAAAATTAAATGGAGCTCACATTCCTTCTACCCAAAAACACTGCTGGTTACCCAGCTTTCTTCCTTTCAGCAGTATACCACTGTTAAACAATAGGAATAATAAATCATCGCCCCTATTTCACATTGCTCAGGAGCCTCCTCATAACCCACTGCAGAGGTATGGCGGCAGGGAAGAGATGACAAACTTTCTGTTTGTGAACTTGCTTAATTTAACTTAGCATCCAAGCCATTACATATACTCAAAGTAGCTTACCTTCTTTGGAGTGCCTAACACCTGGCAAATTTTGAAGATTTCATCAACTTCACTTGTTCCTGGAAAAAGTGGTCTTAGTGTGTATAGTTCAGCCATTATGCTGCCAACAGCCCATATATCGATAGGAGAACTATAAACAGAGGATCGCAGTAAAACCTCAGGTGCACGGTACCTGTGATGAAGAGAAATAATTGAATACATTCATGCAGAGATGCAAAAGGTAAGTGAAGGTCATGCCAAATAACAACACAGTCCTAACCATGTCTATTCAGAAGCAATTTATGTTGAATTCAGTGGGGTTTACTCCCAGATAAAGTGGGGTTACAAATGCAGCCATACTTACCATCTGGTAGAAACATAATCAGTATATGGAGGCTGAGATCTAAGTTCTCTAGCCAGTCCAAAGTCAGCTATTTTAACAAGTTCAGGACCCATACAGAGAAGATTTTCAGGTTTCATATCCCGGTGGAAAAATCCTGTAAATGTGAATATGGACAAAGATATAATAAACAAACAAACAAACAAACAAACAAACAAACAAACCACAGTATCAACAACTACCTGAAATATGGAACTTGGGCATGGAATTCAAGTGGAAAATAAAAGTAATCTCTCTTGAATTAATTCTAAACTAGTTTATCATTTCTTATTTTTTTAAAAAATCTGTTCATCAAATTAAATACAGAGAACATTCTGACCTGTAGCAGCTGGCACCTAGTAATTATGGCAACTAATTAAAGAATTTTAATTAAAGAATGATGAACCATCTGCTTTTAAACTAGGGCAAAATCCTGCAGTCCCAAAAATGGTGGTGGTGGGGTGTTAAAAGGTCTGCCTGTGGCATCTGCATTTTAACGGCCAGAGCAAATCTATCTGTGATACTTGCACTTTACCGCTTCCTACTATTTTAAGGTACTGAATCGTAATTTTACCTAATCATATGTACTACTCAGTGTTAACATTGTGCTGGATCATACATTGGTATAAAGTTTTTAATGGTTCAGATTGCTTCAATGCAGGGATGGGAAACCTGTTGCCTGTCAGATGCTGCTAGACTACAACACCCATCATCCCTGACCGATGTCCATGGGTAGCTGAAGCTGATAGAGTTCAGCAGCCCTGCTTTTTATATACATGCACTTTGCTACTGGGTCAAGCTTATCCAAAGACCATGCAGAACCCAAATATAAAGTCAACTTGAATTATGTGCTTAGGAAAATGTGCTTTGGGGGCATGGTCAGAGCACCTCAATAACCAGGGTCATTGTTTGAAGCATGGTCAGGCCAGCTGAGAAGTGGCTGAATCTGGACCATCTCTCAACCATCACAGTTTGAATGACTGTGCCAATTTGCCTCCCACTGCTCCCCAAGTGGTGCTGCCGATGAACGCATCAGCCAATAATAAAATTACCACCATCCATGATTTCATTTTGGATGAGGGGGTTAACGTGCAATGTATTCAGAAAACCTGGGTGGATCTACCTTGAACCAGCTCTGTCTACCTGAGCATTTTGTACAGAACCAGCACAGGCTGGTGGGTTGGAAGGGGGCATCAGCCAAAAAAATTGCAATCTTTCTTTCAGGGAAGCCAGTGCACCTGGGCACCTGATTTGATACTTTCTTCCCTGTGACAGAACAGGGATCTTATTAGTGTACCATCGATCCCACTACTAAACAGCTTCACTGTGGCCATGAAGTCCTGGGGCTGGCCTGGAGCTTCATAGTCACCATGACAACCATGCGTCTGTCTCAGTACATCACTGGCCTAACATATGGAGCAGTCCTAGATATTTATTTTTATTGCTACAGGGCCTTCTGCTTGAGGTCCAATGGTTGGATGGATTCAACTTGACGTAAAATTAATATTGCCTTGAAAACTGAAGATAGAGCAAAGGATTTAAACATAACACTCTTTGGGTGGGTGAGTGGGTAATTGCCAACTATTGTGTAGTGACAAATACACAGCTGTAGCTTTGTTTCAGAGGACCATCTGAATTATGTATCAATCAGAAGGTTCCTTCTCCTTTTGATCCACTGACACTGCATAACAGTAATAATATACACCAATCTTACTTTAACAAATCATGAAGCATTTCCCCCCAAGTTACAAATGCTTATCACTGTACATTTACTTTACTCAGATAAAGCAAGAATAGTGAAGTGTCTTACCGTGTTTATGGATGAAAGCTAACCCTTGTAATATCTGGTACATAATGTTCCTGATGACAGACTCAGGGAACAACTTATTTCTGAGAGGAAACAAATTGACAATGTCAGCAGATTTTTGTAACATTAAAGCTTTTTCTGCTTATGAAGCAGAAAATCTCATTTTGAAATGCAGCAGCCTTATATAAATGCAGTAAATCAACACATAAAGTGAACAGCCTTGATTTAACCATCCAAAATGGCATTCAGTTTTCATTTACTTTTTCTAGTGAATTCACACTGCAACTTTTCTTAAGGATGCCCAACAATATAAAATTTAAGAATATAAAATCACAATGACTGATGTTCACAATTATTCTAAACTTTTCTGCAACTCTTCCTACATGTAAACAATTTTGAACTCTAGCAATCTTCTCACTGATCTTCTCTAGGGGCGATATGAGAGCAAGCTTACATCCCCCCCCCCAGGTATGTTCAGGTATACCAGTTCTGCCAGACATCCACATATATGCACTAACATCTGAATGGAGCGTATGTGCATAAAAAGCAGTATGTGTAGGCTTGAACAGTGCAGTCAATATCCATGAACAATTTGGAAATCATGCAAATTGTACCTATGCGCACTGTGTTTTATGCACTCTTCAAACACATGGATGGATGTCTGGCAGTATTGGAGACTGGAAGATGGGTCTGATGAGCAGGGCAGAAAGCTGCAACCTTGCCGCTCTGCTGGTCCTCCCAAATGATCCTATGGCTTTGATGACCACTTCATTTGAAAGCTGCTGGGTTAAAAATTCAATTTCATTTAATTTAATATTGACCATAGAGCACAACTGAATACAAAATATGGCTTTAAATAAATATTAAATAGTATAACAGAATCTATATTACACCAGCTAAAGCGATAAATAGGTGAACTGATTAATCTGTACTTCTTGATGGCAATTTATGACATGCAACTCAACAAAAGCAACACAAGGTTTAGATAATCCCCAACATGTTGCTGACTAATGACAGTATTCAATTAAATATGTGCACTAGTGCATGGATTAGCACTATGGGACTTCCCCCCTCCCCATGCATACCCCACTCTGTTCCAAAATCTTCTCGAGGGGGTTCAGGAACTCCCAGAACAGATTTAGGGGGCACATAAGAGGAGGAGGGGACAGAACATTCTATTGTGCAAGGAGAAATCCTTGGGCTGAAAAAATGTTCTCTTACTGCAGTGTTGAGTACAACTCTTAAATAACAGTCTGACACTTTCTGGCTAACAAAGTAAATCTTCTGAAGAGTTCACTAGTTTTCTTTCTCCATCAGAAATTGCAAGAGAAACTTGTTTCAGACTGACATACAGATAGGATGCAGAGGATGTCAAAAAGGTAAGACACAAGGTTCTCGGTTTCTGTTGTGCCACATAAACAAGGCTCCCTTCCAAGACAAATAAAAAAGCACCCAATTAAAATTGAGTCACAAAAAGGCTCTTCTCAGAGGAAAATAATTGACCTGCTTAAGATACCTTAGCTTGCAATAATATTCAAATGCTCAGTAGATCTGCTGTATACCAACTAGGTCAGATTCTTAGATATGTGAAACATGAACATTTTCCCTTTGATATTGTAATAATCACCTTTCGGTGCTGTACTGAGAACTGTGAACAGAGTTCTAGAAAAAAAGCAAACCAGATCTAAGCAAAGTTTTAAAAGTGGACATACCTGTCTTTCATTAGCTGATAGAGATTTTCCTTCATATATTCAAACACGAAATAAAGATGGTCATTTTCTCGAATAACTTCTTTCAGCTTTATCACATTGGCATGATTAAGTTTTTTCAGAGACTGCAATACATCAGAGAAACTAATTATGATGATGTCATTGGTTCCAACACAGGCCTAAACAGTTATTTAGTAAATATGAGCATTACCTTGACTTCTCTAAGATTCATACATTCATCCCAAGAGTAGAACTTTCTTTTCATTCTGAAATAAAAGTCACAAGGAACCCATACTTATTAGATAAAAGTGAAACACACAAAGAAGATAGAAAGTAGAGTAGATTATACAGAGCACTGAAATATTATTTCCCGATTCGGAAGTTACAACCTGCTCTACTTAATATCAGAACAAATTAAAAAGTCTTGGCAGCAATTTCAATGCAAGCTACTGAACAGAATTTGAAAAAGGTAAGAAATGAATGGGCAGTGTACACTCCATAACGGCTTATTCCAATCAGCATAACTTAAAATAAAGCAGCGCAGAAAGGGTCCCAATGATGCAGTTCAGCTAGCCAGAAGCAGCAGCCCAGCAAAAGGTAAAAGGCCATCTCAGAAGGCAAAGTGGGAGAAAAATGAGGTGGCTCACAGAGCACAAACCAACAGGGGGGGAAATTACATGTGATTTCTACTACTGCTTAAAGAGCATCCAGAATGAGGCTTCAATCATTTACATATTTGTTGTTATTTATATTTTGTTAAGGGACGCGGGTGGCGCTGTGGGTTAAACCACAGAGCCTAGGACTTGCCGATCAGAAGGTCGGCGGTTCGAATCCCCGTGATGGGGTGAGCTCCCGTTGCTCGGTCCCTGCTCCTGCCAACCTACCAGTTTGAAAGCACATCAAAGTGCAAGTAGATAAATAGGTACCGCTCCGGCGGAAAGGTAAATGGCGTTTCCGTGCACTGCTCTGGTTCGCCAGAAGCGGCTTAGTCATGCTGGCCACATGACCCGGAAGCTGTACGCCGGCCCCCTCGGCCAATAAAGAGAGATGAGCGCTGCAACCCCAGAGTCGGTCACAACTGGACCTAATATTTTGTTAATGTTTCACTAACAGCAACCAACATCATATGCCGACTCCTTCCTACTTGGAACTAATTCCCACTGACCTCAATGGGGCCTACTTCTGAGTAGACATGTGTAACATTGCACTGTCATGCATGAAGATTTAATGGCACGTACCTTTTGATGGCCACAAGCTCCCCTGATTCATTGCTCTTCCCCATCAGTACACTGCCATATGTTCCATCCCCAAGTTGCTTCATGGTTGTGTAGCGATTCATTTTGTAAAAACAGGTTAGCCAAATCCTTAAAAATGCTAAAACTGCTTCTTTTTCAAGCCGGGAATTTTGAGAATGTTGCTGTTACACGGGCGAGTAATCTGTCATAGTACTTGCTTAAGTCATCAGTCTTCTTTTCCAGTATTATAACCACACTATCCAGAAATAACGTCGTAGTGAAGGGAATAATTCTGCCATTCTTACAAGAGTCCTTAATAGAAACAGATATTTTGTTTAAGTATTCTGTGGAAAAGCATGTTACTATCACACAACAAGCAAACTAAAACATTTTATATTTAAAAACTAAACATGCAAAGTAGATTTGAGATAAATCCAAGCAGAATGCCAGACTAGCTTTCCTGCAAAGTGGGAAAATTCCCTCTAGAATAAAAAAAAGAGAGCAAGAAGGGCTAATACTACAGTAGAATCAAGTGAAATGACACTGCAGATTCTGACTATTAATAATCATGATTGCTAATTAATTATACAACATATTATTTCAAGCCAACATATAGGTTGAGATATTAGCAGTGCAATCCTATTCATGTTTACTCACAACTAAGTCCTCTAAGTCCTACTGAGTTTAATGGAACTTACTCCCAGGTAAGTGTGTAGAGGATTGCTGCTTTAGACCATACCTAAACCCACTTACGGTACTAGAAAGTAAACACTACTTAATTTTGTGGGACTTACTATCATCATTTACTTAATTAGTGGGACTTAATTATGCCATAGGATTGTGCAGGATGTCACCAAAGTGATCAAAGTTTTCATTTCTAGACTGCCACAACACCAGCTACAATTCTAATACTCTACAATTTAATTATTAAATACAGGTTTCTAGCTCTCATAGAGGTAAAGAAAGCTCCAAAACATGATTCTATTAGGCATGTCAGAGTAGTTCCCAAACTGAGATGCTATAGCAGCACATATGCTACAGTGAATGCTTTTACAAGGAATGATCCAAACAATGCAGTGAAGAAAAATTTCTAAAGCACACAAGAGGATCTTCAGTGACCAGGCTACTGCTTGTATGAAAAGAGATTCTCTGGTGGTGCTGAAACAGACGAAGCAAATATAGAACCCCCCAAAAGGATACTTTATGTGTTGTCTGATAAATAATAATAATAATAATAATGATAATAATATAGTGAAAAACCGGAAGCCTGTGAAGCTGTCACCTAGCTATATTTGAAGGCTACAAAGGAGACAATTGTGTCAAAATGGAATTAAAATGGAATTAACTGGGTAGCCAAGTTTTAGAGGAGGGAACTGAAGGACAAAAATATATGTGAAGTAAATTAAATGGTTTTGCAGCATTTCACAGCTGTTGGTATGATTTAATTGCATAACAGAGCTTTCAGAGGAAGTATGTAAGGAGAGAATAGGATGGTGGTGCAGGAATAAGCAAATGAAGCCCTTCTGTTTATTGCACATTCCACCCACTTCTTAATACGATTTTTAAAATCATTATTCTTAAGGACAATTTGATCAGGCACATAGAGCATTATATGCAGGCCCCACAGCGTACTTCTGACTCTTACGCAGAACTTGGAGACAAGTGTATATCACATTCCCCTGGGAGTTTCCCAAGGGAGATGGAGAAAAAATGCTATTGTAAACAACAGATTGTTCCTCATTGTTCAAGACATGCTGCCAATAATCTCCTCAAGGAGGATCAAGGGAGGATTAAAGCAGAGGACAGATAAAGGTCAAGTTGTCATAATGCAAATGCGCCTAGCAGTACCAGAAAAATTGCACAGAGAGATAGCTAGTTATGTATGAATCAAAGTAATTCAGTGATTGACTAATTGCTATCCTTTCAAGACAAATTTCAGTAAAAAGATAGTTACCAGAAATGCCCTCTTTATGTTAAGGCGTAACCTTATAGAGAAAGCATCACAACTGAAACAGAGCCTGCAGAAGCTCTGATGCACATACATTTGTTTCCTAGAGATGGATAACTATAAACTTTTCAAAAACAGAAGCCATACTTAGTGGGCAAAAAGCACGTCAAAGTTGATGACACTGCCTGTAAAAATGCTATTCTAAAAATAAAATAGTACAACTGGTAGAACTAAAGCCTAAGTAATCAGTGTTGACTAACCACAGTCACTGCCAGTAAAACACACACATTCTAAAAAACCATCTGTGGAAATGTGCCATCCTTCAGGTAATTAAAGTCATTAGCAGCAACAACAGAAGATGCTTATATCACCTTTCCAGTTACTTGCTGAAGTGATTATTCTGAACCAAGAGAACTACTATGGGACATTGGTTTATCAATCGGCTACTGCACTCCTAACTACGTAAGAAATACGTCTACGTAAGAAATAAACCCCACTAAGTTCAATGCGGCTCACCCTCAGGTCAGGGAATATAGGACTATGTAACATACTAGCTCACAACAAAATGCCATTATTTTCAGTAACATTCACTGTTTAAAATCAGGGCATGACAGCCAGATCAAAAAGCCTATTGTTATTTTAGGGCTTTGTGAAGACATCATATATAGGAAAGCTTAGAAAAGAAGAACAGAAACATTGGCAAAATGGGAGAATGAGAGAGGATGTGAATTTTGCCCAAATATTTGGAACTTCGGGATCTTTAGACTTCATTTGCTTGACTGAGCAAATGAAGAGGCACTAATTGGGACAATGACAGCGTACTCTCCATCAACACTTGCAGAGGGCATGAACTGGTTCCTCGCAGAAGGCCCCTAAAATTAGGTTGAGTGTCACAAGTTGCCTACTCCAGCAGCCAAGTATGGCAAAGCCATTCAACTCTGCCATACTTTTATGAAAACCACAGGTGTGCTACTGTGCGGGATTATGTAAACAACCTTAGATCTTGTGCTGTGGGAAGGAAAATCCCTTCTGTGCTCAAAGCAAGCATGTTGCACTGAACAGCAGCGTCACAAAGGAGCTAGGGGAAAGCAGAAACATAGTAGTGCTGATAGCTAACAGTTGCACCATTGGGTCCCTGCACTGGAAATAAAGAAACAAGAAAATATCAGTTGACATTAGTGTCTTGTTTAGAATACTGCTTCACATTTTTTTAATCGAAAAGCAGGTCACACTGATCACCTTCCAGAAAACTTCTCACAGATAAAGATAAAAGATAAACCTCATGAATGCTAAGCAATAAATGCCCAGATCAGGCTCACCTTGCAAACAATTTTGTCACTGGCTTCGTGAGAACTAGCAGTGACTGTACAGTTCATTATTATTATTTTGTTTAAAAATGCAGTAACAAAAATTGACAGAAAATTCAGAAAATGTTCAGAAAGGTAGCTGCCACAGGCAAAACTCTTGCTCCATTGGCAATAGGAAACAGGTGGTGTTTAAATGCATGGCAGGGGGGATTAATGCATACTCATATATTTGAAGAGATTTCATTTTACTTTAGTTTCCTTTCCGTGTTTACTTTTACAAGACAAACTGCTGCTGTTGCTAAACAGTGACAAGTGGTAGTCAAGGTAGTAAACAAGGTAGTTTCACATATTTTTATTCAAGTGGAAACTGCACCCTTCATTCTGTGAATAAAGAACACTATTTGAACTCTTCTCTTCTTGGCATTTGTACATCTGTCATCATCCCCATAGTTAAGAGAAGACGCTGTCCCTACCCTTCTACGTTTCATTCAGCACACCTAGAAAAAATATGCATTCAATAATTTCACCCACTTTATTATAATCTGCTCTTAATTGTATTTACTTGAAAATGTTTATAAGCGGTTTCAGTGGAGGGAACATTAAAAAATACAGTACTATCTAGTGCAGCATTAAGCCTACCTATTGGAATCAATGTAGAATTTCTCTGCTTCAGATTGACAAGCTCAACATATATTTAGGGTTGCAGCCATTATCTTAGGCTAATTGAAAATTTTAGATTTCTGAATCTCCAGCGCATAGCAATTTTAAAATATTTCTTTTCCCACATGAAAAAGCTTATAAATGATGTTTGGCAGATTGTGGTTGATCTTTGTTTTGATCAGCTTCTTGAAGGCAAAACCAATCCTCCCGCCATGGAATCTGTCAATTTCAGCCCACAGCCTCCCACCAATAGTTCTATCTAACTCTGCAACAATCCTGTTATCACAAGTGAATAGAAAATATCTCATTTTGTATGAGGAAGGTGACAGCTGTGATTGGTCAAGCAAAACCTACACAGGTGCTCCTTTTTTTTTGGAGGGGGGGATTTGATGACATACTGTAGATCAGTGTTTCCCTACCATGGTCCCCTTGTGGCCCTCCAGTCTTACCAGTAGATAGGGTAGCCAGAGATTTTAAAGAAATACATAGTTGAGTTGGGATAGCTCAGTCTATAGAGCATGAGACTCTTAATCTCAGGGCTGCGGGTTCAAGCCCCGTGTTGGGTGAAAGATTCCTGCATTGCAGGGCGTTCTTCATGCTCTCTTCCAACTCTACAATACTATTATTCTACCATCTTACAACTCCCATTACATCCACCAGATCTCCTTCTGGGTAGTACACGTTTCGGACTGCACCGTCATTCTTGGAAATTTCAACCCACGTCTCATTAGGTACCCAGATTAAGTACTGTTAAGAGCCACTGTAACACAGTGGAAGAAAGTAATATTAGATCCTGGGAGGAGGCCCAGATTCAAACCCGCATACAGCTCTGAAACTCAGTGGGTTGCCCACCTCCTTTCAGGCTTATCCACCCCTCCCTGCGTGGATAAAATAAGTGATGCGAGCCCCTGGGAGGAAAAAGTGAGATACATAAACGAAAAGCGCAAAGCCGCTCCTATGCTTGAGATCCCATTTTAAGCTGCTTCCCACTGAAATCGACGCGATTCTAAAGGCCCCTTATAGCTTTGGCTAGATCGCGCCTGAACTCTGAAGTCCCGCCCAAAGTTAACGGGAGCCTGGGAAGTAAAATCCCAAGTCACAAGAATCATGGAACCGTAGAGTTGGAAGGGGGTTCCCACGGTCATCTAGACCAACCCCCTGCAATGCTTCAAACGGGGCTGCTCCAGAATAAGAGCGCGCGGGGGGGGGGTGTTAAAGGCTTTTTTCTTTGCCTGCCCGCCTCGTCACCCTCCTTAATCCGCCCTCCCTGCCGCCTCACTCACCGCTGAGCTGCTGGCCGCCTGCGGAGGCTCCGGGGCCGCCCCCTCCGGGTCCTCCTCCTTCCTCCCTTGGCCGCCTCATCCCAACCTCCGAACCACCAGCAGCTCCCTCGACTCTAAATCCGGCCAGGGGTCTAGAGCCGGCGGCGGCAGCGTCAAGCAGCAAGCGGCGGCGGCGGCGACCCGTCTCCTAGGCAACACGAATCGCCGGCGCCAGCTCTCGAGGCACGCAGGCGGAGCGGGCGGGCCTAAGAGCAGTTGAGGAGGAGGAGGGCCGTAGGAACGAGAGGTGGTGGCGGGGTGGCGCTCGAGCTTCGCGTCGTTGATCCTGATTGGCTGGGCGCTGACTTGAGTGACGGTTCGAGAACGGCCGGCCCAGCAACTCGGGAGGGCGGGGCGGACGCGAGCTGCGCGCGCGTGGCAGCGGCGGCGGCGGCGGCGATGACGCTTCCCACTTAAGCCGCCGAGCCGTAGAAAGGCGAGAAGGTCGCGCGCGCGCGCGTTCGACTTGTTGATTATGCGCCAGTTGTGGCCGACTCTGGGGTTGCAGCGCTCATCTCGCTTTATTGACCGAGGGAGCCGGCGTACAGCTTCCGGGTCATGTGACTAGCATGATTAAGCCGCTTCTGGCAAACCAGAGCAGCACACAGAAAAGCCCTTTACCTTCCCGCCGGAGCGGTACCTATTTATCTACTTGCACTTTGATGGGCTTTAGAACTGCTAGGTGGGCAGGAGCAGGGACCGAGCAGCGGGAGCTCACCCCATCATGGGGATTTGAACCGCCGATCTTCTGATCGGCAAGTCCTAGGCTCTGTGGTTTAATCCACAGTACCACCCACAGCTTTTGGGTACCTGAAGCCAAGTGCACACAGCATTAGCCACAAACCACAGGATCCTTCTGTTTATTGGTGCATTTCCCCTCAAACTAGCTTCCATCTGATTTAAAAACGCAAGCTGTTGGTTGTGCTTGCGCAGATGGCAGCTTCCTTGTACAGTTTAGGAGTTCGGGGGGGGGGCTGCAGGGGTGGGGAAACAAAGCAGGTAACGTGCATTGGCTGAAGCGAAGCCACTCCTGCGTCCTCTCTGTACAGCAGATTAGAAGTGAAAATTCACTTGACTTACTTTTATTTTTGCATCCAACTGTAAACCTGATCAGCTTCTTTGCTGCAGATATAGGCTTATGTTGACAGACAAATTGATTCTACAGCAAGTCAACTGGAAAGTCAGGGTAACAGAGTCAGTTTTCTGGAATCCAGAGGATAAACTGTTGAAAACAATAGATCTTGCCGTTGAAAAGATGTTCAAAAGAAGTCTTAAAACTAGTGCCATAAACCAAATTAGGCATGGAGTCCTACTGCTATTGTTTACATTAAATGTGGTAACCATTAATTCCTGGTTTAATGAGCAATTTAAACAAGGAGGAAAAGCTTAAAAATTAGCTATTTAGAGTTCAAATGGCTAAAAACACATTGCTGGTTAAATATCACTAACAAAATACAGTATCTTCCATACACGAAGATTTCAATCAGAAATCAGACTGCTTTCTATCTCTGGATAAAAATAGCAAGCTTTACTGCTCTGTACATCAACAAGATAAGAATTCCTAGGAAACAAGCATTTTCAAAGTCTTATCTTATCCTGCAGCCACTGATTATTAGATAGGTTCAGTCATTTGATACCAGGAGCTGGCTCAGTGTTTATGCTTCAATACCATCTCAAGCTATTGTGCTACAGATTCAGTACTGCTAGTGTTGTTTCACCTTATGTTTTGCTTTATTGCATTTATAACTATGCATTATTGCATTTATGCCTCATTTTTGCAGGATATCTTTGTGAGAAGAAAAGGCTAAGGAGTAAACAAATCCAGAGTGGAGTCTCTAAGACGGGTGGATGTCACCTTGTACGCCTCCTTCCAGTAACTGCCGCAGCCAAACTGGTGCCAAAAGTATTGCTCTGCTTTCCTTTGGACCATATCAGTGAGGCCGAGAGAAGGAGAGTCTTGTCGTCTGGGCAGCCTGGGACCTCCATACACTTCCCAGGCTTGTGCCCCATGGAGGTCACTACGGTTCTGCTAACACAACAATTTGACGTCACCCCTGGAGGTGCACTCCATTGCCTCTTGAGCTTAAGGTGGCATCCATATTTTTCCACCCTTCCCCATTTTATTACCACAACAACCCTATGAGGTAGGTTAGGTTGTGAGTGTGTGCCTGACCCAAAGTCACCTAGTGAGCTTCATGGCTGAGTAGGGATTTGAATCTGGGTTTCCTTGGATTAAAGTGTATGCAGAATGTAGATGCATATCCTGTCCTGACAGAAGAAATTATATTTGTTTTGTTAATCCAAATATGAATGGATATGGAATGGAATCCCTGTCTATTGAAATTGGGATTTCCCATAAAGTAACCTTTTTATGGCACAATCCTAATATATGGCTACTCAAGACATATTTTCAGTGGGTGTAGAATTTCAGCTTTAAAGGTCTTTCCTTTCCTTCCACCACCATCCTCTCTCTCTCCCCGCCCCCCTCACACACATACCACATTTTAACTAATACTTCTTTTTTGTCAGAACTTTACTAACATCTCTATAGGCAGTCTCATTGTAGATTAAAATTACATTCATATTTCTCTTGTTTCTATTGCATTCTTTTCCTTTTTTGCATTTTGTTGTGCCACATCATATGTCACATTTTTCATATTTGAAAGCACTTCTGAATAGGAAAAACTGAAACATGGGGCATCTGATGATACAGGGAAACACTGGCCAGTCACAGCTTGCAAGTGACAACAGTGAAATAAATACTTGTATGGCTGTCTCCTACTTTTTGAGCCCTTCAGGCAGCAGCAATAATTATAAATATATTTCTATCAACCATGTGCCTTAGTTTCAAAGATACTAAACACGCTTAACGATATCATGTACTCCACCATCAGATCTATAATAGCCAGTCTCTGACAAGAAGAATTACTATTGATGCTTAATCTTTAAGTAGCAAAGGCATTGGGCAGTAGTTCTTTAGCAAGCTTAGCATTAAGAATAAATAAATATGATGTTGGTGTATTTGAGCTTGTGTGATCATGTTTACTGCACATGCCTGTGTTGCTCTTCATGGGTTATCTATCACACAGTTGCTTTTTGATGTTGTTCTTTGATAGCAGTTCTTAGGTTTCATAGATAATAGGTCAGTTTGACGTTAGAAGAACAACCTGCCAATGTTTCCCAAAGCAATGGGATGAACAACATGTGCCGATCAGTTAGCACGTCATTTTGCCCCACAGACATAACAGCAGCAGCGTTCCTTGCTCTTGCTGTGAACCAGGAAATGAAACGAAAGATAATAGGCAAGAGCTAAAAGATCCATGAAGAGCAACACAGTTTGCATTTTTACAAAAGAAGCTGGAAACACAACATCCAAATGCACCTGCTGCCTGACTCATTTTACACTTCACCGTGTTCACATTATGGGGCACCCAAGTTGGCTCCTATTTTAACTGAATATAACTTTTTGAAATGGACTTCAGGCATATTCCCCAACCAAGTTAATAAATAAAATACGTTGTTTAGTTTGAATTTATTCGGTATCCCACATTTCCTCTAAGGAACTCCAGGAGCTGCATGTGGTTCTGCCCCCTTCCCTTCAGCCTCATGACAAATTGGCTAGACTGTTTGACTAGCCCAAGGTCACCTAGTGAACTTTGATGTCCGAGGGAGAATTTGAACCTGGGTCTCTCCTAGTCTAGCGCTCTTAGCTCAAGGGTAAGGGAAGGGGCCTTCTTTAGGCTGAGGGCCACATCACCTCCGGGGTAACCTTCTGAGGGCCACATGCAAGTGGTGGGGAGGACTAGCAATGTCATAGTCAACACGGGCCAAGTTCTTTACTGTCTTCACGATTGCTTCTAGCTGAGAAATAACAGTTGCAATAGCAGTGCAGATTCCACAAAGCAAGGAACATTAGACTGCATTCCAGTGCCCACTTCCATAGCACTAAACCATGTCCTTTAAAAACAGTTTCAAACTGATTTGGGCTACCACATAAAAACGAGACACAATTGAAGATGTTTAATTTTATTTTAGGAGCCTCTTAACTACATAGCAGCTGCTACTGAATAATTCTGATAATGCAATTAGCTGTATTAATTAGAAGGGGAAATAAACAGCAAAGAAAACAAGCTCTCAACAAATACATGAAGGACAAAGGCTGCTCTGAGAATCTGTCTGTTGTGAATGTGGTACGGATGAGATCAATATACTGTATTATTTTTCTCAATTTCTATTCCAACCTTTCCTGCAATGACCTCAGGGTGACACATGCATGAGTGCAATCCCATGTTATCCTTACAATTACCCCTGTGATATAGGCTCAGGGATGGTGTAATAGGCCCAGTGAGCTTTATGGCAAGTGAGGATTTGAGCCCCAGTCTCTCCAGTCCAAGTCTGACTTGCTACCGAGATGCTAACCACTCTGGATCAGTAGATCTTGTAAAAGGTATTTGTTGTAGGGAAATGACAACCCATAGAGAATCAACAGGTAAATATTTTCAGGCACTCTGCAAAGAAAGACTCTGTCCGTGCCATACTTCATGATGCACGAAAATGAGCCCAAATTCATTTTACTGTTTTGATCTCACCTGCTAAACTGGCTTCCCATTCATGAGCACTGTATGGGTCAAGAAGAATGGTTTTCCTGCAACCAAGCATCCTTATGAGAAATATGGTCGTGTGAGCTAACCTTACACAACCTGGAGATCTAGATGGCACTTGTATATGTCTTAAAATAGTTCCACTATCACTGTTTCTGTTTTATTGATTCATGAAAAGGTGCTTTTAAAAAGTGCTGGGGATCCTATGAGACTCTGCGTGTTGTTGGACTATAACTCCTGTAATCCCAGATCACTGGCCATATTGGCTGGGGCTGATGGGAGAGAGTACAGCAACATCTGGAGGACCACAGGCTATTGAAATGGATATTACAAGCCTTGCAAGCTTCCTTTCGCCATTCTGCTTAATTGTCTAATCATAGAATTGTAAAGTTTGAAGGGACCCTGAGTCCAGCCCTGTGCAATGCAGGAACACGCAGCTGTCGTACAGTACCACCAAGTTAATGATTTGTTAAAAGAAGATAAAAGGAAACTGGGATTTCAATATCTAAGTTCAATATCGATATTGTAGATAAAATGCTATCTAAAATGTATGATTTATTATTGGATTGGTATACGAAAGATGAAGAGGTAAAGGAAGCCATGATCAAATGGGCTATTGATTTTGGACATAATATTGAATTTGAAGCGTGGCAGGAACTATGGAATGTAAATATGAAATTCACGGCTTGTACGGCATTAAAGGAGAACCTATGGAAAATGATTTATAGGTGGTATCTCACGCCGGTGAAATTGGCAAGGATATATAGAACAAAAAATAAGAAATGCTGGAAATGTGGAGAGGTGGAGGGTGACCTCTACCACATGTGGTGGACCTGTAGTAAAGTGAAGGGCTTTTGGGAATTAATTTATAACGAACTTTAAAAAAAAATTAAATATACTTTTCCAAAAAAGCCTGAAGCTTTCCTACTGGGATTGATTGGTAAGGAAATTGAAAAAAAAAGATAAAAATCTTTTTTTATACGCCATGACGGCAGCTAGAAATATGCTAACTCAGAATTGGAAAATGGATGTAATACCCAATATAATGGATTGGCAGGTTAAAATGATGAACTATGCTGAGCTGGCTAGACTATCAGGAAAATTAAGAGACCAGGACGATCAGAAGTTTCAAGAAAACTGGAGTAAATATTTGATGTATATAAGAAATAATTGTAAATCTTTAAAGACACTGGTAGGGTTGGAATAACTCTTACAGTGTGTGGCAGACAAGCAGTATATAGAATACGAGATAAGAGATTTTATTTGATACTTACCAAAGGAATGGAGGGAAGTCCGAGGCTTGGCGGAGCCTAAGACAAATATGTAATTTATATGTGTATTATATGAATATATGTATGCCTAATGAAAAATCAAATAAAATTTATTGGGGGGGGGGAAGGAACACGCAGCTGTCCTATAAGGGATTAAACCTGCAACCATGGCATTATAAGCACCACACTAGCCAACTGAGCTTTCCAGCCCGTCCAGTGAATGAGGGCTGTTCTTTATGTCTGTTCTTTATGTTAGTTTCATTTTGTAGCTTTCATTGACGAAACTGATTGGAATATTTGTTGTTGCAGTAAAATATAGTTCTCCAGCATTGTTGTTGCTGCAGTGAAATTCAGCCCTCCAGGAACACAAATTCTGTTCCATGAAAATTATAGTGATGCGTGCTTCGAATCAGAGAATTGTAGGGTTGGAAGTGATAAAAAAAACTTAAATAAAACTGATTCAAGTTCATAAAATATCATCATGTATTGGGATGAAGGGCTGTATAAAAATGCAATAACTAAAATAAATAAAATTGTTTGATTTCCATCTTATGTCTTCAAATTAATGTTTGACATAATAGCTTAATAAATTGATTTTTGAAGGTGATTTTGTTTATTACTTGTTAGTTGATGGTTTTTTCAGCCTTTAAAGAGTCACATTTTGATAGAAGAAGAAGAGGAGGAGGAGGAGTTTGGATTTATCACTACCCGAAGGAGTCTCAAAGCAGTGAACATTCTCCTTTCCCTTCCTCCCCCACAACAAACACTCTGTGAGGTGAGTGGGGCTGAGAGACTTCAGAGAAGTGTGACTATCCCAAGGTCACCCAGCAGCTGCATGTGGAAGAGCAGGGAATTGAACCAGGGTTCACCAGATTACAAGTCTACCACTCTTAACCACTATACCACACTGGCTCTCAATTGATAGCATTTTATGATCTTTATGATAGCATTTTATGCTGCCATAAAGACTGAATAGGTGCTTTCAACAGGGATGTGGAGCATGTGGTCCTCCAGATTTTGTTGGACTTTGTCTCCCATAAACACAGACCATTGTCCCTGCTGGTTGGGGATGATGGAATTTAAAGTCCAGCAACATCTGAAGAGCCATATCGGTTTCCCATCCTTACTTCAAAACCTAACCATAACCACACAAGGAGCTAATGTGAAATAATATGATTACAAAGGGCACACACATACTGATAATTTATCATATGCATGACAGATTAAAAAGAATAGAGGTTCACATGTGTTTCCATTGAGCATGCACAGCTGATGTTCTCAGTGATCTGCACTCACAATACTTTAAGCTGGAGCACTTTTGAATAAAATACCAAAGTTTACAACAGCATTTTGAGCCTATATAATTCTGGTAGTGTATGTATTGTATACATCTTAAATTCTTGCAGATCTTCAGATGATATCCAATGAAGTCATTTTCAGATTTCAGTGGACCTCTGGTATGACTGACATTGAATCACCCTTTAACCTAGCCATGACTTAACTGCTGTGTGGTTTCTACATTGTGACTTTAATGTGTATGTTTAGAATGAATAACATGAGCCACAGTGTTGATCAAATCTCCCAAAGCCAACAGATTTCCCACAAAATATTTTATAATCTATTGGTTTAAAAAAACAAAAAACCCTTATCTTCTCTCTCTCTCTCTCTCTGTGTGTGTACACAAATCTTGCCACACCTGAGGCTTAGTATTCAGTATTCTCAAATTGGAACGTTTGTCCTTCATATCCAGTATAAACTTTTCCTGCATCAGTACTATCCTGGCATTCATTCACTGATGCTATATGCTCCTCCTTATCAATTGTCAGAAAATGCTCACCAATCTCATTTGGTTTGCCCATTCCCCAGTGGTCTTGAAGGCTTATCTCTCGACAGACATTCCCTGAAATGCTTTCTGCCAAGGAACAACTCATAAGATCTTTTGGATCATATAAACTGTCGCCATACTTTGCCACAGGAGGCTTGTAGGCTTCAAGGAACATCTTGGTAGTTGTGGTTATAACAGTTTGCAAAGGATGACCTTCCAAAGAAGAATGACTGCTATATCTGCAAGCATATTCTTCACTGTAATGGGGATGGTTAACATTGACTTGACTCGATTCATCGCCAATCCTTTCTCCGTAGTTAGTTTCAGCTAAGGCCTGTTTTAGTCCATGATGTTTATGGGTGCCATCAAAGTTCTTTTCATGGGCATCTAGTGAATTTACATGGTACTGAAGTCCATTCAACACAACATGGTCAGCATCCCCTGGAATATCCATTGGATCTTTGTGAAATGTATACAGACTGGAATTGATGTAACCAGGAAATGAGCATTCATAGCCACAAGTTGGTTTAGATGTATAGATTTTGGGGCTCGGACGCTTCTGAAGTGGTGATAACACATCCTCTTGAAAGCTGGCTGCATCGTAGGTAATGTTGTAAGGTTCTATATTTTGAAATAAATGGTGAGGCTGAGCTAGGAGTGGCAAGCCGGTATCTGTAATTATGTTGATTTTTTCTGATCCTTCTTCACATCCCAGATGATGAATATAATGAAAGTGACTGCTGTTCTCAAAACACATTCCTGTCTGATGAGAAGATAAATAAAAAGACTTCAGGAGAAATGGCTGCATGCACCCATGAAATATGGCAAATGGCTATTTCAGTTGTTGCCAGTTGTGGTTCAAATTAATTTTGCTCAGGTTTTTCAAATGAAGCAGATGATGGCTTCAAATGGCTAATTGATATCAGAAACACCTGGAACTAGTGCTGATGCTCTGTACACATCTTGGAATCACCATAAACATTTGTTGGATAATTTTCATTTTACAGTGGTACCTCGGGTTACAGATGCTTCAGGTTACAGACTCCGCTAACCCAGAAATAGTACCTCTGGTTAAGAACTTTGCTTCAGGATGAGAACAGAAATTGTGCTCCAGCGGCGTGGCAGCAGCAGGAGGCCCCTTTAGCTAAAGTGGTGCTTCAGGTTAAGAACAGTTTCAGGTTAAGTACAGACCTCCAGAATGAATTAAGTACTTAACCTGAGGTACCACTGTATTGGTTTATTTATTTCAAGCCTAGGGCATTTCCAGATAGGTCTTTTGCTGTGGGTGTATGCAGCAGCAACCCACTGATGGGATTAAAGTGAAATTGTACTGATTTTGAAGTGGGCTATCTGCACCTCCTACTTCATAAATTATTATGTGATATTCCAGCATCACTGCCTCCACACTAGCGTTGCTCCTCGCCCCCGCATATTAGACAACTCCCCAGCCCTTACAACAGATATTGCTTCTCTTGCTAGTGCTGGACACACACACACACACACACCCCACTTCCCTGCTTTGCCAAAGGTGAGGAGTGAAGCAGAAGGACATAGTGGCTGGGTAACTACCTGTCTATCCCCACGCACTGCAACTCACAAACACTTATGCCTGTTATAGTCTTTAAGTTGCCACAAAGCTCTCTGTGGTTCTACAACCTTATAGTTACCTGAAAATCCAGAAGTCTTTTTTTCTGAGATGAATGAGAAGGTGGTGTTTGCTTTTTAAGGGCACTTCTTCTGATCTCTGTTTCTGATTTACTCTCCGGTCTAGGGTGATCATGTATTCCCTTGGCCTGGAGAAATACGGACACGTGAACAATGTTCTTAGTTACAGGAAACATACGAGCATAGAGACATTCCAACCCATCCATAAACTAGTTAATTTGGAGTGATCTTATAACCAGTTTAATATGGTATGAAGGTCATTTTCTTCTGTTGAAAGCCATGGTCAGGAACATTTATAAGTCTGATCTTGTAACAAGAAATTGCTTTTTTAATCTATCTGGAGTTTTGTTAACATCTGTGGATTGAAGTTTGTATCATTTATAAAAAACGAAGTCAACTTTTGTTGTGCAAGCCTCATTGAAAGGAACCAGAGAAACTGATTAAAGTGAGTGTTGGTAGTCTCCCCTGGCTCAGATGGACAGCTTATTTTCACCAGGACTTGTGCATTCAGGTCTAACTCTGTAGTACCGAGCTGAGATCAGACACCCCTCTGTTGAGCCGCAGGCACCTGAGGAAGAGCTTTGCATCCCAGCAGGCATTTTAAGTAAGTTGTATTAGGCCTATGTGGCTTCTATTGATTTAAACACCATATTATTTGATTAGTGCATTGTTCTATTGATTGATTTGTAAACTGCTTTGAGACCATTCATGGTAAAAAGTGGTCTATAAATATTGAGAATGAATCAATAAATGAAATAAGTAGTGAATGCTGGATCAAACATAGGAAAGGATCCAGAGAGCTGCTTTGGAACATGCCAAAGAGTTGAGGCATACCCATCGTGCCATATGATGACAAACTCTTTGAAATGTCCTTCCATTTCAAAAAAGTTTGCCATGAAACCTTGGGGCGACAATTTAGCTTCAAAGTCCTTGGGGCATAAATTGTTCATATAATTAATTGGATTCCGGCCACCATGTTTTTGGACCTCTAAATCAATGGCTTTGGAATTATGTCAATATTCAATATATCAAACAACCAAAATTACAAGTCCTGCCATCTTATCACTGCCAGGCTATTGTTGCAGACCCTCAGTGAGTGCAACATAATTAATTTCATTCAAAAGCACTAAAAAAAATGAAAAGGGTGAGTACAGGTGATTATCACAAGCAATTCCAGTACGAATTCCTTCTATGTGGTGCACAAATATGATCATGGATTTTCCATCCACAAATTCCAAATCACTGAAGAGGAAAAAAACACAAGCTGCTCAAAATCCAAAAGCACTATTTATATTTTACCTGGAAAAATATTGCCTTGCCTTCATGTCTCCAGAAGTTAGTTACTGGGTAGCCACTGTGCCCCCGGCAAGGAATTAATTCAAGTGCTGAATTGCAGTTTGGACAAAGTTTTTCTGTGAAGGATAATAGGTTAAAGTGATGAACAGAAGGGAAGTCAGATTCAATCATTCTGTATTAAAATCTCCAGGCAGAATTATTTTTGAAGTAGATTTGATAAATGGTGGAATTATTAACTTAGAACCTCTAAAGTACAAATCTCTTCAGAACTGATGTTGCTTGTAACTTAAAATGATTTATGAATCTGATAGCCTTCCACATTTTATGTACTCTCCAAAATTGAACCCACCACCAACTCCTCCCCTCTGTAGCATTCCAGGAGCTTCCCATTGGTTCATTGTGTGTCAACACTTGCCACTCCAGCAGTATTGCCTACTTTCCCCAACAACCCAGAAGGGGAAGTCCTACAGGCAGGGTGGAATGACACGATTGTAAATTTACTTCGCACAGAAATACATTAGTAGGATGGTGTATAATAACAATGGGGACTTTGGTTTAAAGATGTTTGAAACCCTATTAATTGCAAGTGCTCTCAGTTGCCAGAATGAAAGGTAGGACTCCTAGAGCTGGCTCAGATATCTTTGGCATTTGCAGGATGCTTACAACATGATTTTTGACATCCATGAGACAAAAGTGACCCTATAAGTACAATGCAGAAAGAAAAATTACACCTGGAACAGTTATGCCTGCAGTTTTTCTAGGGATGGTATTGAAAGCAGATATTTGATTCCTATTGGTTGTTACAGATTCAAGATTATTGTTGGGTCTTCCTTGAATTCCTCAGATACATTCCTTGGAAAGTGATGGAAATCCCAGGGTAATTTTTAAATACACAAATGGTTTGCAGATACAGGATCACTTCAAAACATCATCCCATGAGTGCCAAAACAATATTCTCTAAGAGGACTCTACAGTTGTACCTTGGATCTCCAACGGCTTAGTTGCCAAATGTTTTGGCTCCCGAACGATCAAAAACCGGAAGTGAGTGTTCCAGTTTTTGAACTTTTTCGGGAAGCCGGACGTTCCAGGGCTTCTGATTGGTTGCAGGAGCTTCCTGCAGCCAATCAGAAGCTGTGCTTTAGCTTCCGAACTTTTTGGAAGTCGAATGGACTTCCAGAATGGATTCCATTCGACTTCCAAGGCACGACTGTACTTTTAAAAACACCGAGAAAATATTTAACGGAGCTGTGTTGAGGCTTGAAATCTCCTGGACAGATTTTCCTTGACTTTTTACATAAGCCACCTTTCATCCAAAAACAGATTCCAAAGCGATACACAAAGAAATTTAAAATGCCAGAAATGTTATAAGAAAAACCAGCACAATAAAATTAAGAGGAATGAAGCTGTCCAACCAGCTAAAAATGCCACCATCTAAAATGCCTCTGTAAATAAGAAGACTTTAACCTGGCATCGATAATGTTATAGCATGGATGCCAGGTGTACCTCCCTGAGGATGCCATTCGACTGAACTGTCTGCTGTAAACTCCACAAAGGTCCCCTATGGCTCCCAAATCAGAGCAAGATGCAACAGCCGTTGGGTGGATTCCCCCATCACAATTCTCTCACTTTGCTGCTTTTGGCGAGCCTTGTCGCATATGGCAGGCCGGAGCTGCAGCTTGGTCCCATCCAACAGGGTGCAGTCCCCGGCACATGCCACTACACCCAGGCAGGACTTCTTGAGGATCTGGCAGTTGTGGTTGTTGGTGTTGCGCATGGCCCACCCGCTGAGGTGGCGCTGTGCATTTTTATCCTCGTTGGAGTAGATGAGCCGCAAATAGCCGTCAGGCCACTCCTGGAAGGAATCAAAGTGCTTGGGTTCCTGCATCAGCGGCAAAGGGATGAAAGAAAGAGGAACGGATGGAGGCTGTATTAGCAAAGCATCTCATTAAGGTGAAAACCAATCTGGGCCTTTATCATTTCTACACACACACACACACACACACACACACACAAAATGTGTTAACAAAATAATGCAAGCAGCGGCTCAAATGCACATGTGAAGATCCACCATGACAGCAACTTCCCAAAAGGCATCCAGGTCCAGTTCAGCTCCACACTTAGATCCCAGATTAATGCTGCAAGTCTGCACATTCCATTGAAATCAGTTAGATTTATAATTGTGGGCTTGTAATTGTGCAAATGTCACAGGCGCAAGCAGCTAATGCAGTTTCCTTGTGACTTTATTGGCGATGAACAATACAATTTTCCTCTATTGGCTTTATTATTCAAGCTATGTATTTTTTTTCCAAAAAAATGTGCTTCAGTGGAGAATATTTTTAAATAGAAATGAGCTGCTAATATAATTCCACTGGCACAAGCACACACATATACAATATCATTTTGTAGTCCTCTCCTGTTTTTAATTTTCAGGGGTGCTTTGCTCCCCTTCTCTTCTTCTGGAGCAAATATCCAGCTGGATCTACAAAGTAAGAGGGAGAACAAGAACAGAAACATCTCTGCACCACTCCTAGCAATTGCCTATAGATCAGCCATCATACCATTATTGCTTGTTTGCTGTTGCAGGAGCATCCTATAAAGATACAGTGTAGTTTGGGGTGTGCTTTGTTGGGGTGTACAGGGCCATCCTATACACACCAACTCAAGAAAAAGCCCCAATGAGCTCAGTAAGGCTGACTTTCAAGTGTGTTTTGCAGCCTTAGAAAACTAGCCCACAAATTCATTCGAGTAGGTTTCTTCCGAACTTCCCTCCTTGAACTGTACCTGTGGTAACTTGGGATCATTGATATCCCAGGTTAACTTCATCCCATAGGAGCAGGTGTAGTCAGAGTCCTTTGACATGTTAACCATGGATCTAGGTAAATAATATAACAAAAAAGATACAGCAAAAGGTAAAGATTAATCTGGAGATAAAGATTAACCTTAAGCTGTAAAGAAGGCCAGAATTACCTTATATTTACTTTATTTTTTATTTACCAGAATTTATATATATAATATTCTGTTAGAGGTAAACCTCTAAGCTGTTTACCTAACATATAAAATGTGCATTAAAGGCAGATGTTAAAATTAGCCTTCTTTTTTCCAAAATAAAATCAGCAGTTAAAAAAACCACTACAAACTAAAATGTCCTATTAAAATACACATCATATTTAGACATCTGGGTAGGCTTGCTTAAATAAAGAAGAGTTTAGCAGTGGTAGAGAAAGTGCTTGGCTAAGGACAATGGGCAGGGAGGTGCTGCCAAACTGAAGGATGGAAATCCTTGCAAGTCCCACATATCCAAGTGGTTGAGCAGGCATCTATGGAGTAAGGTGATCCTCGTGCCCCAGCTAAGAGGAGGGGAGGGGAATATAAGAGAATCATGCAATTCCTAAGGCCAGGCAGTAAGTTCATGGTTGATGTGGGAGTTGATATAGATTATTTCTGCTCCCAGTTCACCATTCTCACCCATGGCCCAACAGTCCTCAGCAGCTGCTGTGGAGTGGTGGTTAAAGGGCTGCAGTCTCCAAATCCCTACTCAGCCACGAAGCTACTTGAATGCCCCTGGGCCAGTTTCTATTTATCAGACTGGCCTACCTCACAGGACTGCTATTTGCAGTGAGTGGGAGAAATCATGTGAGCAGCCCTGGGCTCCTTGGAGGAGAGGCAGACATAAATAAATACCCCAGCACCTCCCTTTGTAATAATAATAATAATAATAATAATAATAATAATAATAATAATTTATTATTTATACCCCGCCCATCTGGTTGGGTTTCCCCAGCCACTCTGGGCGGCTTCCAACAAAACACTAAAACACAATAACCTTGGTAAGGTGCCCATGTCTCTACACAGCGGTTCTCAACCTGTGGGGCCCCAGATGTTGTTGGACTACAACTTCCATCATCCCTGAGCTCTGACCTTGCTAGCTAGGGGTGATGGGAGTTGTAGTCCATCAACATATGGGGACCCACAGGTTGAGAAAGGCTGCTCTACAGTGATGGCAAAAGAGAACAAACTGAAAGGGATGAAGGTGAGGATGAGAGACAGGACAGGACAGGAGAGGGAATCAAGGGTGTTGCACAACCTGCCTTAAACAGCGGCGTCCTCGCCTTGCCGCTGTCCGTCTCTTGTGGTGCTGAAATGAACCCGCTGTTGCCCTTACCCTCTCGAGCTCCGCTTCTGATCTGCTGCTCACTCCGGGAAAGGGATCTTTTTTGTCCCCGACCTTCACCCTCCCACATAGCTGTCCTCCGAGGTGTTAAAAGCACGTGGGGGAGGGAGGGAGACTCCTCCTTCTCCTTCAGCCCCGGAGCTGAAGGCTCAGGAATCCAGTATTCTCCGCCCCGCACACACACAAATTAATTAAACAAAACAAAAAACAAAAAAACCAAGCCCCTAAATAGGGTGCCGATCCCCAAGCCAGCAAAGGTGTCCTCTGAATGGGAGCCTGCAATGCGAAATCCGCTTACTCAGAAGAAGTCTGTTCGCCTGACTGCAGTTCAGTAACTACTACAACAACAACAACTTATAATTTATGATGATTATCATTACGCATTTCGGCATTTTAGCACTCTCTTCGGCCAAAAACAGCTTCCAAATTGCGCTCCCCAAAACCGCGTTGAGCTTCAGCGTCGGCTCAAAACTTCTGAATGGATTTCCAGCGCTGAGTGGATTTTAACCCAGCTGCGCGCTCAACTGGAAGAGGGTGTATAGTTATCTAAGTAGTGCTTAGGCTTGCCAACCTGGCGCCCTCCAGATGTTTTGGATTAGAATGCCAGATGTTTTGGGTGCTGATGGGAGTTGCGGTCCAAAACATCTGAAGGGCACCAGGTTGAGCAAAAGCTGAACTACAGGAAATATTAATTGGATGTTTTTAAACCGAGGTTGGCTGGCCATCTGTCTGGGATTCTTTAGCTGAGATTCCTGCATTGCATGGGGTTGGCCCAGACGAGGTCGCTTCCTTGAGGTCCCTTCCAACTCTACAATTCTATTATTCACTGTTCCTGAAATGGTTAGATACAAAGGAGCTTAACAACTACAACGAAGGCAGCTGGAGTTGGAAGTGACCAAGTACAATCCGAACCATGTCTGCTTAGAAGTAAGTCCTATTGAATTCCATGGGACTTACTCCCAGTCAGGTAAGTGCAGAAAGGACTACAGCCTGAATTAGAAAGTGAATTAGACCATACACCATGTTGGTTCTCTCATATCCAGTGGTGGGAAACCGAAAGGCTCTGCAAAGTTGTTGTTTGATATCCTTTGCAACGATTCGAGGCAAGCTCTCTTTAATCTTCTAATGTTAATTCTGCAATGTGACAAAATTCCATCACACCGATGGCGGCAGCCAGGTAGGGAGAGGGGAGCCATTTCCGCACGCTGACAACGAAAAGTATTGTTTCATAACGATTTTGCATTTTTCCTATGATGTTAGTTGGTTCACAGTTTTTAAATCTCTGCTCTGTTCTAAGATACAAAAACCTAGACTCCTGAGCACACTGAATACTTTCCTGCCTTCTCTTTTTTTACTTTCGATTTTGGGTTTTATTCGCCGATACCATCCTGAAGACATTTAAGCCAGCTCTCTGGCACGTAAAACGACGATCCAATACACAGTTACCTGGGAGTAAATCTCATAGAACTCAGTGGGTCTTACCTTTGAGGAGACACGTTAAATAAAGTCAGCGTTTGATGCTCAGCATTGTGCAGGGCACTGGCTGCGATCGTATCCGATGCACACTTACGTGGCAGGTAACGTAGGCGTTATTAATTTCAGCCCTCCAGATTTGCTAAAATACCCTAAACACTTTACAAGTTTCTGGGGTATTTTAGCAAACCTGCAGGGCTGAAATTAATAACGCATTTATTCCGCCGCAATCTCGATCCCTGAACACACTTGCTAGGGAGTGAGTCCCAATGAAGAAAATGGGATCTACTTCCAAGGGGGGAAAAACGCGCGCAGTATTCCGCTACCGCGCATTCTCAAAAGCAGAAGACGCGGCTGCGTACAATCAGCGGACTTGGTTCTGCCTGGGACAAACCTCTTGGAAAAGGATCATTCTGTTAATAAAATACATCACGGGGTATATTCTGCCTTTTATATATATATATTTTATTTTTGTTCCCGAAACAAGCATTCTAAATAAACTCTGCGTAATAGTTGCGACAGAGTTTGTTCTAAAATTATGCACTGCTAGGATCTATTTTGTTGTGGCCGATAATAAAAGAAATCGCCTCCCCTCGACCGTTTGGCAAATATATGACGCGAAACTTTTTAGATTTTTGTTCTCCAATAAAAATAATAAAACGCCAGTTATTTTATTTGCGGATTACTGGAACGAGAATATTGACAATGTTCTTCCTTTGTCTTTACTTCCCTCGCTTTGCGTTACATTCTTTCAATCTTTTGTGACCAGGATTTATCATCATGCTAGACCCGATTTATGAATGTATGTTTTTATTTCATTGGCCGCTTTTCCATCTGTCTGTCTGTTTAAAGCATGAATAAAATAATGACCCTGGAGGCGTGTTTTCTGAAATATGTTCCTAAACATCTTTTAAGGCATAGATTATTGTTTGTTTAATGTTAACCTCCATAGTTATTGTGAAGCAAAACTAAATAAGTGGCACCTGTTGAACTGGTCATGACGCATCCACAACACCGTTTTACATGCGCCGGTTGGTATTCAACTAAGTTTTACTCAAGAGTCAGAGTAGACTCGTTAATGAACATGCCTAAAACTTAGTTGAATACCATCCATTATAGCTACTCTGTAAAAGAGCAGTCCTATACTTCACTGTAGTTTGCTCCAAGGTAAACGGGTATAGGATTGCTAAACCTAAAGCTCACAAGATGGCTATAATGGGCGAAAAATCCGGTTTTTGGCAGGATCCTAAGGTCTCCAACACAATGGAACTTCCCTTTGAGCAGACAAGTCTAGACTTGCCCTATAAACTGCGTTCTTGGTAGTGGTGCCCTCAAGGGAGTATGAAATTCCAATTTTCCTTTGTGATTGGAGATTTTAATCTGCCTTGGATACAGAAAATATTTGTGCTTCAATCGTATATAGGCACGCCTTCACTTAGGAGCGTCATTAAATCCAGTAGGTCTGCGTAAACGTACTGCAAAATCCCTTCTGCGTTTGCAACACCTCCACCAAGTGACCCTTTAAATCCACTCGATAGTCAAGCTCTATAGGCTCGTCTTCCAGGCAGAATGAAAAGCGCACAACTTTTTCGGGACTCAACGATCCCGCTTCCTTCCTCTCCCTTTAAGTCGGGGACAGAAGTAAGACTTCCTCTCCGCGGGGTTTATAAGGCGGATTGCAACCGGGACGCGGAACTCCATCTCTTCTCGTTCCTCCTACTTACAAAATAATGTCCCCATCCTAAACGCATAATTGATAAACCAATCCTAGGGACATATGCGCAGCAGCAGGGAATAAAATCCCCCCTGCACCCCCGGAATCAATGCCTACTAGGAAGGGATGCATAGCTTTCCTTTCAGAAAATCGCCTCTTAAAGTAACCCCTCCGACGCAGTGGGGGGGGGGAGAGTGGATCGGGCTCCGAGCGCGCTCAGCCACCCTTAATTCACGCCCTTGGGCGCAGGTGGCAGCATCAGCTGCGCGTGGAACGCGCGTCAGACGCTGCCCGAACGCTTATTAAGGCCGCGCTTGGCGCGCGCGCGCCACTCTTTCCTGGAGGATTTGGAGCCGGCCATGCAGGATCAGGTCGGTGGGCCTCTTGCAGGCCCGCGGGAGGGGCTCTGTTGACTGGTGTAAAGACTGGTTCTCCAGCATAGTGCTCATGACCGTTGGGGTGGCAAGCCTGTTGTGGGCTTTTGTTTGGAGAGTGTGCCCC